TTAAAACTTTGCTAAATTAATACTGTCCTTCAAAGCCACATAAACTCAAGTTACTGAATAATATTCACCTGCAAATGTTACATACGAGCACTTGCCATATTTTAATTACGAACATAATTTTGTGCAATTTATATTCAACCACCTCAAAAATATTTATATATACATGTTTATGGTTGGAATAATTATATCTTTAAATAAATTTTAAGTGCAGTGTAATAAACTACCGAAACAAACTAAAATAAAATAATTTATTATTCCGCGAACAAAAAAAAGTACACTACCGAGTAATAATTCTATTTGGTTCATAATTGGGTCAGACTTATTATTTTTTTGCTTTTCGGTTGCACAACAAAAATTAAAAGTAATAACGACTAACATCAACATCAGTTGCAAAAGATCAACAAATTACTTACATCAATGCTCTCGTATCTACATTTGTGTGAGTTTTGGTGCGAGTAAGGCTAGTGCATTGCGCTTTTTTCCATATTTCAATTTCGATTAATTAAAAAGTCGTACGTATGGAGATGTAGAGCGATTAAAAAGCAACGTGTTATTACGTACAAAGACATTGAGCGAGCAGTTTTGTCTAATCGCTATTCAATCCTTTAAATTATATGCAATAGTGTCTTAAATGTGTAATTAATTACTGAAAAATACGTAAGCTTATTTTTAGTAACAAAAAAAGTGAATAATTAAGTAGGTAATACATTGAATATTTTTAAATTTAAAGTCAATCAATCAATCAATCTTCAATCTATTGGCATTATTTGAATTTCTGCATGTAAAGATGAATTAAAAACTTAATAAAAAATAATAAATGTTATTATAACTTATGCAACATTTGATTAAGTACACATTTCTATCATATTTGATCAAATTATATTTTTTCACATGAAGAAATACGAGCATAAAGAAAAATCGTAAACAAACAAAATATGTAATCACAATTTCCTGCATATCATCAGAGGCACTAGGAGGAATAGCAATTTAAAAGGCCGAATATTTCAAGGCTATCATTAAGCGACTAATTAAATATGGTGGCATCGCAGTGCGCACGGCACATGATTCTAAGTCATCCAATTCTTAGCTTTAGCTTTTTAGCTGTTGTATAAATTTTCTCGACCATATAACATCGGAACCGGTTACAGTTTCTGCTCATACCGACCTATTAGTGTTTATTATAATAATTACACGCTAATTAAAAGCAACGATTTTCAAGACTCCGGAAATGCTTTTTTCGACAGTCTGCTACACACACCAGCCACACTAGTGGAACGTTATTAATGGCGTACATATTGCATGCATTATATTTAACTGATTAATATGTAATATCTTCGAATCTTGGAAGTTGGATGGATGGCGGCTGGCGCTGAATGCAGCCAAGTGTCTCGATGGCTTCAGTGATTTCAATAATGCGCAGGAAAACACACCGTTAGCCGGGTTATAATATCATACAAAAACGTCAGAACATGCGTCACTGAAATGTAGAATCAAACAGGTTTAATTAAGTTTTGATAAAAACAAAACACACAAAAAATCAATGAAGTATTTTACGTTTTAATGCTTAAACACTGTATTATGTCTTAATATATTGCATTTTAATTGAAACACATGACTCAAAGTCTTAATTAAATAATTATATAGAATCTAAGTTAATACTTTGAATAAATTTAATTTATCCTCGTTAACACCTCACTTGTTTACATTCAGGTCACTAGCTAACAATCCACATCAAAACTGTTTATATCTTTGTAGAAATAAAAATATAGGTACCTATATGACTGCAACATTTGTCTAGAAAGCGATTTACTTACGAAAACGGTAAAAAGTCTAAAATCAACACCATTTGCAAGGTTGTTGGATGTTGGTTGTAGGTTGTTCAATTAAAAATAAAACTCTTGATCGATTTGATCAATCAAAATTGTGACGGGCAAGAAACCTGTTCCTCCCGCTTGATGTGCTCTAATGATGCGATTCGCTGTATGAAACGAAGCCATTAGACAAATCAAGAACAATGCTTGTGGATTTTACAGTATTTATAGATTTTACGGTATTAATGCCGAGCAAATAAAATGGCATCGCTGAACGCGGACAAATTGAAACGTCTTGATGCACCAGCGCCGGCTCCAGTACCGCCGGTTCGAGAGCAGTAAAATGTCCGCCGTAAAGATTGATTGATGATGTGTGAAGATCCGCGCGACACACGCCGACGAGAAATGATGAATGACGAACAACAGTTAAGACCAAATGAAAAGCGCTTACGTTTCGGTTATCATTTGTTCGGCGTCTTGTGTGTGGCTATTGTCAAAGAGATGGAAATGTTTATGATGCACATAAAACGATCACCTTTGAATTTTACGTCCGCAAGGTTTAACTTTGGATTATAACAGTGCTGCCATTTATTTTTTGACATTTTATTTTAGTATTAGTAAAATACGTGGAAAAATATATCTGTGGTCGTTTGAAAGTGGTAGGTAATATGTGTATAGGCAACCAACATAACAATAACACACACAAAATTATAGGTTGTGTTGCACAAATATAAATCAAGCATGAATACTTTTTACATCCACTTCAAAAGGGGTGATTTAAAATTACGCAAAGGGTGCGATATGTTTCTTTTGATTACTCATACGTTCTTTATGTTCTTTAGCATAACTGGACCACATTAATAAATCCTATTCAGCGCACAGTGCCGATTTACAGCCTCATGTAAATTGGAAGGTATGAAAGCACCGAGCGTTCAATAAAATGTCGAACACCAAGGTTAGTCGGGCCGACAGACGGATGCAGGATATTTTATTTCGTATTATTTTATATGATCCTAGAGATAGCTGTAAAGGATGGACTTTGTTTTACGATTCCGTTCGTTTTTCTTGTTGGTACGTAAATATAAACGACTATGATGGATATAAATAATTAAGTAACGTTTATTGCACATTGGATGAAGCAAATGACATGATTCGCTTGCTGGTAATTAAAAAGCTTTTAATTATATCAAAAAATCATTTTTATTATTTTATACTTGGAATCAATAACATGTCTGCGGCAGCCATTTTGGAATTGTATATTTATTATCATTGAAAAGTTTTAATGTAAAAAAATTTGAATTTCTCAATTTTCCGAAAGGTTGGACCAAAAGTATCAAAATAATTTTTGCTATTGTGATAATTCTAATTAACATTGTAAATGCTAATATTAGTTTGTATGTTTGTTACTTTTTGACGTAAAAATTATGTAACCTATTTTGAAGATTTATAATATAAAAATGAATCGCAAAATCTGTTGGTAAGCGCATAACTCAACAACGCTTAAATTAATTTGGCCAATTTCTGTTTTAAATGTTCTTTAAAATGGAAGGATGGTTTTTACGGCGAGAAAAAAACGAATAATTGCCGGGAAAACCCTAAAGACAGCCCTTTTCTATAGGATAAAAGTTGGCATTGAGATTCAATCACTGTTATAGTTAAATAGTTGAATCCGAGATGGCGCAAGTGTATTATTTGCCATTCTTTATATAATTAATTTCTTAAAAATAAAATTGCAAATCTTATTGAAAGAATTGACACATACCATGTCTAGAACAAGAAAATAAAAACGAATTACATTTTTATTAAACACTACCGGGACGAAGTCGCAGGCAAAAGCTAGTAGTAAATAATGAAAATTGATATGCACATTGTTACAGCTATATAATTCAAATATTGTGCTAAAGTGCATTGTAAGCATTTGTTATTATGTTAAAATAAAATTTAGATTTTTATAGATAAATGTTCCAAAAATAAGAAATTATTTGATAGCGGGAAAATGCTACTACAAATTTTCAATAATTATTTGAAAAGCAATGTTATAATGTAGACGTAACCTTGAAATAATAAAGTTAAATCCTTAAATGACAAAATCATCCATAATATAATACCTAATGTCTGGAGTTACAGGTGCATTAGTAAGTATTATGTAAATATGTCAGTAAGTAGGAATGACTTACCATCATTATCTAATAATTTGCAATTTTTTCGGAAACACTCAATAAACAGTTAACTTGCGGTTGACATTAATCTTCAGTAATATGCACAAAATAGGATACCTGCTCAATTCATAACTGCATAAAATCAGTTATGTATACTTTGATTATTTCCAATAAACAGTTAAACAAATTTTGTTCCTATCATCATTTTGGCAAATAAAATATTTCAAAACCTCAAGTACACACATCTATCACTGATAACACCAGTAATGATGCCGCACATTCAATATTACAAACGTAAACATCTATCATTGAGATATAAATCACTGAATTCATATTTTTTGTGCTGTACCTTAATAATAACAATAAATAATCGAGAGGATGAGCGCAATATATAGATTCATAAATATCTGGCGCCTCGTGTCCTTGATCAAAGCTCCAGCTTCCGTAATCAGTTATTCAATCAAATTTCGAGTACAATTTTTGTTTGTTCGCAATGCACAGGTGCTGGAGTGATTAACATGATACTATATAACAGACTGATTAAAATCTGTCTCTTTACTGAAGAGAAGCGCAGAAAAGAGAAGTAAAACCATAAAAAAGTGGGGATTGTCCTGTCGACTTCTCGCGTAGAAGTAGCGTGTTGTAAAAGTTATATAACCATAGAGAAAATGTACGTGATTACAGTTACCTTGCCGTGTAGAGGCATTCAGTCGGTACCTGTATTATACAGGTATTCCCTTCCTTCTCCCCGATTCGAGTGCTCGCTGCACGCACACTCGCCGACTAACAACAATAAATGCACAGTTCAGGTAGAACCAGTATCGCTGGCCCCTCCATACTTATTCACACAACTCGCACACACCCATACCAACAAACAGAAAAGCCGGCCTTAGTTTCGGCGGCTCCGGTCTTACCTCATGCGCCTCACGCTCTCAAACGAGTGTGTTGGAAGGTATGCCCCCGTAGGTGTGTGTATTCATGTATATTGGTAGAACTTCTACTTCTCTCTACCTGTACACGCCGCATTTACCTGTGTGTACACACAGTATCGCAAGCGCTACGGAGTCGGCCGCAGTCGTCGCCGTCGTCGTCGCCAACGCCGATGTCAAATATCTCTTCAGCGCAGCCGCTGCGAAGAAGCACAAACATTCCAGCCTTCGGGGCAGACAACAAACAAATGCGTGACGTGTGTCGACGGTGACCGAAGACTATTTTTTGGCGTGTATCTACTACGGCAAATTACCTGTTGATTTCGCTGGTGTGTGCGCTGCGACCGCTTTGCTTTTCTTGCTTCGTGGTGTATGTTGTGCGTGAGTGTGTGCGCGAATGACTGACTACCGAAACGTATCTCCTGCGCGCCTCTGCGAAACATTTGATATTATATTTTAGTGTTGCGTAGAATAAGTGTCCTTATAAAATACAACTAAGTGCCGAAAATCATTGTGATAAATAACTCGAAATTCTTTTAACTATACGTAAACCGACAACGTACATCTAAAAATTATATAGAAATAAATTTATAGAAATAACTTATAATCTTAAAGCGCGCATAACTCCAACTGTGATCCAAGCCATTCTGAATTGATAACGAATGACAATTTTCAAAGGTACTGATAACTCGAGCAAACACACAACATTACACATCGTACATCAACTTCTACGACAACTCAACTTCTACGGATGAAAATCGAAAATATTTTTTCTGTTTCTCTCTCTAAAGTTAAATTTGAACCTAATGTCGATCTGACGTGTGGCATCGCCGCAAGAAGTAATTTCTAATCGATTTTAAACGAGAGATAGATCCGCGTTGTATTTGAAAGTGAATCGCGTGGCAACATGGCGGATTAGTGAGTAACCGTACTTAAGTCACCTAACCTTACACACCTTGGAAAGAAACGACCGGATTCGACAATGCGATGCACACGGCGCTAGCGACTGGTAACTAGCGACCACCTGTAGGATTGTTCCACGAAGCAAACCAGCACGTGGTGCGCGTGGTTGCGTGGCACACGACAAGGAACCGCTTGCCATTCTCGATGAGCATTAAGGGCATCAACATGATCGGTCCGCACCACATTTGCGTGTTGTACGTGGCGACGGCCGGTGTGCAGGGGCCGCTCATGGGCTCCGATGAACAGGAGATCGTCTTGTTGATCTACGTGATCATCGACGTTATGCAAAATAAGGTGAGACTTAAATGAAGACTGAAATGGAGTGTTTCTTTTTATTTCGGCCCCTTGTTGTAATGTAGCTAACATTCCTACGCGCCCAGCGCTTTTATTATATGCGTCGCCGGTCGCCGCATTGTCGCACATTTTTACATGCAAATTATTCAAGCCATTCGAGCTTTATTATCATGACGGGCAACGTGCAAAGTCGAAAAAGTGTGTATAACTTACAGTTTTCATTTAATGTTTTCTTTGGAAGTATACGTGTTGCAATTTGGTGTTAAGCAACTGGTTGATGCTTCGACAAATTTGATAAAATTGTACGTTTAAAATAAAAACACATGCTTGCATTCGCGGTTTAATACGAATAGGACTGATAAGCGGCGGTATTCGCGTAACGCATATTCGCATATAGTGATAATGCAAAAATGCGAAAATTTTCATGCTTTTAAAGTCATAATATTTTATATAGGTAATATGGCACCTATAGGTATATGCAAAAAAAGCATTGCAAAAAAACTTTACATTTACAATACAAAAATTAAACAAAACAAAAATATTATTTTGATTTGTGTGGCAGGTTAATACAAAATAAAAAATTATATTACAACAGCAAATATTGTTTAAAACAGTAGATAAATTGAGAATACAACACATTCTTCAAGAAATTATGATCTATTCATATTAACAGACATATAATTAACAAAAACATGTGCTACTTACTAATATAAAGAATGCAAATTACAGAATTACAGAAACAATAGTCACAAAACAAAATTCCGCACATTTCTAAAACATAATAGTTAACTACTTTTTACTTGCCTCAAATGACAGTTTTTGAATATAGAAAATGAATTGTTGCCTTTTACTCAAGTCATTTTCTATCTAATATAACCTGAAAAGTGCATATTATTTTTTGCTATTTCATATCTACAATTACAATGAATGATACATGTAGGATGTGCTATTTCTAACTTTGTGCTCATGACTGGCACTCGTCAAAATTATTGTCGTCGTCCAACTCGTCGTCCTCTAAACCTCTATATATTTTTTCACGACTCGTTTATGCGCACACGTAACATGCGCGTTTCACGTAATATCGAAATAATTACAACGAAATGTTGCAATCGGATCAAATACAAAAAGACAAGACACTGGTACACATGTATGGTTAATAGATGTTGTTGAGTTAGTCTTTTTTGTCAACAATGTGTACGTATATTTGTACTGTAATTAAGCATTAATTGCTGTTGGGGAGGATTTTAATAGCTAGGAAATTGTAATTAAGGCAATAATTAGCGCTAATATTATCAGCACTAGATGTAAACTTTTTGTGTTTACATTGTTATCTAGTAAAATGTGTAAAAATATTTTATTTCTTTCTCATTTTATTTTGTTTCATTTGCCAATAATTTGATTGAGTTAAATTGGTAGCATAACTTTTGCGTACGTCTACGTGTCTAAAGTGTGTAATCTCATTTAAAAATATTATTTCCATACTTTTAATTAATTATTTCAAGGTATATACTTTTAATGTCTTTTCGTACACGCTAAAAACCACTTTAATTCCATTTAGGGCTACAGCATAACCAAAAATTTTATTGCAACCATTAAGTTTATATCTTTAAAAACATTAAATTGCAGTTTTACTCGATTAATTATGAAAATCAACCGAGATCTTGTGAAATAAGCAATCATCATGTTCACCTCTAATCTGAGATGATGTTTAGCGCAAGTGGCATTGCCTTAATTGTGATTTCTAATTGGATTTATCTCCAAATCGACCTAGTGTCGATTTATCAATCGTTAACACGCAGACATTGTACACACACGAATCCGTGATTTCAATTTGCTACGCTTTGCCCGTAATTAACAACTCTTATCGCATTAGTGTTTAGCCGCTTAAAGATGGCTCTAAGTGCGCAACGATAATAATAATAAAATCGATTTTAATTCGTCTCGATTTCAGTGTTGCAAGCGTATTATGTTACTCGAGCAATCAGAAACTTCTTTGTGTTCGATTTTGATGGTTTACTCGTGACTTTAACCGATTTTTGTGAACTTCCAACCGTAGTAATACATTTTTTTCTTTCTTCTGAGACGGAGTTAGAGATAAGTTGAAGATGCACGTTAGTTTACGGCTGGTAAAGTCGCAAAGTCATGGGAAAGTCGCGTCTCGTTAAAATTAACACGGTGTGGAACTTATGAATGAGAACTGAGAAAATCTTAATGTGAATGTTGAGCTGCTAACCGCTGCCACTATTAATGTGAGAATCTCACAATGAGAACGGACTCCAACCCGATACGCACGCTGCTTATTTGAATAGTGATCCCAATCGCTATCCAAAGAAACTAAAACGGAAAAAATATATGCAGCGAAGTAAATTTTAAAATGTTATTTTCTGAGAAAATGACTAATAATTAACGATATACGTGGAAATTGCTTTTCTCCGATTCAGGAAAACAGCGAAAATCTAGGAAAAATTGTCGCAATTATAAAGAGAAAATTAATTATTCGATTTCACGATGCTTGACGCGATATGATTATTATTCATTAGCGAAAAACGAGTAAACCGAACACGACCACTTTCCATCCATCAAATTGCAAGTCGGCCGTAATCGTTTGCATATCTTGCAATGAAAATTGGTATTAGTTGGAATACGCACATCTGTAATTTGTCGTCATGGCGCCGCTTCCATTTTATCGGTGATCATTATCGAACTTTCTATACCTCATACGCTTGATGACATTTTAAATGCATTTCATTTACTCGTACGATCGTAGATACTCAACCAAGTATTTACGTGTAAAAACCTGTATAAGAATTACAATTTTAGTTTTTTTCTGAATTACTCGTAAATTTAACGAGATATCATTATGATTTTTTACGGTGTGATTCTTATTGACATTTTGATTAAGCCGTAAAAATATTTTGGAGATATGATAACAACACCCAAAGTTACTGTCAATTATTGCAAAAATAAAAATATTTTACAATAAAAAATTTTTGTTTCAAAAGAATTACTCGTAAATTTCAAAAAATATTATTATGGTTTTTTGCAGTTTTATTTTTATTGAAATTCTAGATTTAAGATTGAAAAGATTGTGTTGATAGGAAAAGAATCACAAAAGTTATCAGCAATTAAAATTGAATTTTGTAAATGTTTTATAAAATACCTATATCTTTGACGTATTGATAAAAATTCTACTTTCATGTCTAAGCAGAAAATGTTTGTACAAAGCATATTTCACTATTGTCCTGCTAGTTTTAAGGAAATAATAAAAACCACAAACAATTTAAGACAATTACGCATAGCGAAAATATAATGACATCATTGGTCAATGAAACAAAGCATTTTTTCGTCATTAATATTCAATGACCAAGACTAGAAGCAGCAGCAACTTACCAGAATAGCATGAATAAAAGCCGCTTCTGAAAACGCATTAAAATAATGCAAAAATAAAAACACACGCATTTACATTGATAGGCATAAATTAAAACGTAGGTAAATATTCATCAGCGAACACCGCGTATGCCTTACGCTCCCAATATTTGTTTAAAGTGTGGACGTGCGGCGATCTACGCGTGTTCGTTCGTAAAACAATGTCGTTTTGCATATAATATGGGTAAGGCCAAAGGTTTTTCCTCCGGTTATCCACCTTCGCCACGCTGCCAACGGGTGTGCGCGCATGCCTGCACATATTATGTGCATTTATTCTTGGGTGACTTTTCGACCGCTGGCGTGAATATGTGTGCTGAGTGTTGTGCAAATACGTCAAACGTTTACTATTTATAGAGAAGATGCTGTTAGTGGAAAAACTTGTTTACAATGGCTATTGAAATGACTGCGGAAATTTTTAGGTGAGAGTGCAAGTATATTTGGTTGCCTAAATTAAAAAATTGAATAATTTTAGGTATGAAATTGTTTTCTGGTTTATAGTCAATAAAAATGACTTTTGATTGTTTTACCAAAATACTCGCTTTAATTAATAAATATAAACCATCATATTTTTCTTATTGAGGCATGCATTCTTACAATTGTGGTTTAATAGTTTTCTCATTTTAATAGCTATTTTATTGCATTTGTTTGTGGTTTATTGCTATGTTTTCAATAATCCAATTATACACTTGCTTTGTCTTTACATAAACATATGCATCTTCCAAAATTGGTTTCCGGATCGTTAAATTCAACTATTTCACTTAAAAAAAAATTCAATCACAGCATCAGCTTGGCAATGGCGGCAATTTGAACAAAGCCGCTCTAACAACCTAGACATCTGCTTCAATCACAAAATACTCACCGCCACGCAGTCGTTAGCTGTACGGTACATATTGGTGTATGTAGGTACTTACATGCACACGGGAAAATATGCCATCAAACATTCTCTTTCAATTTCATCATCTCGTCGACAATCTGTTGCCGCGCGTCCCTGTGCGCGCCTCTAGTTATTTCATCTTGAAGACTCTTCGGAGCCGCGATGCGAGGCTGCGCGCGTTCAAGATACAGTTAAGCACTGTTATAACAACATTTCCATCTTGTGGAGATTTCCATCCGTTGGTATATTGTGGATTTGTTCGTTTCGTGCGTTTTCTGCTCCATCGATTCGCGATGTTGACGTCTCACGGATCGTTCGACGAATACCAGCACGAGTATTCCTGAACAGTTCAAATTCCATGCGAATTCTTTGCGTTCGAAACTCTTTGAAATGTGTTTGTATTATATCCTGCTGCAAGCGTTATTTTCCCATCTAGTGAACAAAATACACACACACACAAGCAACACTTGTGTTTTCTTGCAACAGGTGGCATTAACCATGCAGCTCCCGGCGTTGTAAATGTGGAAAAACTTTAATTTTGAATTTTCACTGCGTGTTTACTGTTAGTCTTGTCCACACTGTCGTGGTAATTGGGTGGCAACATGCAAACGCCCGAAGAACAATGGCGGCTGATGAAACAAACTAGAAAATTAGCCACGGCGCTGTTTTGCACAACGCAGAAAACCAAACGTGATGCGCAGCAAACTAGGCGGCTAATTGCTGGATGCGCAACCGTCTAATGTATTATCCCACAAAATAATTCTCATCAACATAAAAAATATAATAAAATAAAATAAGCGCTTTTAAGCGCCAACATAAACTACCATTGTATGAATCTTTAATCGTACGTTTATTTAATTCATTAATTTTTTAATGCGCTGTGTTAAGTGTTAAGTTTGCAATTTTTTTGGCATATGACGTCAATACTCATACGAATCTCATGTGTATAATAAAAAAAACACGTTTTTAATTACGTTTTTATTATTACGCATTGAACTTTGAGGCTACAATGAGGCTCATATTTCGGGTGTTTGGAAATGAAATATTTCCAGGCCCGCGACTTATTTACATTTGAACTCAGCCGGCAGGAAGTTGTGCCCCCGGCGACCGGAACTCTCACGCTCGCTGCTTACACTACAGCTACGAATAATAGCAACCCCGTGCCGTCGACGAAACAATGCGATGTCTCTGGCTAGGTCCTTCATCAATATGTATTAAGTATTAAATAAACTTGAATCGCTTTACTTCATTTAGTAAGGTTTTTTTACATATTTTACATGTTTTATAAATGATTTCATCCACATAATTATTTAGTTAATAGCATAAATGTGAGGTTAGGGTACGCTATGAAAGAGATCAGCTGTTCTATTTCATTTTAGAGGTTAGTTTATGGAATTTCTGAATTACAAGTAATAGCCATCTCTGTAGGTAATTTTTCTTGCGGTCACGGAAGATTAGTTCATAGATAATTTGTGGTTTCTTGATAATTCCTAAAATTACTTTTCAATTTCAGTATTTACAATACATACAAATCAAATTACTAGTTTGAATTTCTCATATAATCAACCGTAATGACATCCTGCCGAATTTTGCCCTGGACTTTACTTATTTAATTAATTTTTATGTAAATCTCATTGCATCTAATGCAATAATCTCACATAAACAAACAAATAATTATTTTCTCGGTTGAAATGTTTTGTAACCTTAATAATAAACGTTGCAATTGCATTAAACACAAACAAAGATTCAATTATAACTTAAATGATTAAAAAAGTAGGTACATTACACACTTTTATTATTATTATCATCCTGCAAGCCGCATAAATTATGAAATTAAACCGCGTAATAACATTGCATCAGATTACATTCGCTGTAATTAGTGTCAATTTATAATTTGATACAAAATGTTTATACCTACAATGTTAATACGGTTTTACAACCGTTATGTTTTTGATTTTAGTATCGCTGTGTGCACCGATAAGTTATTATATGGTTTTGATGTGTGAATTATTTAAATAATTCGTGTAATGAGTGTGAACGATCGCCGAAATTAATGTTGTGAAGATTTCCCTCGCCAATTAGTTTCATTAGTGAATGTTTTAAATTTTACAAGGGTATTTCGCAACGCAGTTTTACACCACACAGCAAGGTCAGGTGCATTGGAAGACGATTCAAGTTTAACAATGTTTATTTTGTATGTAATTATGGTTACGCAATTTATACTCACTTAGTTTTATTTTTGTTTGGGAATTCAATTACAATCAAATCTGAATTTTTATAAAAAAAAGTGAATGTAGGTATTTTGTTTATTTATTCTAAAACGGCTGTGCTGATTTTGGGGAAAATTTTAGGCAATCTTCAGATTAGCCTAGCAAGTGATACTGTAAAGTTTTATAAGCAAAAATATAACATGTAGGGGAATAATTAAAAGGTGAAAATTAGTTAAGAGACTTTATCATTATTATAGTTATAAAAACAGAGTCGAGATGACGTTTAGGTGCGCAAATTTGCATTAATTTCACAAAAATCATCTCAATAATTAAGATGATACCCTGTAACTTTTATAAATTAATGAATTAATTTCTTGCGAACCCTGAAAATACTTAAAATTCCTCATAAAACCCCATAACTAACGAAAACCTAATTTTATAGAAAATATTAACTTTGATTTTAATTCTTTTAGGTGGTTGGAATTCAGCAATACCCAATTAGACCTTCAGCGGCCGATGTGAACGAAAACATCCTCTCTGAACAACTCACTGCTGAATCCGTGCTCACCGATGAAGTGATTAAAACCTCCGGTCGATTACTGGATACAGCATTGAATGAATTTGACGCCTATTGTCAAAGTCTACACATCGACCCGTACACCTCCGGCTTCCGGTTGATCACCGATGGCCAGTTACCCATCCGACAGTGTTTGCACCCAGAAGCGTGTCGCAAAGACATCGATCTTCCACCCTACTACACCTCCTTTCATGATTTACGAAAAGAGGTGGCGCGATTCACCAACCAAACCGAAGAAACTCCTGCGAGTATTGCGGATCTACTGACTTGTATCCTTTTGATCGATTCTATGCACTAGGTTTTTGACTTTTGACTTCAAAAGTTCAAGAATGTTCAAAACACTTCTTTCCAAGTGAGTTTTGCGTTTAGTTGTTGAGTTGCTGGAGAGCGAAAGATTCATAGAATGCAATTGTAAATTAATGCCAGGTCACGGTTTGCCGCACTCGAATTTACTCGAGCACGGAATATACCAAACACGACCAACAAGCGGATTTGAGTGAATGTCGGAAGTACGCCGAATGAATCGCGCGTCATCAGGACAACAATCAGTTGGAAGTTGCAAGTTTATAAAAATCTAAATTCTCGTTCGTTGTTGTTTCGAATAAAGCGCAGAGCGATTGTTATGATTACGGATAAATAGAAATGAGCATCATTCGGATGATTCGTATGATCGCGATGTATTAGAATACGCGTTAAATGTAAATATTGTTGAATTTACGGTCGCGCTGGTTGGAAAATGTTTGTAAACATCGAACAACAATGAATGCACTCTCTGCAAACTCACATTTAAACGCTTCGACTGCCACCTGTTGCATATTTCGACCTGCAGGTATAAAATCAGTAGCAGGCGGGCGCAATACAATTCTACTTCAACCACACAGATGTCGATAGTTGCCGGTTTATTTTATTAAAATCAGTAATTTCGACCAAAGAACAATTGTATTAAAATTCTTATTTTCAATTCAGCATAAACTCAACGTGTATAATCTTTGATCGCTATAATGCTCATTGCTAACGTCATCTCGTAATTGTAATGCAAACAATAATATTTTGATTATATATTATGTAATTTTATGATTGCACGTGCAAGTATATCATTAGCAATACGGTTGATAAGAGACTGATAACAATCCTCATTAACTCATACCAATGGATAACTATGCAAAGTACTTATCATTCATGGACAAATATTTCCTTGACTTTTATTTGTACAGCACTAGATTTGAAAGCCGAAACAGAGAATGAATTCTACATGCGGGACGCAAAGGATATGGTCAACATTGTGCACAAATTAATTAGTGAAGGTGAGCTTGGATTTTAAAATGTTTTGTTTTGAATTTCATCAATTGACAATTAGGAATTGAAAAAGTTTATATTCGTAATAAGCTTATTGAGACATTTACGTTATTAAAACTTATTTTTAATAGCGTTTATAAGTTCAAACAGCTTGTTAAAAGTTTGCAATGAATATGAAAGTTGGCGACAGGAAATGCGTTGCACTTTTTATATTTGCGAATTAAGTTGATTTTATTTTGTTGTAGGACATCGTTTTGAATTCCATGAGACTGTGACGCTTGCTCTCGAACCTGGCATTTGGTAAGTTGTTAAGAATTTTTATTTAAATATTGACAAATGTATATTTCACGTTATAATTAGGTCGGCTTCTTTATAAGAAGTACACTGGATTTATAAGATTTATTTGAATGCAATAAGATTCACAATTGCAACTTGAAGAAATGAGAAATATTATTAATGGTTTTTACTGCCATCTCAGTTTGAATTGTAGATTTATAGCTATTATTGAATTACAAGAACAACTTTCATTCCTTATTTTATACATTATAAGTTATGTTATTGGGACAAAAAGTAGCCAAGTTGCTTTTCCTCTGTCAAAAATATCTCTATTCTAAAATTTATCAAAATTGGTTCAATGGTTTTTACATGAAAGCATCACAAACATACAAACTATAATATTAGTTTTTACTACCTTAGGACTGACGTAGTTGCCACGCGAAAAATATGATGTATCTTAAATGATTTATTCACAAATTATAATACTTTTGTTCTTGTTTAAGATTAACACGGTTCCTTTAGTGTTTGCTTCTATTGATCTAAAACGGTAAAACCATTTCAAGGGCCGTGTTGTAGTATTTCTGGTCATATTATCCCAAATTTATGCATCACGCAAACAAGTTATTTCCTCCCGGTGGCCATACTCGCCTCACTATGTTTCAAATTCCCATGAAAGCTCAGTTTGATAAGCGTTTTAGGGAAAACTTTTTATACGTATTATTTTTGGTTAAAACAAAAATCAGTCTCAGAAACCTTCAGTGCGATTCTAACCACGAGTAGTGCATTAACAATACACGCACGGTAAATTCTCTAAATTGAAAAGTGCAGCGACAGCGATGTCATTTAATACTGTAAGCGACTCCAAAGAAACAAAGCACATGGTGCTCGACAAATTGTTCAACAAGTTGAACTCAAACTTCGTGAACTGACAGTGAACAAGCATAGAGACTTGAGATTTGACTAAACTTTCTGTTTAGACTTGAAGTGTAGTTTGTGAGCGTGCTACGTTTCATCTTGCAGTGATTTCATCAATATTTTAACCGTACAGGTGGTTGATACAAGAGATAGAATCCATTGATTGATAGAACCAAAATTATATTCGCTATCTACCGCAGCAAGCAATTTATGGCAAACAAATGGGGCAGTTAAGCCTTATCACCAGCGCATATATTATTGTTTGCTTTTATGCGAAATAGCCAGCCAGAAAAACAAATTAAGACAATGTTTCAACATTTGCATACTTTTAACACTCATCATATAGCTCTACGTGTCTCTATCATTGTCTCTTTGTCTACTCATATACAGTGTTATTGCTGACAATCGATTTTATTCTCCACTGCGGTGAATCACTCTGAAAGAGTTGGTAACGCCCAGTATACTCAATATATGCCAATGCATGCGGAGCGCATGGGACCTGTAAGTCCGTTCCGTTCTTATCGCTGACTTATCAGTTATTGAATAGGACCAATGGCATGGGCCATAACACCCCACCGTTGGAGTGTGTTTAATTCACGGACTATGCTATGCCAGCGAACATTTTCATATACATACACATGCGGCGTGCACGTTCCACGTTGAAAGGCGATAACTTTTAACTCGCTGTCGCAGATAGAACGATTCGTAGATTCAGTTTTTATCCACAAGTCTTGCGGGACATTTCTTCGTGTTGAAAACGTGGTAATGGCTTCAGTCAAGTGCTTAATATTGTGATAAATTAACATTTCATTGCTTATTATTTAAAAATAATAATTTTTAAAGTGATATTTTGGATTATTTCATATTATCATAATTCTGGTATGTATCCGAATACAAAAATGGATTTTTTTTAATAATTAAAGCAGTAACAATAATACTAAAAAGGAGAATAAAATTTTATTTAACTTTTTGTACTTGAACGAATTTTTGACTAGAAATGAAATCAGACGTAAAAGATCTTATCGTTATAGTGTTTATTTATAATATAAGTATGTAATATTAGTTTGTATGCTACTTGTTACGTCTTATTAAATTCAATTGCGTAATGATGATCAGATTTGTTGATTTATCTACGGATTTATCCCGAGAATGATTGGTCGAAAATGTTCGGACTGTAAAAACATTTAACATGATATTTGCACACCGTCTACCTTCCTATTTAATGCAGTTAAATAAGCAATTAAGTACAATTTGCGTATGTATTTGGTTTAAATTCGTTATTTTGCGGTCTGAATCAGTGCAACCCTCGAAATCACTAAATTAATTAATGCGAAGCAATGAAATAGAGTTTGACATTTGCAAAATTGATGCGAAAACTGGTTTAGATTTGAATTGGGATGAAAAACAGATGTTTTGATCTAGTTTCGTATTCAAAACCGGATTTTTTTGTGCTCAATGTGGAACTGCATTTCGTCACATTGCCTTTGCACCCTCTGTGGTTTTTAAAAATATTCGTTGATCAGTTAGTAACACGCTGGAAGCTATAACGTTCGGAGCAAAGTCGAAAAACTAGTGAATTGTGTTTATTCGGTGAACATTTTCGATGAAAATGTCTATCCAGCGAATTGTCATTGTGTTGGTTTAAAATTTTTACATTTTCGGTTGATTTAAACTTAGAATGCAAAAATGGGCAGACATTTCTTGTATTTAGGTTTTGCATTCCATAAATAGTATTTTTCATCAATAAAACGTGCATCGAATGCATTTGCACGATTTGCAATTTGGCGAAGTGTGTCATCTATGTGTGATCGAATCGGTTTTGTTTGTTTACAGTTCAAAGGACGATGAAATAGATAGCAACTGCGTCGTGCGCGCCAGAGGTTTGCCGTGGCAGAGCAGCGACCAGGACATTGCGAAATTCTTCAGGGGTCTCAATGTGGCAAAGTAAGTGTCGATATCAATTCTTTCCGTGCTCATTACACACGATAACTATTGTTGTAACTGCATGCAAACACAATTTGCATTGCACTTGTTTATTTATAAATACAGTTTATTGCACTTGCAACCAACAAATGTTTGATTAAACTTAAGATATTCACAATCTATGTCTAAGCAATTAAACAGTTTAGCAGACATCTTGGCTTTCGAAAACAACAATATGTCATGCACCCAGAACATAATACAAAGTTCAGTCAATCAGAGGGATTCTCGATAATGATGCTGTCTCATTGATACGCGCACTTATCATCGATAGAATTACATAAATTATAATAATAATGATGATTGCGTGATGGCGCGTGTTTTCATCGTGCGCAATTAAAAATATTAATTAATTCGCTGAGTGTGTATCTATGTGTGGGATGCGTTTAATTTGGCAACATGACATTTGCGTTTCATTGTGTTCCAATGACCAGTCATTTGTTGAATTTAACACCAATGCAAAATTAAACTGATGTTGTTTTCCAGGGGCGGAGTAGCATTGTGTTTATCACCACAGGGTAGACGGAACGGCGAAGCTTTGGTGCGGTTTGTTAGCCAGGAGCATCGCGACATGGCACTGAAACGGCACAAGCACCACATAGATTCGCGCTACATTGAGGTGTACCGCGCTTCCGGCAAGGACTTCCTGTCGGTGGCGGGTGGAAGTAGTTGCGAGGCGCAAGCATTCCTGTCGCGTGGTGCAGCTGTTATCATTCGTATGCGTGGATTACCCTACGACTGTGTTGCTAAACAAGTCGTAAGTTTATTGTTTTCACATCTAAATATGATGGATTATAACTAAAATTATATATGCTTTTAGTTGGATTTCTTCGCATCTGGTGAAAATTCTTGTTCCGTACTTGATGGCACCGAAGGGGTACTTTTTGTAAAGAAACCTGATGGTCGGGCTACTGGTGATGCGTTCGTTTTGTTTGCGAATGAGTCAGATGCGCCGAAAGCGCTGTCGAAACATCGAGAATGCATCGGATCACGGTATATCGAATTGTTTAGATCTACGATTGCTGAAGTGCAACAGGTAATTATATCAGCACGAAGTTTGTTTGATCACGTAGATATTACAATGAAAATTTCCAAGTTGTGGAGCTACTTGATGTGAGCAAAAAAAAAACATAATGTTCCTGCCTCCATAAACCAATAAAAATGTTTTCCGTGTAGTTTGTCAACTGATTATTCGAATGTTCTCTCGTGTTTTTATATGTTTTGCGGTGAAACTCTCATTTACCTGCTGTGTTTTTATGCTTAATGTCGCGCGTAGGTGTTGAACCGTTCGCTGGACCCAAAAACGTATGATCCGCCAGCGCCGCTGATACCACCGATACCGCAATTGCCTCTGCTGCCACAACATATCATAACATCAGGCACACGAAAGGACTGCGTGCGATTGCGTGGGTTGCCTTACGAAGCACAAGTCGAACATATTCTCGACTTCCTTGGGGATCATGCGAAAAACATCATATTACAAGGCGTTCATATGGTTTACAATGCTCAAGTAATACTATTATAAGAAATTTAAGAATACTTTAATTAATGTGATTGTGTTACACAGGGTCAGCCAAGTGGCGAAGCATTTATCCAAATGGACTCTGAGCAATCAGCGTTTGTTACCGCACAGCAGAAACACCACCGCTATATGATTTTTGGCAAGAAGCAGCGTTATATTGAGGTGTTCCAGTGCTCCGGCGAAGACATGAATCTCGTCCTCACGGGCGGTATACCGGCGCCTGTTTCGCCGGCGAAAGCCGCGCCCGCCCTGCTCAGTCCCGGTATGTTACCTTCGATTGCACCATTACCGCCTACTAATATACCACCGCCCCCGCCTCCGAACACGACGGTCGCGCAAATATCTCAAAACCTCGTGCAGCCTAATCATAATCTAAGCTGGGAGAACCCCACGTTATTCGCCCAGCAACAGGCGCAAATGATTGCACAACAGAATTTACTCGCGCGTCAAAATCAAGCGCAGGTGCAGAACGATCTGCTCCTGATGAACCAAATCGCACAACATAATTTCGCTGTCTTGAATCATCAAGCAGCCGCCGCCGGCGGGCCAATGTCACCCACGTCACAACAACATGGCATGCCGAACATGCTTAAGCAACAAGCGGCAGCGGCTCCCATGTCGATGATGTCACATATAGTACCGCAGCAGCATCCGTTTCTGTTGCGGATGGCGCCATCGATGGGGATGCCGCGCCCGCAAGTCGCGTATCCTCCACATTTATTACACGGACAAGCCGCGCCCGGCGTGGGTGTCTATCAACACGTGATGCCACACGTCGCCGCCGTCAAACGCAGCTATGGCGACGCTTTTGCAGAACAAGCAAACTCACCAGCGAAACGCGCGTTTCATCCGCCTGGCTCATATCCGCTTTACACTCAATTCTATCCGAATATGTAAATGCAACGTAATTGCACATATTTCAACTAATCGGATTTTTTTCAACAAAAGACAGCTAGATATTTGTAAATATGTACGATATTTTTTATATACGCGAATATTTATCTATATTTGATATACATTTACGACAATGCAGTTTAACTGCTTCGAACTTAAACTAAAACAACACATAACGATAAGCTTTGAGATATTTGTACGATTTGTCATGTAAACCCCTTGAAGGTTTTGGGTACCTCTATAATTGGTTGGTATTCATACACACATATTCCGCGGGGGGTGAAAAATAAACTGTTGGTGAATTTATCTCGGAGACAAGTGACGCAATGTGTACACGTTTTGTACCTGGCTAAAAGACATTATGTATACAGCTTATTCTTTGTTGTTGACGTTTAACTGTTGGAGAAGATGTGCTCTCATTGGCTACGACTATATCAGTAGGACATTCCCATTTATTTTAATATATTCGCAATATTATTCCAATTGTTATAAAAGACGCATTGAAAGATGACTTCATTTTCTTGTTAAAATATATAAATCGTGTTAATATATTTGATCTAGGCATTTGAATTGCATATAACGATCGATTTCGTTTCGACAAATAAGTTTTATAAGCTCTTATTTCATAAGTGATTTAATTTAAAGTTATCTTTGATGCGTACGCATATAATAATTACAATAATTGTTTTTCATGATCGAATCTAATCGTATAGATTTGCAAAATTCTTTAATTACATATACGTTTAATGTACGTTTAAATATTCAATAAGTGAAAACATGGAAATTGCTTGAATTAATTCATTATTTGAGTGTCGCTCTGGTGCTCTAATTAATTGCTCCGTCCTTGTTGAGAATATGCGAGCGAATTTTCATGTTTTCGCCTTGTTTGGTTGTTGTTAGGCAAAATTTTTATTGCGAGCGCAAGCTGTAGGCATACGATATTTTTAATTTTTTTGATTTTGTTTATCTGTTACTGGTTTATGCATAGTGTTAGAACTAAAAACGAAAGAGAGGCTGTCGCAAATTGCAACAAAACAACTCTTTAAGCTTTCGCTAGATTTCGGTGTTGTGTATGTGCGTCTCTGTGAGTCATTCGTTGATGGGGGTCGTTTTTTAGTGGGTTATAGAAGGAGACTAACAAACTTTGCGGAATCGAAGCTTTAAAACGCCATTTTCTTCACGTACTAACACGCTCTTTCTTTATGTGACTATTTTATTAATGATTCTGCAATATAATATCGATCATCTGAAAGCCTCATTAAATATTGATCAAGGTAAGATGGAAAGTGCGAACTTTGCGTCTCTGCCTCCACAAAATGTCATTTTGGGAAACTTGGAATGTTAATTATCTTAAGTACATTTGAATTTGAAGGTTAAGTACTTTTTTAGAAGTTTCGAAATTATTTCTGGGCTCCCCCTGTCACAATGCATGAATTTGACACTCATTTCACGCGAGTTACTTGTATGTTCATATACAGATCTAAATCTAGCGAAAGTTTGAGGTTATGGAAAGTTTATTATAATCATAAGTATGAGCGATAATTTTTTTGTATCGTAATACGTGTAACTTTGCAACATCATTGGAGAGCAGCTCTAAAATGATTTTTATTTTCATTTGAATTATGTTCTAATAATATTTTTATTTACACTTTATTAATAATAAATGTTTATGTCACATTAATGCTTTTTGGGATTAATGTTAGATATTCTTTCGCAAAATGCACCCGCAAAACTTATTAAGTTCTTTTCGTGCTTGCATCATTTTTAACGCATATCTATTTACTCTTCTGCTGTGTAAAATGACTTTTCCTGCAAACAAATCAAAAAATGCAAACGCAATGAACTTAATAAGCTTTGATGGGGACAAGTATGTGGGCTAGTTTTGTTTGGTTGGCCGGGACATTGGACGGGACAAGTTCGTTGGTGTTTGATGCCGTTGTTTTTATTGCAAGCGGTGGATATATAAAAACATATTCGGTAAAACATATATTTTCTGCTACATTTGTGGTGAGTCTATTTATTACTTATTATGCATTATTTTTAATTTTATAGAATAACACATTCTCTTTCCATTCCACATAATTGTACCTTACACTAGAAAGTATCCATGTGTGTAACTTTGTCGTTTGTGCGATTTAATTTAATTACATCTAAATTTATTATTATTATTTGCACGAATTTATGTTGAAGTAATGTAACAAAACACATTAAATCGCATTCTTTAAACTAGCGACAAATTTACGCTTGAATTCTTTGTGTTGTTGGCTTCTACTTCATTTTATTATGGTTATCTTCAATTGCAAATAATACTCGTGTAAAGCGATGACTGTTTTTTGGGTATATATATTATATTCGTTGATAATATTGTGATAATTGTGACGGGTTGATCGGGCGCGTCTTGATTATTTTTTGGTGTACGGTATAAGGATGTAGGTAATCATTGTTCATGTTCACAACACGCACACAATATCAAACACCATCATCAAGCACACGAGGAATCAATCATAGTTTGCAAATGACGCAGTGGACGCATGTGTAATTCATTATTTTGCTGTTTTTAGGTCTCTTTAGGTATCTGGTCCTTACAAATGTGACACTTTTCACACTCTACACACATTATTAATAATATAATTGCTTATAAATTGTATTTTACCAAAATGATAAACAAACAAACAGGTCTCACAATTACATAGAAGAAATTTATAGAGTAGGATTAAATAGTACGGATTATTTTGAATGAAAATATTAAAATTTTTGTTTTTTGGTTATGATGTGTGCTTTCAATGAATATTTTTTTATGTTTAAGTGTTTTAATTAATTTTGGCTTTGTTTACGAATCGTTCAAACAGGTGGAAATATTGGCAACATAATACCGACGGCCTATCATCCGGGAGCGAATTTCCCAGGATACGCGCCCGTCCAACTGGCCGCGCCGCCCATGGGAGCGCGGCAATTTTATCCGCCGCCGCAGATCTTCTACTGGCCGTATCCTAGTCCGCCCGTGTCGCCAACTAGTTACTATGCGCCGACGATGCCGCCGCCGCCAGGTGCAATGCCCGCGCCGCCGCCACAGCAGCAGCAGCAACAGCAGTTGGTACGTGTACGTATTTATACGATTTATCATCGTTCTTCGTAAGCGTAATTTCTTTCGTTTCATCATCGTTATCCACGTTACTTTGTTGCTAATCGGTTCAAGCAGTTTTACATTAAACTGCAATTATTATAACTTAGAAAAATGACGAAGACGTTTGTTTTATTTTTGCTCATTATTCGTGAAAATTTGCCCTAAGACGGGAGCGCGCTCAGAGGTTGCTTTTATTATTGGGGGGATTAATGAATGTCGGGGGAGTTTGTACCTGGCACGCAGACATGCAGACGGACGTTGCCGTGACATATAGCGGCTTTTATTCTCCGACGAGGTTTTAATAAAACAATGAAAAGCTTTTTTCCGCAAAAAAGTAATGCTTTAATTGTATACCGGCAACAATGGCGTACGATTTTGTCACGTCCCAATCCGCTAACTAAATACTACGTAATTTTCGATTAGCGAAGAAACAAACAAACAAATACAATGTAAACGTTTTGGTTTCGGGGTGAACGGAAGAAAACACCAAGATGCGCGCGAGTAACGATTTTCTCATTAGACGGGGCGTAATTTTCGTAAAAAGCGCTGTTGCAAATAAAAGTTCTACGCTGTGAAATGCTTAATTATTTACCGCAGACGCAAAAAGACGTGAATCAATTTTGATACTCACGTTACGTTCAGAGGTTTAGGCTTTAGGGGGAACATGAAGAACTTTATCAACTTTGACGCACGTAATTTTAAAATTTTGACTCGGGATATTATAAGACGCAAAATAAATTGTTCTTTGTTATCTGCCGGAAAAGCCACGGATACCTCCATTCTTCTGTGCTCGTGCAACGCTCGCTTAACGATTACGTATTACGTTTCGAAAATTTGATTGGTCCCATTACGCTCGGGGAGAAATTCACCTTTCACATCACTATCACCATTAAAATTGTTTACATGTCTAGTAACGCAAAAACTACACTAGATGTCACTACCTATATGTTTGCAAGAATTTTACTTCGTTAGCAGTTTTGACTCGCGACTTTAATCGCTTAGATTTTAACACAAAATAACTCAACTAATTAGTTTCTTGTTTTCTGCACCTATTACAAGAGTAAACAAATTAACTTCTGCATTGCTTTTTACAAAACAAGTTGTATTAATGTTTTTACTATTTTTCTTGCAATTTCTTCATATTTTATCACCTTCTGAACTTTCTTTTTAGACTTACACAAATAGTACAAAATTAAATTTAGCCAAATCGGTCCAAGTTTTAGTGTAAATAAATCTATTTTTTTTTGTTTCGCCGCAGATACCGCCTGATTGTATTCCAATGCAGCAATTACCGCCTCAGATGCAGCCGATCGAAGCGCGAATCATCACGGATCCGATGCAACGTTCGGATCATCATGAGAAAATCCGACAGAATTTCAGCAATCAGTACGTTGAACTAATCATTTAGTCCAGCGCTCTGGTGGGCCACTACTGGCAGTAGGTGAATCAATAAATGTAAAATAAACGCTCGTATAAAATGATATACTTAGTCATATTTAGAAGAAATATTTTCTTACAGCATTGACTAAAAACTAATTAGAACGAGTAGCAACACACATCTCTGTGCGTGTACAAGTCAATAGAAACGTGATTATCATTCAACTAGCTATTATTACTAATAATATTAGACAATTTGATAGTTTACTAAAAAGCAAAACATACAACGAAGATTATTCATTATGAGATAATTCCTAAAATTAAATGAAAAGACGTTAATCTTAAAAGTTAGCAGCAAATATTGCAAATGTCTTCCATGCATATAATAATTATTATTATTAACGTATAATAATATTGTGATTTGATGAATTTATTAACGACTTTGTATACATAGTCCTATATTTTTAAATACTGTTGTTGAAGTCTTTAAATTCTATTCAAAGCCTCAAAATATCCTCGCTGAGCGTAATATATTATTACAATATAAAAACATTTAAATAATACACTACAATATTCCTATTAAGAGATAATTGTATCTAAAATAGCGAATTTAGAGGAATATACATAAATGTAACAACGAAATAGTCACTACACTATTATATACATATAATTTAATGTTATCAAATTTTGTTATCAACAGATCGATGCCCTCTAAAACTCTTTTCTTGCCCAATCAAACACAACTTGTTTGTTTCGGTGGTTTAATCACTAAGTGAATATAATTCTAATACAAATATTTGTTGTATTTAAATGATAAGACGAAAAGCTCAAAATTTTACACGATAAGTAGATACAATTATATATATATATAAATATATATTATATCAAATGCCTAGCTAGAAATATGTAAATTAATTAAATTGTAAGACAATATATTAGATGCAATCTTTTATACTCTTGCTACGAGTGCAATATACTAAAGTCGAGTTTGACAATCAAACAAGAGGAAAGCTTTCTTTAGTCATATTTTATAGGTTTCCACTTGGGAACACTAACGGGCCTACGATATGGATGACAATAATATAAAAACTGAACCTTGAAACTCAATTAAAATGATTAATTATCTTCGATTTGCATTAATTGTACGGTTTTCTTCCAAATCGACAAAATATGAAATAAATGCATGTGATGTTTTTCATGTAACTCAACTAGATTACAAATAATTGTTTTTGTAACAGCTGTGTATTGAAATGCGTTTGGATTACATACTATTAATATAATAAGACTTTAGATGTAGTGTGAAACTAGAGAAATATACGATATGTAATTTTATTATGCAGAAAGTATATAAATATATGAGTTGTTTTGTTATATTTCAAATGTAAAGTTAAGACAATAAAAAACTATTGATTGTTAATAATATTGCTGTATTAGCATCTCCATTTTATAATATACTAGTATATCTCGAGTATATATAAAATAGTTCGTTACAAAACATCGATTTTACAAAAGAAAAAAGTTCAGAAACTGCAAAGTTAAAGAAAACAATGGAAAAACTAAAAATAGGTTACTTTCGTAATCGCTACTTGGAATTAAAACAGATGAAATAAGATCAAGTATGAAAAGCAAAATTTTGACGTATATTGATTGCTTTGCCGATTTTCACAGGACACTTTGAGAAATAGGTAGCCACAAAAAAGAGAGGGGAGGGCAGCTTAGAGATCTGCGCCTGAACTGTCGACTGATCCAGGCACGACTGGGCGCCTACCGCACTGCACGCTGCTTTTTTATACCTGCGCCTGACCCGCAAATAGAGGAGGGGGAAATGCGACGCCAAGAGGAACGTGGCTGAGAGCAAGGCAAGCGTGTTTAGAGGGTGTACTCCCTTGCTCTCAAGCCATGACATTCAAAATCACAAGGAGTTCCTAATTTATGATAAAAATTTATATCTCATTATTCATTATAAATTCAAATACGAATAAGTAAATACCACGGTATAATGAAATTGAAATATTTACTATTGGTTTTTAAAGCTGTTATTGTCCAAAGGCCATGAACGAAGCAAAATATAAACCGCAAAACGCGCTAAAATGATAGATGCATAAATGCAAAACTTGATCCATGATGCTCTCGCACGAATTACACATCTCTTTCATTTGCACATTTCATTTAGGTATTTACTGTTTTAATTATAATAGTAAACCAGGCGTATGCTAACGACACCCCACTTCATGACAATATGAATGAAATACGCGTTTGTTGGTGTGCAAAACAATTAGGTTAATGAGGTGTCTGGATATAAGCACAGCAGACAAGCACGTGCTATGAATATAACTTAGCAAATAAATAATTATTAATTAATGTATATTTTGTATTTAAGACAAAATACAGTGAAGCTTTTATTAGAATCCTTGAAAATTAATTTGTTTTAATGGTGGCATGAATTGAAATGGAAGCTAGTGCTGAAATGCGATTCAATTACATGCAGAGTGCACGTCGGTAGTAATTTGTGATGGCAGTGTGACGCGAACGCAAAGAATCCAGGTATATATTCGAAAGATTAATCGTCGATCTTCGCTGCACGATTCCGTTCGCCCCGCACACAAAAGATTTTCATAGTATGTAGAAATTTTGATGAATCACTGCAAGTTCCAGCCGTCGCAGGAACCGACCGTCGTGATTATAATAAAAAGGAAACGCTGCGGCATTTTGATTAATATGTTTCACCGTTCGCATGCGGCATGCCGATGTATGAATGCATCATAATGCAAAATGCCTACGAACGAAAATCAATATCGGCATCATTTTAATACTATTTTATTTTTGAAATAAAAAAAATCAAATTCAGAAAGTGCACCAAATTTATATTCGCGTATAAAATATTTTTAATTGAAACGGAATTAACCTTATGTAATTGAGTTACCTTGCAATCACAGCCAACGATTGCATTATTGCACGCCTGGGGAGGTGTATGGAATATCATCCAACGTGCTGGACATCCAACGTGCGACGTGTGTTCGTTGCTGGCATCAGGTGGACGTGGGTGCGCGTGTCAGTGCTACCTGTTGCCAAATTTTCATCACCGAGTTTGCGCAGCACGTCGCGCTGCAATCATTGTGTGGGCGACACAAGGTGACTACGAAAACGTTCAACTCCTATTTCTCTGAATCATCAGTCCAATCAATTCCTGGAAGGATTTTACTGCGAAACGTCGTGTTGGATTTACTTTGATTTTAGTTTGCGCTGTGTTCCAACACGGAAATGACCTTAAATCCTTTTCGAAATTGAAATATCACTGGAATATTAGTCGAAAACGTAGAGGACTATTGAATTAAACGTATGTCAACGGGGTGTAATATAATAAAAGCACTTTAAAATCATTGTAAACAGTTTTTTTGTCAGTGAGAGCGACAATTTCCCGGGTTGCGTTGTTGTAGAATGTATAGATGAACAACAAGTGTGCGAGGCGGTTGGAGCGTGAGTCTTTCCGGGGCGCAGGTTTGTTCTATCTTCGTCAGTTGCGCATGGTGTTGCGTGAAAAGATCGTTGCGCGCGGTACAGCGGGGCGCACGGGCGCGCGCTCGCGATTCGCCCTCGTGTTTTCCTCGCTTTCTGCCGCCGACCGAGCCGACCGAAGGATAATCATTGGTGTGCCAGTTGCCGTGGAGTGCGTTACGGTGCGCATCGACCGGTGAGTTCTTCACTTACGATAATTTATCATAGACATTTATTTGTGGCTTATCTTTATCGCGCGTATAATTAACTAAACTATCGCAAATTGATTGTGCGCTTGTTGTTGTTGCTGTTAGAAGCCATGAAAGTCAACAAGTCAACGGGAAGTTTCTCGCGAAACGGATCGTTGCGTTCGCGCCGATATACAACTTCAGCGGCGAACGCATCATATTCATCGTTGCCAAGTCCGTTGCCGCCAAAGAGTCCTACAATTAATTACCAATGTACTGTTGATCCGCCAGAACAAGCGCACAGTTACTATAAAAAATCGCCAACTTCACCGAATTGTTATCCGCGTTCGCCGCGGTCGCCGGCGGCTTACATGGCACAATCATCTTCGCAAAAGTCACGCTCGCCGTCGGCGCAAAGCGATCGTCACGTTTCGACTGGCTTCGGGCAAAAATCACCCAGTGGACAATTGTCACATCATTCGACATCGTCCGATCATTGCGTTTTTGATTTTGTCGCACAAAAGTCGCCAATACTCACACCGAAATCACCGCGTTCACCGCGTAACATACACTATGAGTCCGGAGACTCACCAGCTGGTTCACCACCGCATACTTCATCCGCGTCGAGTGGGAATTATTTCAATTTCAATCTGCAATCACCGCCCAAGGCGAAGCTCAGCAACGCGTCGAGCCCAGCATCGAGCAAAGCATTCCACACACGCCAGCAGTACCAATCAACCAAAACGGATTCATCCAACTCGACAAAATCTAGTCTGGAATACGCATCGACGAAAAAGCACCCGAATGGCGATTACCAAGATATTGAATATAAAGTATGCAATTCAATCGACTCGGATTCACAGCCGAGCAGTTCGGTAGATTTTCCCACGTGCGTTGGGTACAGATACAATTCGGAACGTCGCAACGCCAGGCACCCGATGCTGAAAGAGAACATCAGTACCAGTGGCAGCACAGTCACAGCCGGCGGTAGCAACAGCATCACCAGCGGCAACAGTAAACCAACTAAGCCCAAATGTAACATCCGCACGAATCCGGGATATGACGAGCGCTACTCCTCGAGCAAATCCATCAACGAGTACAACAAGAAGAGCAAGAAAGCGCACAAGTCCTTCGAGATATGCAGGAAGTCCACCAGCGACCTCACCGACCTAACCGACGAGGCCGCCAACACCACGATGACATCGTTAAGTCGGCCCAGCTCGCCGCGACGCAAGGGATCGGTAAAGAGCGGTTTGGCCTACTTGGCGTCGCGGCGCGGTTCACGCGATTCTGTCGCCTCCAACATGTCCAATGTATCCAACGAAGACATCGGACCTTTGAACTTTCAAAATACTGCGCGTGGACGTCAAAGAAGGACTTCAAACTTTTTGGAATTACCAGGTAAGTAAATTTAAAAACCTTAAAATTTATAAGAAATGCAATAAACCTTTTTGAATCGCTTAGAAAGACCAAAATATCACCAAATTGTATTGTTTTACTTTTGCTGGTCTTAAGCATTCAAAATACGAATTTCGGAGACAAATTAAGTTTCGAAAATAAAACAATTCAACGTTTAATACAACAGAGAACGAACCCGTTTGAAAAGCCAGCGCGTACGTCGATAATAGCATTAAGAATGTCGTACTTATCAGGCTTACTAACAAAATCCCATTCGGAATCGCCGTGTCTCGCACCGGAATGGAGTAACATAACAGACGGGCGTCGTTTACAAAGGATATGCTCGTGATTAATGCGATATCAACGATACAAGCACGGATTCACTCGAATATTATCTGCGTATTGTGCGGAGGCAATTCACGTACGTGAAACGTTTGTGCGTTGGGCTTTACAGACTAACTAATGCGTACAAATTAATTAGTGCGCACTGAACATTCCAATCCGTATAGAGAGGTATTTGCATTTGATTATTGCGATTCATATTTTATCTTCAAACAATAACAATAAGAAAACATTTTGTTTATAATATTACATCTACCGAAGTTGTCATCTTGGATCTACATAGGTTATCACTACAAGTTGTTTAATTAGTTAGTAGTTCCGATTCAAATTACAGCACGTGTTGTAATTCTGCAACTCGCAAACTCGCTTGTTATTTGTTTGCTAATGGAAATGCGACGCAATGAAACATCGAATTATTTATTTGTCAAAACGTGATTAATGATTAATGATGCGAGTTGAATACAATGAGAAGTTTTCTATTTACACAATTCACTAAATGGGTTTGTCTCGAACCACATTTCAGTGGTTAATTTAATAATACCTTCAAATGTGTGTTTTTTACTTTACTCGGTGGTTACAACTTACAACGTGGCACAAATAATAAATGACGCCAGCGCACACGCATGAAATTCTGCCTCTGGCGGTGGTAGGAAAGCGTTAATCATTTATTTAGGCGGTACGTGTGTGGGTAAATATGAAACGCGTGTGTGTTTGGGTCCGGCCGGACGTCTCTATTTTAACTACCTATCTATCGGGCGAATCTTCCCGGCTTTTTGGGAGGAAATTTCATTTCGGCGCCCGGTTTAAGAGGATACGCTGGAAAATGTGGGTCGTGTGGGGGCCGTAAAGTAATCTAATGGATCGTGTGTGCGTGTAGGTATATACAGCGGAAATTTTGAGTTCACTGCAGTTACTTATTTTATGTGCGCTGAAGAAACCTGTTGCGCGTTGCGCGCCTTGAAAACGGAAAAGGGATGAGAATATCTAATGGCTCTTCTAAAATATTTCTTTAGCGAAATGTAGACCTTTGATATGCTAATATCAAACGGGTTTGCGTTTAGTACGTTATAAATTTCCACACAAAATTATTTCGACTTTTATTTTCCCCGAAAATGTAAATTAACTATTTGTGTGTTATTAAATCTGTCAACGTGAGATGATCAATAATTGTCCCCGTAGTAATACCTGCAGAATGTGATTGGGATGCACGTTTATGACACGTGTTTCGATTATCTGTCCACGTAACAGATCCTCAATTCCAATTCTGCTTTGTGCTCAACTCATCACGTGCCCTAAGAGTATCCCAATTAATTGTACATTGAATAGTTTACACCACAAAGAGGCGGATATTTTACGCAATCAAAATTTGCATAAACTTTATTTGGAATTGATCAATTTTCGTAATTAAATTCATTGGAAAGCTTTCATCTTACTTGTTGAATTCAATTTCAAACGAAACTAAATGAATAGTTGATATTTCGCATTGAATCGTTCTGATTGCAAAGTCGATGAAAGCAGGCGCGCCTTGAAAGCGCCACTCCAAGTTTTTTTTTTGTTATATTTACAGATAGAAATATTGATTTTATGCCAGACTAACTAAAAAATTAATATTTTTGTGTTTTTTCGTAAATATTACCATAACATCACTTAGATATATGTATACTGAATTTATTTACCTAATAACTTTTAATTAAAATTTTTAATTTACAGATATTTATATAAAATATAAATATATAAATTGTGTAAATTTTGGAGCATGTGGTGTTTGTCAGAAACGCGTTGGCTGATGAAGGGAATTGTTGTAAAGCTTCGAAGAGACCCTAAACTTTTACGCTCGGCGCTGCGCCATGCTGAAATACGTTCCGCACTTAGCAATGATTTACGGCGTGTAACGTTGTTTCCTTCGCATATACTTATATAACTTTCGCTGCGTTTTCGAATAAATGGATATCTGCGGTCGACCGCGTGGGAAAGGGAGTGAAATGTGTTGTTCTATTTTGTTTGCGTGAATTCAAAGCTTCAAAACTTCAAACATTTAGCGCATGACTTTCTACTGGACATTTAATTAAATGTATTATTTGATAACTATTTAAAAGCACGTTTTTAAACACTGGTGCACTAAACACCAATCATTTTTTTAAACTTAATAAAGATTTAATTTTTTTATTAATTACTATTAATCTATGCCGGTTTGAGACGTAAGTCATATAAAATCATATACGTATAAAACACGTATAGTATAAAATCATGTCACTATAAATATTGCACGTATATGTTACATATATGTATATTTTTTCTACTTCTACCTTTAAAGCACAAGTTTTTCCACGGTTTTTCGATACAAAAAGTGACACTTTACACACGGACGGCCAAGACTGTGAGTAAAGTACTTTCTTTATTCACATAGATAATGGGGCGGAACCTGCTCCTTGCCATGATAAGGTATAAAATACGGGAAATGATAAACGTTACTTACTTAATAAAAAATTCAGAAAAAAACTTTCCGTTTACAATACGACCACGCTTGTAATATAATTAGTATTAAATAATTTAACATTATTTTGTAAATGATGTTTTTCCGCTTTGAAAACGTAAATCGTTGTCAATCTTAGCCGCGACGTCATACACAGCCACCCTAGCATCGCTTGCAAATTATATTTTTTTATGCATTTTGGGCAGCAATGTAGGCGGCAGTGGTGGCGACAACCACACTAAAATAATCCTTTTAATATTCCAAAGTTTTATAGCATTTGGATGAATGGTTTAGGCAGGCATAGTGAATACACAATCAAACAAACACCCATTGTATTTTATATCTTTGTATATACAATTATTCGATGAGTGGGCATGTGAATGAACACCTCCTAAACTGCTGAACCGATTTTGATGAATTTTTTTGTGTGTATTTCAGTGGATTAAAGAATAGTTTTGATGCACAATTAATCCAATGAAAAATGTTTATCTAATTAATTCTTTATATATAAATTTGTGGATGCGTCGTCACACGCGACATACCAAATGCCAATTAGATTAGTTGAATATTGCGATCTTCATTTGTCACCAAGTTGTTAACTGACGGACAACTTCCCGAACGTGGCAGTCTAATTATCGGGCTCGGACAATCCCTAACTCCACAAATTGTTGTCTTGGATTGTTTTAGTGTGAATCTGGCGAAGAACGCTGCAATCGCTGTGCCTAATAAAAATTCAAAATTTTTGGAATTATTGACTTTTTTTTTAATACTAATGTAAAACGATTTTTATTTTTATATTTTGTGTGCTTACTTTTTAGAAATAATACGCTAAATACATTTATGACTGCGTTTTAATTAATTTTAATTAAAGCTTAAACCAATGTACATAAAACCTTTGTTGGTTACGCAAAAAGAGCAGATTTTTACTTTTTTATTCTTAAATTTCTTCATCTAAAAGCAGTTTTAGTCTCGAAGGCACAGCTGATATCTAGGTTGTACGCAAACGAACGAAAGGTAAAGTTTCAAAGTACACTCATGAAGTGGCGGTAGAGGCCACAGCAGCCCGGCGCATCCACTCCAATCTAACCGCAAAAAGGAAATTACATAATACAAGGCATTCTTTTGTGCGCCTCCGCGCATGTACCATTGCTCTTTTAGCAAAGGCCCTTCTTTCAATACGATAGCATGATACGTGCGCTCATTTTACCGAATGCATGAGTCAGCAGGCTTACGTAGGTTTTTATTAAAATACCTTATTCGTCATTTTTATCAGGAGAAACACATCAAAAAGTCGTTTTTAGAGTGTAATGAGATTTTCGGTCGTTTTCGCCAGTTGCGCCAAGTGTGTCACACGAATTCTTTGATGATTAATACCTACATTATGTGTTATTAAGGTATTTTCACTGCGCTGTGTAATGTATGACCACTTGTAGGAGTCTGCGCTGATATGCAAATGTTTCCACGCCGATGTGTCGTGATATCTTGGCAGACGCTTTGTGCCAAAATGGTCGACATGCGACACACGACTAGAAACTTGTTTTTTTTTTCTTTGCGATAAAGAATACCGTTTTATTACGAGTTTGCACGCCAGGCTGAGAACACGCAAGAAGTCTTCCTTGTACTCGTTACGGCTACGGCTACGTAAATACTTTGGTAGTCATTTGCATGGGAAATCTCATTACATAAGGAACAGGAAATAAAAACGTACGCGTGTTTTTGCTTAAAATAACTGTGGTGGTAAGTTAGCTTGTGTAAGCAAACGGTTGACGTAGGTACCTGCTTGATTTGATGACGTACGTTTGCTTTATTTAGTTTTTGGCTAATGGAATCATTCTATCGTATTTATAAAATTTAATTATATCACACCTAGTATGTGTGTAATATTATAAATGCAAATGTAAATGGGTGACGCTTATACTGAAATACTTTTGGTATAAAGATACTTTTGAACCAAGGAAGAGCTAGTAGGCGACTTTTTGTCGTAATATTATAATTTTCTAACGTAAAATATTAGATAAAAGTTGGTATGTAGTTTCAGTCATAGTTATAGTTAAATAATTTCAATCACAATGCATTCGAGTGCATCATTAGCATTTTTATTTTCTTGTCTTTGAATTAGGTATCTTGAATTTTTCATCTGAAATTGTTCGGAAAATATTTTATGCACAGTATTTGAAAAATGTTCATCTTATATGCCAAATTATTCATAATTACTTTCCAATGAAAGCAAAAATTTGTGTTTTTTTAATGGTGCTTGTGTCGCTTCGGTGCGCGCTCTTAACGCTTTATTAGTTTAATAGTAAATTAAGTTTATCACAATATCCCACATGGTTCCCAAGCGCGCATAAGCTTGATATTAATAATAAACATCATAAAACTTTGCGCGTATGCATCTAAATAATATGGGGATTAAGTGCGATAAAGTTCCATTAATGATATCAAGCGCCAGTCAGTTTATAACATTTTCGACCATATGATGCTAAAATGCTGCAAATACTTTACATTTAACGCGTTTTACCTTAATAATAATACAGTTAGGCTTGATTTTATAACTACTCTTCAAAATTTTACAAATAATCAGATTATTATCTACATAAAATAGTACCCCTTAAAAACTTTGTATTATCTCATCAATAAATGATGTTTTAAATTAATTATCAACTAAATTTAACACGATTTTGATATTAAAATGAAACAAATATTAAAAATTTAAAACATGTAAATTAATGTTATTAAGATGGATGAAGCACACGCTATTGTCGATAATTGGATTAAGAAAATCTTTTCCTTGCATAATTTTTCCTCAAGATTTTTAAAATTCTTAATTCAGCAAGGAATGGAGATAAAGCAACCAAAAAGGTCCTGAGAATTGGTCCAGTTATTCTTTAGCAGAACAATACCGATTTTGTTTTCTACATATAGATGTGGTACAATAATTATACTAGGGATAAAATATGAAACCAGTTACAGTTGTTATTTTTAATTTTCTAACGGACGGGCAGTTCCTAACTACGTTCCCGTAATTATGCACACACATACGCATGATTATATACCTACCAATTATTAATGTTTGCATGAAATTTAAAACGCGGCAAATTAAAGGGCTCGGTATGATAAAGCTTATTGCACGGTGTGTGCAGCGCAGCAAGCTGTCATCGCGTTGGCCCGAGCTTGTGTTTAACCGTTGTTTTAATGTCTGTTAATTGCTCGTTAGTTGTGACATCGTATATGCACGTAATAAAAACACACCTTCCCCACCCCCAGCCCGACGTCTGGTTAAACGTGACGCATTAACGAAAGCGGCTAACAATATTTTAGCAAAAAAAATAATAATTACACATTGCGGTGAAAAATAAGACGGAATTCTATATAAAGGCAATTTTCACCTTTTGTTATAAAGGACAATGGCGTTGTGATTTTTCGGAGAGAACCTTCCGTGAAAAGCCACGTGCGTCAATAAAACGCGACTGGTGGGCTGGTAACAAGAATTCTTCTAAGCCCATTACGCTCCTCACAGTAAATGGTTTTCAAGTTCGAAGTGACGCAGATTAATTTACACTTCTAGTGGCTGTAACGGTTCTTTTGTTTCGACGTAGGCGTCGATATTAGATTATATAGGTTACATATACATGTACTTACCTACCTATATTTCTGTTGTTCAGAAAAAAATCTTTATTAAAATGTTAGCAAGTTGTTCAATGCGCACGAATGCGCAATTTCATCATTTTTTTACGTTTGTTTGTTTATGTATTTTGTTATCACGGACAACAACACAATCAACATCCGTCGGAGAAGATCAAACGCATCAAACTTGGGCCCGGAGATGAATGTCAAACAATTTGCGATGCTTTTCATTCCGAGCGGAACAATATAATTGAGAAATGCAACGTTATTTCAGCAAAAATACAATTTTTTCGTATTAATCAGTTGCGGCATTTTGTTATTAAAATTTTCTGCACACAGGAATATGTTAATATAGGTAGAACTGTGTGCGAAACGCTGAAAAATATTTACAATGCATAAATTCAATCAGGGCATTCGCATACTATGCCTAATTGAACAATTATTCGGTCATCCATTTTCATTTCGTCCACCCACGTCTGCAACCAGCGCTAATACTTCATGCCGGATTAAACAATTTGCACGGCAAATTAAACAGGAAGTCATGCATACATTGATGAGTTAATTAATGATGGAATTGATTAGAAGTTTGCGTAAGCAAACTCGAAGGGTAATTCCGGAATATGAATTGCTATATTTATTAATTTCAATCTTCTATGCTTAGTTCCAGATCATATCAGACCAAGAGTATGCTCGTTGCCGGAGAAAGCATACAATCCCAGATTTAGTGATGACTTATACCGATTGCGGACGTTCAGCATAACGAATAAGGGTGGAGTCGTCAACTGTGGAGATTCGATTATTAATCGACGGTCGAAATCGAATACGAGTGTTAATTCTACTACAAGCAGGTAAGTTTCTATGTTTATGGTATGCAGTGTTGTGAAAGATAAACTAAATTTCATGCAATTCACTTTGAGAATTGAGAATTGTATTTATGCAAATGTATATAAATATGTAGCATGTTAATGCCAGCCAAGAAAAGTTTTGATCTTTAAAATTTTGCCCATTATGCATTTTATTTATATACTGCTACCATTTGAGGATAGATAGCTTTAAGAAGCACATACGTTCGCTGCAAAGAAGTTTATGTTGCCAATTGTGCATTTTCATTAATGAATACCCATAGATATTTGGAGGCACGTCTAGAGGACAATAGTATGTTTCGTCAATTGTATGATAGAATCAGTAAGCGCACAGTTGTGCATAAACTACTTACGTACTTAAATATAACGGTATATATGGCACTAAGAAGCCCTTATATGCAACAAATTCGCAAAAGTAATTTGTTAGTAGATTTATTCACGTATGTAGCCTAACTAATTAGTTTCTCATTGTCTGCACCTATTCTGTGCCGAATGCGTTAATTAGATTATCAATTTAATTTGAAGAAAGATAAGTGCTAAATGCATATTAAAGCTATTTTGTTTCGAATTACATGACTATACCTATGATTGAAGTTCCATATTAATTTTTATCTTTTAATTTAACACTCTTCTAACTATACTTTTGAAACAATAAATTTATTTTATTTATTTTCTTTGATCAAAAATATCTTTAGATCAAAATATAAAAAAAAACATGTTTCCAACGTCTAGCGTACTTTTCATTAATATTATTTTTAAATTATTCACAAAACAAAATTGGTAGTGGTAGATACATATTTAACCTTACCATGAATAAAACGTGAATCATAAAAATAATACTTGTGTAAATAATTTTCAATACATTTGCTTTTATATTAAGGCGATCATTCTTCAACGAAAATCTAAAAAAAACTCTACTTAAGAAAATTGCGAAGACCTCTCGAAACGGAGAGCACATTTCCTCTATCGGCTCTATCAGCCGCTTACCAAAAGACATTTCATTACGTGCGGCTGAAAGGATTCGAATTTGCATATCGGTTCGTGTCCTTCTCTTTGCCACTCTTCGCCAATATTCTCCGTGCTTCTTTGTGGTGACGATAGCAGAATCATTTTAATTAAACCACTGCCGATACGAAAATTGTTTGAATTCTTTCAATTATTTCGCATTAAATTTATCTTCCTTATACAATATGCGGCCGCACTGAATTTACTGAATATAATTTGCATAGCCCTCGCCCCGGTGCTTTGTCCTCGTTGATATTATTTCAGTGTGACGGCAAAACGACAAAGAACTCAAATTGTTTCCACGCTCAGCGGAATAAAATAAAAACACGCGCACAACTTGAGTAGTACCTACGCTCCACTTTCAGAAGTCATTATTTCCAAGTTAATAAAATAAAGAACGCGTGGAGTGCGTGGTGGAAATTTTCTTCTGTATTCCTTTCTATGTTTACTGGCTGCGATGCGCACCAAGTGATATAATGAGAACTGAGAAATCGTAAGGAGCGTAATGTTACAACAGTACAATAAGAGTCTTACAACGGATTTGTATTCACAATGTTTGCTTTTTATGAATTCTAAAGGCCGATTACAACATATACCGACGTGAATATATTTATGACGTTAAGTTTGAAATGCTTTAAATGTTTATAAAATAAACGCTACATGAATATGGTAAATTTATTTAAAATTTAAATAGTAGATTCGTAGGCTTTAGTCCTGTTTTTTCTTTTTACTTTCAATAATGTGCTTTGACCTACGGCACATTTTCATTACCACTTAATTGATTTCATTTAGCTGCGACATAAAGTGCAGCTTATGGGAAACCAATAACCAACCAAACGAACGACACACGAAGTCGCAGCTTAAATGAAGTGAAACGAACGCGTTCAGATACACAGATACATGAAATTGAATAGCGTGCTAAGTGGGTGATTATTGAGGACGATTTGCTGCGAATGCTGTGAATACAGAGTTGGTTTAGCCATAAAATCCGAAACATTTTCTTCGAAATTTTACTTGAATAAATACTGTGCCAACCCTGGACAAATACGCTGTGTTCGTATAAAGCGGAGCTCGGGTGTGAAATAATAAAAGTGCGAAGTACACTTCATGATATAAAAAAAAGGACACATCTATGAATGTGTAGACGGGTAGACGTGAAGTGTTTAATAGGGTTGTTAGTCATACAAAGTGCATTTAACTTGCTGACAAATTGCTTCACATTCGAACACGAGTAGTAGGAACATAGAATAAATTTATTTATTTTATCTGGGAGTTTTGTAGAAGTTTGATTTTTTCAATATTTTATCGGAAATATAAAGTTTGTTTAAATTTACTACTTGCGTTTGGGGAATTTTCGAACGTAAATATTGTATGAGTCTGCCAAGTTTATAAAATTGATTATAAACTTAGCCAAAAGATATAAAAGTTATGTTTATAGACCAAATTGATAAAATTCAACAGTAAAGTACGTTGAGCTTTTGTCCGCGACTTTATCCACGTAGATTTTAATAAGAAGTAGCGGAAGTAATTACTTTCTTATTTCTTGGGCTTACGTATTATGTGAGTCGGCACAATAAGATTCAAAATCTGAATTGGCATTATTTATACTAACTATAATAAAATAGTCTTATTCATTTTTATTCTTTATTTTACTTTTATTAAGTTATATTTTTCGATGTAGTCTAGTTGTTTTTCCTTGGTCAAAAATATATTTTTCTACTTCCACCTTTAAAGTGGTATTTTTTTCCACGGTTTTTAGACATAAAAAGTGGTACTTTAAACACGGACGGTCAAGACCATGACAAATGTTCTTTACAAATCTTTACAAATGTTTCAAATAAACCAGCAAGTTTCCTGTTACATTTATAATATTAATTTGAAATTATATTATTATATTATAAACAATTTCTTGTCTGTTTCTTTTGATATAAGTATTATACTTTTCAATTCAATATTTACATTTTTATTTTATATTTCTACCGTAAGAGGTTACCACAAGTTCTGTAAGTTTCTATATTACACCTCGTTGTTATCAAACTTCTATCTCTAACAGCCGATTTAAAACACTCGTTCATGTATACATGTGAGATAAGACGCAATTTATCGTTATCTCAATTACATTACCAGCTGCAGCAACAACAAAAACAGTTGTGCACATCACACCACTAGAGAAAAATTGAAAATTAATTCAATTATCTTTGTGGAATGCGGCTGCTTTGATGTTTAATTGGGTTTTGATTGCACTCGACTAGACACTCCACTAAAGTATTCGCGTTTCTTTGAAATACCTATCAAGAATTCAAGTAAATAAAATTAATTTTAGTACGACCGATACGAACGGGCGATTAAAAGTTTGTCGGAAATTTAAAATTTACGTCAATATTGATTCACTGTTTCCTCGAAATTAATTTTATTTCATATCTCATTTTTATTCGTTCTTAATTAGTTTTGTTAAGTCGTTATAATTCAATTATATTTTTTAAGCGTTGTTATACCCATTAATCTGTATCAAGTTCAGGCTAGTTTTAATAGAAAACAGAATATTGTGTTTTTTTCAGAAATAAATTTACTATCAATCACTACCTCTCCTATTGTTTTTTTTTATTTGATAAATTTCATTATTTATCAAGAGATAAAAAATACTTGAACTAAACTGCATACTGCATTGTTTAACTTTTTAGAGCATAAAATTGAATATTTGCCTTTCGATTCATATTCGAATTATGGCAATTAAAATGAATTTGCAATTCGATGGATAAGCTGTTCGGTATGCGTCCACCAGACTACTGCTCACTCCACGCAACGAATAATGTTTGCGCATTAACCTGAAGTCCGTGGAATCTCGCGTCTGGCAGCGTAATGAAGTTTTTTTTTCATCTACTCCCTCAACCACTATTTCCAGTCTGGCGTCGGGCGTCTATTTGCGCGCTGAAAATGTTTACACTCGATACAGATTAGCCCACCACTTGAATGCAAAAAGAAATTGACTACCGCACAATCTTAATCTACCTACTGCATATTAATGCATACTTTTACAAAATAGATTATATTCTTAACGAGTTTTTGTAACGTCGTGCGCGTTTTTTTTCTGCGACGGCATAAATTGTGGTACAAAAAGTGTAATTCGTGTAATTTTTCAGGTGGACCACAATTTGCCTAAGCCGTTTAAGCATGAAATATAAAATTTGAAAATATTATTTTTAGTTAAAACTAAAATCCAGTTAATTATGCTTACGTTTTCTCATAAATCATTTATTTACACTCGGAGTTTGCTAGTTGATTAGTTTTTGATTAGAATTTAATGTATTTTTATTTAATGCAATTTACTCATGTTAAAAATATATCTAACCTAAATATGTAAAGTTTTAAACTTTGTATGTGTTCGTAAATGGCAAATAATATTGGAATATGATTTGCGATACATATAATGTTTATTTTCGAGATGTAGCGACTAAAATGCATAGCTTGTTCGTCCATTTTGTATTCGTATGTGGTATGTATTAAGTGCTTATCCCATTACGCTCCATGTGGTGTTCCTGTTCGTGCATTGGCATTACATATCGTTCCATCCACCCCGTTCGGCACAATAGCGTACATTATAGATTTTATGTAAATCCATCGTGCACAAGTTCACCTTAGTTACAATTCCGATGGCAATCTACCGGATCTAATGCGCGTACCTTCAACGTTTGTCCAGCACTCGCCGACTGACTGTTCATTGTAATTGATACGTCGGCCTCTTTTTGATTGATGACCGTTATCTCTTCAACTTTAGTTGTATATCGACGATGCGAAAATTTTTGAGATGGATCGATTTTACGTTCAGTTTACTTTGAAATTTAATCAAAAATCAATACTATAGTGTGGATAAAGTATAGTATTATAACACTTTGTTAAATTGAGTTAATTGAGATTGTTATCTTAACATTTTCTGTGACAAATTGTTTTTTTTTTTCTGATCGATTGTGTTATTACGTAAGGTAATTTACTTTATTGATCGAAATGTGGTATTTTACTGTATAAAATAATTTTCGTCGAAGAAAGTGACTGCAAACGTTCATCGGCAACTTTCACACTTGACGGAGCTTGCAGTCACTGCATGCTATTTAAGTACCCTCGTCGGCACTAAGAAAAGCTTTCAAGAAAATGAATATTTTCCAGGTCGTATACAACAATGTCTCGTAAATAAAAGGCGTGCTAATAAAATAAATATAAATCAAACCATTAGAACATTTATTAATTGATGCGAATATAGTATAATAATTTATATATAAGCATTTTTATGCAATAGAATCATTTGTAGTTATGTTTGGAAAATAATTGGAAGAAGGATTTAAATACTAATTTTTTTTGTTTTTAGCGTTCAATTTAGTTTCGGTTTCAATAGGTCAAAAATTGAATAGCTGTGAAAAACGTTGGTTCATGGCCGATGGGTATTGTTAACGTTTGCTCTTTCAAATATCCTCTGGGATCAGGGAATTCGAAAAAAGCGCCGAGCTTTACAATGTTTGAACCATTAAACAAAAAACATTTAGTACTGTTTTGTATTACGCTTTTGAATGCTTTGTGATTTGTTAAATTTAAAACGTAGGTACCTGCCTAAACGTGAAACCTTTCTTGTACGTAAATGTTAATTTCATATTAAAGCACGAACGCCGTTTAGCATTTTCATGCTATTTGGTAAAGCGCGTCGGTACAATGCTTTTTCGACGAAGCAAGTTTTATAGTCCGGTTTTGGTCGATCGGAACATTTGAATTGCACTTACGAATGCGTAAACCGCTAAACCCAAACGTCGTAAATACGCGAAAAGCTTTTGAGCGTCGCGACGTGAATTCACCGTTGTTGCGTCTGGTGCTTTTAGTATGCTGTACTCGTTTCGAATCGGTGTAAAAGATGCCGAAGTATTTAGCACGTGAGTGGAATATTTTAAGTCACACAATGTTTTTAGCCATATCGTCGCGTTATACACAGCTATGAAATAATATGTGGTCATAATATGTGTATTAAAAGTAGTCTATAAAACAAGTATAAAACATTTCAGGTCAAACTAGAATTTTATCGAGTTAATATCCAATAAATATTCATGCGGATAGGTTAATTAAAACAATGTACATATAAGTATAACTAAATTTTAATATTTAATGAAGAAAATTTTGATTTTACGGTAAAATTTACAACAACAAAATAAATCAATTATTGTTTCATTGTTGAAGCAATATTAATGCATAATAAATTTACATGTTTAACAATTATTAAAACTTTTGGGTTTTGATGAGAATAATAATTAAATAAAAATAAATCGACGTTTCAGCGATTTATACACAGCTTAACTTAAAGGGAGTTAAATAAAGCATTCAACTTTATAGGAAGGATCAATCTTAGTCATAGATCTTGAACGGAGATGCTAAGATGCACTTATTTGCATTGTGGCGAAGGTGCTAGTTGTCAATGAGTTAACATGAAGTTAAATGGATCCATTCGTGTTCGTGTGAGATTGTATGCAATCACCAAGTTAATCGGTAGGCGTCAGCGAGTGTGCATTGAGTTATATAGGTACTTACTCTCATGCTGTGTGATAGCGTTGAATTCGCAGATTGGGATTCTCAAAATATAATTTATAAGTATTTTAATCATGATGACACTTAAAACTAACCCCTAGCCGCATACTACATATTTTTAATACATTATTATTTTATTGTGGCAATTTTTGTGACAAAAAATCTACTTTTTGTTTGTCAAAAATATCTTAAAACTAAAATTTATCCAAACTGGTTCAGTGGTTTTTGCGTACTTCACAAATAAAAAAACAAACATTTGCATTTATTACGTTTGTCAGAATTAATAAATTAGTTGCAAATAAAGTATAACAAGTATTATACATGTTTTATAAATATTAATAAGCAAATGATGTATCATGTTATTTTGGATGCGTTATCTAGTTATTGATGCCATGATAACAAAAGTTTGTAGTTTATATACCGTGGTAATATACGTTTATCTATTCAATGTGTCGTATCTGTGCTTTCAATGGTTCATTTTCCGGCCAAACTGCACCCGTTTGTGTGCCTTGATGCAGACCTGCATACTTATATTACGTCCTGTTTTTCTGGCTGCTCGTTTCCGCTTCACATTTTCGTCGTTATCGCAATCGAGTGTTTTTCCTTTTGCGCTGACAGCTCTACCGAAAAGGCTCGCGTTTCGCCTGGGACCTAGCCCTGCTGCGTGATGCGTGCGTTGTGCAAAAAGCAGACAGCAGACACTCTGGCAACAGTTGACGCTCTTTTGCTTTTTATTTTGCCAACCCACCATTTAGATGCGCGGCTCAACATTGAAGTATCCCTTGAAATACTCTTTGCGGCGTGCCTCGTGGGAGATTAGAATAAAGTTGAATGATGGAGTTTGAAATTATTATATACGATTCCAACTGATGATGGTGTGCGCAGTCGGATGCAAAAGGAGAATAATGTATCATATATTTGATTTTGAATATTTTGATTCATATATTTTTTTTAGTAGTTTTATTGAAAGTACAAGCGAATTACCGGGGAGTATAAGTGAATTTTGTACATTGTGTAATTTGTAGGTGAATACAATATCGATTCTCCAAATCACATATTTACGATCAATCGTTCAACAAACGGACAAATATCAATGAATCGATTAGGATTCCCGTCTCTACGATGGGCAAATGTGCAATAATAGCAATAACTTGTGTTCTTTCACGTTGCCAGCTCTGGTCTCGGCTGCGTAGTTTATTTGATTTCCTATGGCTTTCTCCATTGTGTGTTGTTTACTTTGCGTGAGTGTTTCGAGGGTTGCTCCATAACTGTGCCTGGTTGCTACTTCTTTCCAATTCTTTGCTTTGTTGATTTTGCCATCCGGCGATTCGGTTTTATTGATTTATATGCGCACCAGTGGCAGATACACATGCGTCCGCCAGGATTTCTTCCACAATAAACTTTTTCAATTGAATATTCAAAACAATTTTATAAAACTTTTATTATTTATGCGCAAAAGGCATTACGGCTGCTTTATGCGCATTAAACGGACGTGAAAAGTAATAAAACAAAATGAACAATAAAACGAATAATTATTCGCAAAAAGATGCACGCGATTCGCACGCTGGGATAGAAAGGATTTGTGCGTTTTTATTTGCCTTCTCCGGATTAATTATAACGCGTTCTCTCATCAATTTCGACGTCCAACGTTCCAGCTGCGATTCAAGATTTGACTTGGCAAAAGTAATTACTGCAACGAATGTACTGAACTTTTAATTAGTTACGGATTATATGGCATGGCAAAGAACGTTTGTATACGGAATTGTTTCAAATCCAGCTGCGATGTGAAAAGGCGCAAGAGTACTTGAAACACGCTGAAATTGCTTTGCAAGTTTTTAAAGTTATTATCTATAAATACACATAAAACGAATTTTCTGTAGGCGTATGAATTTTAGTCAAATATTTGTCTCTGTGCCGTTTTTTACATTTTATTTCATTTTCTTTCAGGGCAAGTAATGTCTCAGGTGAGAGATCTCCGTTTGAAGGCTCCTGCTGTGGCTCCGGCTATCACACCGTCGACTCCACGCCGCTGGGCTCCCCTGAAGAATTCGAAGTTCCTAAATATCGCGTTGTGATGCTGGGCGACTCAGGCGTCGGCAAAACCGCGCTCGTGTCTCAGTTTATGACATCCGAATATATGAATACGTACGATGCCAGTTTAGGTAAAATTGGATTCTCTTGTTCGTTGCGTTGACTCCAAATGTACACTGTGTACAAGATGTTCCGAACTGAATTGATTCAACCTTATAACTCACTACAATACTACATATATTTAATTATTTTTATTGGGAACGTCCTGTACCCAGTCAGTGCAAATTTGATATAAAGCAGATGCGAATGATCCATTACTTGTTTGTTTCTGTGCGTAGATGATGAGTTTGGCGAGCGTACCGTTTCCATATTGCTTGACGGCGAAGAATCCGAGATGATATTCATCGATCATCCATCGGCAGAAATGTCTGTAAGTACAAGTTTGATTGACATTTTATTCTCAGTTAAATGTATTTTATGCGAACCATACTCGCGTATATATAGGTAATATAGATGAGAAAGAAACAGTCTCAATTTTTGCAAACAACTTGAAAGTAAGTAGATACAAATTGAGACAAAATCAATTGATCATTGGAGGATTTCATGTGCCATTTGTGTAACTTTATTTACAACAATTGTTTCCAAACTTCCCAATAAGCACTCAATCAAATTGAATTGAATTATATTTTTATGTTTTCCAAATGTGCAAAGGTAGGATATAAATGTTGCGGCTAGAAAACAATCCGGTTAGGTGCTTCGACAGATAGAAAATCATTTATTATTTTCGTGTCGAACGAAGTCGAACTTTGAATACAAAAGAAATACCGACTTGATGGATTTGCAGGGGACGCGTAATTTTTCTAACGTCGGACGGATGAGCGCCCGTGCGGACATGCGAAAAGCAAAAACTTTATTACATTTCCTCCTTCGTGTGATGACTATATCCAACGTAGCGCTGGTTCTTTCATCGGGCATCAGCCGTGACCATAAAAAATCGAGTGAGCGAGAAAAAAACCAGGCAAACGAGGACAATACGAATCCAATTCCGCGATGGCGTTCTATATTTTCGACAATCTCGAATCCTTTCCGCAAAGCGGACTTCCGGGCAAACACACGCCGACACAAGTGGACTTAATTCGCTCACGCTGCTCCACATTCAAGTATTTTTTCTTTCTGTTCTACTTCGTTGCGTGTATGGCTTCAGAGTCACCGAAACAGATAAATACTTTTGTAAGCCACTTTACTCACTTCGTTTGTTCTAATTCGCTCATAAAAAGGTTGAAAGTTGGGTGTGTAAGTAATGTTGAGGTGATAATGAAAGAAACGTGCTAAATCCATATTATATATACATAAATTCTTATTCTACGGTAAATAATTTTTATTCACTGAGCAACAACATTAAATATTCATACAAATCAGCCTATTTCGGAATTTAGGCTTGACGCACGGTAAATATCCCCCTAAAAAAACCTAAATGTGTCGATGGGGAGCCGGAAAACTGGACACTAATGAGGGCCGCATTTACATATATTCCGACATAATAAAAAGTCGCCATCGTCACCGCTATTGTATTGACTCTATCGGCCATCGCCGACCTGTCATAGGCAGGGCACCAACCCAACTCGTTTATATCGATTGGCATAATTTTTTCTATTAAATTCTTTTTCATGCAAAGCATGAATGCATTTTCATAACTATTTATATATCACAGAAAATTCATTCAGTTCGTCGGAAATTATTTGCTATCGTTGTAGTATGCACAAGTGAATATAAAAACAAATCGATAACATGTTTGATAAAGTGAGGACGTATGTAAATATGTTTCAGTAAACAAATGATATATTGCTTAACAATATAAAAAAATCTATACAGGGTGTAATAATAATGTTAACCTTCAAAAGTTATCAATTTCAAATGTTGTTAACATTGCTCATTTTGATAAACTAAAATTAATTATAAAGTTGAGTGCACTGACAACATTTTTCGACTGGATTTTTATCATAATTTCAACAACGTTAATTAGTTAACTGTTAACACAATAAGTTAGTACAGGCATGAATATTTATACCAAAATGTTTTTTCCGCTTGCAAAATGTGAGAAATTTTATTTTCCCTGTATAACTAGTTTTGATCATGTGTAATCTAAATAAGATAAACAATGACGTGAGCTGTTGAGAAATAATTGATATTATTCATAGGAAAGTTAATAATGAAACAATATGTTTTGCTGTTTTAATATTATCTTATCAAGTTTATTATTTCACAGCTCAAACAGTGTTTGACGTTTCTTTAGAATAAGAAATCTTTGGGACATTTCGCAACAACACAACTTACAAACTATAATAGGATACATATTAAACTTTAATGGCATTAAGAATAACTGGCGCGTGTGGACATCTATACAGGACTTTGGGATCAGTCTTCATCTGTTTCACGTCGCACGCTTCATTGGCGACCACTTCGAGGTGATAGTTCTCGAGAATGCTGCACAAGTAGACTTTGAACTGAATCAGTGCCAAAGGCATTCCTATGCATTTCCTTGGTCCAAGGCCGAATGGCAGGAAGGCGTTAGGATTCCGTGGCTCGTGCTCGTCCAACCACCTCTCGGGATTGAATTTCAGAGGTTCGTCATAGTAAGCGTCATCTCTGTGAATGGCATTGATCGGAATGATGATTGTCGTACCAGGTTCAACAATTAAGTTGCCAGGCAGTTCGTATTGTTTCGTGCAACGCTTCATCAATTGCGGATCAGGATTGTGCAATCTGATGGTTTCTATTTTGAAAGATTATATCAAATTATTTCTTTGATTTGATGGTATTGCGAACAAGTGACTTACCATTGATGACAGCGTCCAAGTATTTCATCTTGTTCAATTCATCATAACTGATTTCGCCATCCTTTTTGGCCGCACGGATTTCTTCACGGAGCTTATTTTGGACATGTGGGTGTGTGGCCAATTCGTGCAGCATGAACGATTTGACAAGGCTAGTATTGCCGACAGCATCGTCAAAGAAGCCAGCGATCTGAGCCATTACATCGATATCGTGGAAGTTTTCATCAGTTTTTGTGAATTCGCACAGACTGGTCAAGAAATCGTTGCGGACGATGTTATTCTGCTTGCGGTATTTCACCAAATCGCTCACAAAGGTCGAGTAGAAATTAATGGTATGGTCATCGTACTTCCTAACATCAACAAAAATGTTATGTGTAAAAATATGCCTGTTGGTATAGGATGATTGTTTGCTTACTTGATTTTGAACGCGTTAGTAAACGTAGATGCGACTTGAATAAGAAGACCAGATAGGCCGGAGATGTAGCTGTTTGAGTCTCTTCCGCCGCGGGCAATCTTCAAAAACTCGTCGTTATCATTTTCGAAAGCCTTGGCGTTAATGCCCAAGCCGTAGGGTAAAACCAAATCGATGGTGTAGCGGATAGCCAACTCGTAGGCGTTAAGGGTTTGACCGGCCAGCCTTTGCTTCTCGATGTATTTAGTCACATTCTCGCCAGAGGCCTTGATAATCGGGTAGTTGGCACGGATCTACATAAATAAACAGTGCGTTAATGCAAGAAGATCAGCAGATCGCGGCTTGAGTGGAATTAATCGATTAGCCGCATTATGTCGAACAATTAATACACCCCACTCACCCTGGTAAGAGAATAATTCGTGGATAATCTTTTGCGTTCATCCTTCCATGCGTCGCCGTACTGAGCAAACGGGCACCTGCCTCTAATCGGATCGACCTTCTTATCGATTTCCATCTCGTTCTGAAGGAAATGATTAAAGTCGGAAGTGAGGATCGTTTTGATCAGATCAGGGTCGCGGATCATGATGGCCGGCTTGGTGAAGATGTAGCATCCGACGAATTTGGCATCTTTGTATTGCCTGCAAAAATTGATTAAGAATTAGTTCTTTTTCTTTTATGCCGCTGTTTTTTTATACAAGCTTACTTGTAAATTTCCGTCCACAAATCGCCGAGATGGATTTTCATCAGCAACGATCGCAGGATGTTGCCGAAGAGCAGCGTGGGCTTCGGGCTGGGGACATTGCGCTTCCGCCAATACTTGTATTTGAGCTCACAATACAAGTACAGCAGGCACAAGGAGAGCGGCACCGAGAGCAGGAGCGCGGCGAGATACATTGTGGAGTTGCTGTTGTTGCGAAAACCAAAGTGTATACTGAAAAACAGAATCGCTTGGCAACCACTTTTATACGTGAGGGCAAAGCGACTCGAAGGAGCACACTTCGAACTGCGACATTCGCTGTATTGTTTAGCCCCCTCTCTCCGCCGCCGCCCCACGCTTATTTATCCAAGTTTTTAAGGCTTTACGATTTTCAGCGCGTATTTTATAATTTGCACACGATTTCGCAAGCGCAATTTAACGCGCAAATTATCTACTGTTGCTAGCAGATTATTAATAAGTAATCAAGTATCAGTGACATTTTTAAAGTGTGTACTTCTTTCCACACTTATCACACAAAAACACACGCCATTTTAGCGTTTGATTCGGCCGAATGCAACAAAATTATCTCATGACGTTCGATATCATCAAGTGCTCAATATGCAATTATTACATTCTTTGATTTCACGGGCATAACAACTTATCGGGCAACAAAGTTCATGACTTCATTTTTCTTTTGGCTTTCGGCGTCACGTTTTGATGTAATCAGAATCGTCGTTGCAAAAGTCAAAATCGTGCGGCAAAGATGCGTGATTATGCTAGCAATTGGCAAATCTGCTGTTATCAATGTTTTTTATTGCCAGTCTCGTGTTAGGTTTTTATTATCACAATTCTACAAAATTCAAGTGTACAGGGAGTCCATATGACTACAAAGAAATGATGTAACAATTGATATAAATTGCACCAAGTTAATTTTAGCATATGCTGCATTTAACACTTAATAAAATTTGCGGAATTTGATAATAATACGTATCACTCGCATACCGCATGAAATTTTACAAAAAAGCATGAATATTCTGTTCACCATGAATATTAGAAAGTCGAATCATATTCATTTCATGTTATTTCAGCCGCTTAGAAACAGATTGATTAAAAAGGCGCCAATCGGTTTTATTGCAAGAATGTTATCAAATTATATTAATTTGGTTGGAACATTCGAGATAATAAAACCTAAGTAACTAATATATTTGTAGTTATTTGGTAATTATAGATATTTTTATCATTTATTTATGCTAAATTTCCAAAAGAATGATTTTTGAATGTATGACGTTTAGATTTATTTTGATAAATTAACAAAAGTTTGTTGACGCTCTCATTACAATAATTGACGTCCGCTGTCGACATAGTAAACTCGTTTTGATTTGAGATAAAAACATTTGAATGAAGTTCAATGCGTGCGTCTTGAAGTACAATCAACAAACATCAATTCTAACAAACATTTTATGTAAACGTCTATTGTACTAGTTGGCCGGCTATCGCTTTATTGGTACATATTTAAAAACATCCAAAAATAACTAATCATCGTGCATGTCCCAATAATTATCGCACCATATTAATTGGTTGTGAGTCGCCACACACCCAATCGAGACAAGTTTTTACTCGTTTGTGCTTGTCCGATCATACGATTTCTTACGTCACCCCCTTATCGTGGGTTCCACTAAGAATGTTTTTCTGTAGAAGTAATTTGTGTTTCAAAATTATTCTATCGAAGTTTATTTTTTCCTGTGCGTAGGTAGAAAATTCGCTCAGCACCTACGAACCACATGCGTGCGTCGTTGTGTATTCGATAGTGGCTCGACCGAGCTTTCACCATGCGGAAGACACACTGAATTATTTGTGGCGTGAAGGATACACGCAGGACAAGAGTGTGATCGTCGTGGGAAACAAGGCCGATCTTGCACGCTCGAGGATGATCTCCGCCAATGGTGAGTAATTGAATAGTGTGGTCCTAATCTAAGACTCTTGCTGTGTGTGCGTGTGCGTGAATGGTTAAGACGTTACGCAATTACGTCTCCGTTCTTTATCCGTTCGAGCGCAGGATTAACTATATTAGTCGAGGAGGATTTGCCGTTGGTAGATTGCTCGTTGAGTATCTTGTTTCGGCTATTTCCCGTGAAAATTAAGCTAAATATTCGTTGAGCATTGTGTAATGTACGTTTAGTTGCTCATAAATGACGTTTTTATTGTACGTACCAAATTATCAGCATATTTCCACTTCTGTAATCCATTTTTAATTACGCTTTGCTTTTTTTATAATCAGTTAACAAGGTCAAATGCTAAAATACGCGACAATTTGAAATGTTATCAGCATATAGTAACTTTTTTTTGTTTTTACATGTTTTTAAAACAAAGGAGTCTTATTATGTTTGGAAATCAAATTTAAATAAACTTGTTTGTTACAACATGATTGAATTTATATATGTTTGTCTGCTTCATTTTGAAATACGTTAATATTTATTCTTTTATTTGCATAATGGAATATAAATTGTTCTTTTTGTTTATTTTTCTATTCAAGTTTTTGAGATACGTTTACGATAACGGATAAAACAAAGTTTAGAGAAAGTGTCAGCATTGACCTGTTTTCACATCTACCTCCAGGTCTACAGTGCAACTAGTTCAAGGATACGCTGATGATTCCAGAAAACAAGTGTTTGCAAGAGCGGCATGCTAGAACGTATTGCCTTTTAATACTTACTCATTTCATTCAAAATGTAATAACGGAATGTCTTTGATTTCACAAAACCAGATTTCTTTTCTATGTCTTGTTTAATTTCTCTGAACACATTGTTTATTTTACATTTGTCGTATTTACAAAAAAACTACTTGAGTTACAGGTAATCCGATTCTGTTCGTCGTATGAAATTGAAAACTAATTTCGTTCGTTTCTATCGGAGCCAACACGCCCGGAAGAGAGAAAACAACAAATCGATTACGTTCTGATTGAACGAAAATGAATTTCAACTTTATTTATTCGGTGGATATAATCGAACCGAACGCCAAGTAGGAAAAGGCATTCGACGTAAATGTCCCCTCCTGGCAGTAAAAAACGTTGTCGAGATTTTGATCTATTATACTTATTTTAATACAACCACAACGCTGGTGTGTGAAACTTTGAAAATATTTTTAAACATTTGCGTTGCCGAGGTGTTTGCCAATCGTGCGAGCATGTTTGCTTATAATTTAAGCAAAACTTTTTGTGCGGGAAACCGCCAACGTAAGATTCTATGCTCGCTCTCATTGGCGTGGTGCATCTGACACCTGATGAAAGTCGAGAAAGTCTGCGAAGTTTGGAATTATCCCCGCACTTTGCAGTAGTTCAACTTGAACGCGACGTTGAAATTCAATTTCAATTTTATTCAATTATTGGCGTGTTATTGAAAGAGTCAAGTTTAACAGGGCCCTAGCTACTTTTCATATACTTTAATGAAAGAAGCATTTAATTTTGTAGTGTTAATGTTGATTTTAATAAAAATTTCTTCTATTTTTAGATGGCAAATCCCTTGCCGTCTCTCGAGAATGTAAATTCATTGAGACGTCAAGTGGTATTCAGCACAACGTCGACGAACTGCTCGTTGGCATCCTGAAGCAAATTCGACTACGCGAGACGCGCGATAAGAAGAAAGCCACCGGGAGCAAAAAAGAGCAGCACAATAAGCTGCATGGCTCCAAGACTAGCCTCAGTCTGAATATCGCGCGTGAAATACTGCAGAAAATTTGCCTGAACGACATTAGCAAATCCAAGTCCTGCGAGAATTTGCATGTGCTCTAAACTGTCAACTGCGATGAGACCACTACTGTTGGGCTCGGATGTCATAAAGCATTTCCTTGTGATATTAATTACTAATGATTATATTGAATACAAAAGAATCTTCCCCGTACTTGCATTAAATCTAGTCTAGAAATGTGTATACTTGATTTGACCGCTGTAAAGTCAATAACATGATGTTATCAGTATCATAACTTTTTAAAAATGTTCGATGTACGTACGTTTCCTCTTTTTAAACGTATTATTGTTGATTTTAAGCCAGAGACTTCTAGACTTCGACATTTTAAAGAAATCATCATTGTGACTAAAAATCAAAATGATTTTCATACACATTTTTTTAATTTTCTACAATTTTTTTTTATATTAACTCAAGAATCTATTTTTAATTTGTTTATTATAAATGTACCTTTAGAATTACGATATTGTAAGCATACCATTGGTTATATGTTAAAATAAGTTCCATTCTGGGATATTCCATATACCAATTATTATCTGTTACTTGAATTGTCGTTGTTTGTCGTTTTACATTGCTTGCTGGAAATTCCCAGGACGTACATTTCAAGTTAAATACAAAGGTAGCGGCTGCAAAGTTGGCCAATGCCTTGAAAAATGTAGTTGACGAGGCCTAAAATACCTAGTAGCAGGACATTTCTTCCAAAGAACGTACATATTACGTGGAAGATAACTGCCCTTGCAAATATATAATTGACATGTAAAACGTAATTAAGTGCAAACGTTTATAAAACATACCAACATAAGCACATTCAGCTTCTTCAAATTGAAGATATTTACTAATGTTCTTAAGTTATGTAACTATCGTATTTTATAGCTTTATTACTTCCGAACTAATGTACAGATGACTATGACTGATTTTACTATTCATTTTTTATAATCTTCTTACTGTTGTAAACGGACAGATGTTTACATTTGTATTCTGTGTTCAGGTTTAATACTATTTATAACTTCATATTATTGAATATTTCTCTACCTATCAAAGGAAAGCAATTTTTAACATTGAGGAAAGCTTTGAAGGAAACTTAAGGAATCGTTTCCAACATAGAGCGAATACAAAAATAAAGTAGAAAAATAAGCGGCACAATAAGTAATCAAATTCAATTGGCGTGAATAATATAATAATTATAGTTGTAGGAATAACAACGTAGTAATAAATGAAATGTACATTTATATATTTTCAGAACCGAAAACTAATTTACGAAGTTACAAAGAGTAATCAAATTCTACTTAATCTATACATATCTTATCTTATATTCTGCAAAATATTTAATATAAAACAATATAAACAGCTAAGAAATATCTTATATATTTATCTACAATTTCTACTGTGACAATCAATAAGTAAATTGTAAGTGTAATTAAAATAATGGCAAGTCAACAACAGAGCAAAATATATTGTATTGAAATAACTATCATACCTGTAATGGAAATTATATGATCCTAAGAGCAGTTGTGTTTGTTTATGTTTCACATTTACCAGTAGTGTATAATGTGTGGTATCTAGTTTTATATTCATATTGCAAGTTGTTTTATCAAGTCTCTATCTCATTACTTTTGGCTGTCGTTTTCTGTCTTATGTGCAATGTACTCGTATTACCGCTGCAGACATTCGATACGGTTGGAGTGACGATTTTCTCGGTTCGATTAAACCATGTACATCAGTAAATCACACTATTTCGAGTAACAATAAACAAGTAGTGTGGGCTACCAATAAGTCGATTTCCATATACTTTCCTATACTTAACATTAATATTAATTTTAACTGTAAAAATATTGCAGCCTGTCTCGAGCTTCGTACAGGAATATAATTTATCTACTTTCACCTGTAAATGGTGACACCACAATATTGCGTAGGTTGCGTAAATTATGTTCGTAGTGGTGCCTTTCTTAAATTTTATGTAAATAACTACATCTCAGTGCCATCTCGTTTCGAATTATGTATCAAGGGAATCGGCATCCGCTCCACACAATACATTATAAGCGAAAAGCTAACGATTGATCCTGCGTGGAATCCGAAAATGAGTGGCTTTCTGCTGCTACGGATTTACCTCAACTCAATCCCAGGAAATTAAACCACCTCAACATTTTTTTGGTAGAGATCATCCCTAAGCGGGAGAACTCATTAGAAAGACATTTCTAATAAGAATTTATAAAAATATAGTGTTGACTCCCTGAGAGCCGTCCCAAAACTTAAAAATATTTGAAGTTCTGACCTGCACCTTCAATGAGAAATGGAGTACACGAATAATACTTATCACTCTCTCTTTTAGCATTTCTTTATTAACAAATAATATAATACAAATAAGTCGGTGTTCTATATATCTCTATACCTCGACATTTGGAATTTAATTTGGGACACATACCTCAGCACATCCTCCATATAGTGAAGAATCCATCTAGTGATCATGTACGAGTAAGGCAAGAATAACACTTTGAAGTTAGACATAAAAATCATTGCGACAAGTCAGTCATCCTGCGTCCTCCAAACCGCTAACAATAAATGTGCGAATAAAACTTATACATTATTACAGGAATGTGGTTTGCAATTTGGCACTCTCAATATTGTAACATTTTTTTTGCGTTTTTTTGACGGCAGTTAAGGAAAAAATTAATTAATATGCTGTATTAAAAATCTATTAAATCCTTATCATATGCGTATAGTAGTTTTTAAAAACTTGCATGGTTATTGGATTGCAAGACAAAAAAGGTTTGTTCTGTGTCGATGCGGCGATTCAAAATACTTATTAAATATCCTGTTAAATCTTTCTTGTTATAGAAAAGTTCGAAACCATATTTCATAATAACATTATTTTGATTGCCTTAATGAAGAATTATCTTCATTCTCGGTATCAAATTTAATTATGCTTGTAGTGGGCGGTTCTGAACCATCTTTCTTAACATCTGGTAAATTGAGGTTCTTATCTATTTCATGGCTTTTCTTCAATTTTTTATTATTATGTGTTTTAGTGTTTCTGTCAAGTTTGATTTTGTTCTTTTTTTGGCCTTTAACACATTTTCCACAACACAAAACCAAAGATCCTCTGGATGTGATATTGCAATCTAAAGGACTGATGCATTGGGAGCGTTGACAAAGTGGACGGCAACAAATTGGCTTAACCCAAGGCTTGACAAACCTAAAACTGTATTGTTGAGGTTTGTTGGGGCATCGTGGTGCAGGAAGAAGACAAGGCATTTCTCCATAAACAATGATTGGATCTGCACAGATAATTGGGCATTGTGGAGGTGCGTGTTGGTGTGAAAATGGTGCGCAGGACATTTTAATAAATGAAAATGAAAAAAGATGATTTTAATGAAACGTGAATTTAATGAATAATGACGTATTTGAATTATAAAACATAAAGTGACAATGACAGCGAGCCAACGTGCATTGCCCCATAAATGTCAAGGGATTAGTGCAATAACAAAGGCTACTTTTCTTTCAAAACTTATATTAGTAAAAAAAACCATGAGTGCCTGGATTTATCTCTTTTGCATATTCCGGTAAAATATAAGTGTCCACCAAAACAAAACGGTCCAAAACATATAAAACTATTTTTACGGTCGCCATGTTTATCTTAAATTAATACAAAGCAAATAACTTTTGCAATATTTTCGCAAAATTGCGAAATAATTGTTTTATTAAACTGTTTAAAAAAATAATATAATTACTTGAGTTAACTTATTAGTTATGAGTTAACCTTATTTTATAATTCAGGTTTTGACCATGCCCTTGAGACAAAACATATTAAAACTCATGCAAAAATTATGATTCAATTACCCAATAAGATATAAAAATTAAAAACAATAATTTGGCATTCGTAAACAAGTTTAAGCCACTCACAGAACTGCTAATACTTTATTCGAAGTACACGAACGCATTCAATGCAAAAAAATCCTGATTGAGTGTATATAAATCAGTTTAATATTCTCTCATATTTATTTCTCTCCGGATTGGTTAGCTAGAAACATGTGTACCTTATAATGCAATGTATAATTTGTAAAACTGCTCAAGCACGTACTATAAGATTACAATATCAATTGCGCGTTTGCCCAGTGTTTCTTTTAAAAATCAATTATTGACCATTAGTCCATTATATACATTTTAATGCAAATTTGTTTAACTTGAATAGATCTATTGTTATTGAAACCGGAATCAATATCATAAACAAGACAAATAAATTATAGTCAACGCGTAAACAAAATAAATAGAGTAAGAACCCGTGACGGCCAGACTTTCGTCATTTTAGGAAAGATGAAAATGTTTCTATGCGTGTACCCAACACAGCAAAAAACGATCGCCAAATATGAAACCTAGATCGTGGTTCCTTTGACAGTTAACACACAACAAAGATGTACTAATTATGATGTCAAATTCGTTATTTTAGCAAACTACATTTTTGCATATTTAATTCATAACATTATTATAACATGCGCTGCTCATTGACAAAATATCTGCAAAATAACACCCAGTATCTCCCAAACTATATGATTTTTTATAGTTTCTCGCCGCCCTCAAGCACTTCTGAAAATGCTCAAAAGTGTATTTTAGAAAGTAGCATTTTTCATAAAGTGTGTAAATATGGTGTAGAAAACATGGCGCGCAAAACAACCTGTATATCGCAAACTAATTAAACTCTTTAAAGTTTGGCACGGTAACTTTAAAGTTCAAAAGTCTTCCTACCCACTGCATTTCTTTTCAATTATCTAACCCTTCCGGAAGTGCCCTAAATTGCCCTTTAAAAATTGGCATTTTTCAAAAAAATTGCTGTGAAAAACACCCTGTATCTCGCGAACTAATTAACTTTTTTTAAATTTGCCATTGCTATTTTAAACTTCGGAAGTTTCCCTACACGATACATACTCTTTCGATCTTCCTACTTGCGAGCCCTACTGCAAGTGCCCTAAAATGCCTTTCAAAAATTGGCAATTTTCAAAAGAATTGGAAACATGATCTGCAAAGCACTCTCGTGAACTAATTGATTTGATTTTTTTTTACAGCCATTTTAAAGTTCAAGAGTGCCTATACACGATGCATATCTTTTTAATCTACCAATCCTTCCGGAAGTGCCCTAAAATGCCTTTTGAAAATTAGCATTGGAACTATTTGATTTTCTTAAAGTTTTTAACCGCTATCCCAAAGTTCGAGAGTTTCTCTACGCGATCTATATTTTTCCGATCCCCTAACACTTCCAGAAGTGCACTAAAAAGCACTTCAAAAATAGCTATTTTTTTCCCAGAAATTTTATTTTTTGGTCGAATAACAGGGTCGAACTTTTTTGTTTAATTTTTTTCGGTTGAAGAACAGGGTCGAGTTTTTTTCTTAATTTTTTTTATCAAAGGACAAGATCGCACTTTTTTAATCAAATAACAGGGTTGAACTTTTTTCTTACAATTTTCCCGTCGACACATTAAATTAAAAACTTGGAATTTTGAATTCTTGAATGTTAAAACAGTAATTTTATTTTAAATTTAATAAAAGTTATTAATTATGAAAAAATTGGCGGAGGCGCCTGACATTTAAAAGAGTTGTTTAATTAAATATTGAGAACTAACTCATTGTGTACCCCTTAATGATATGATTTAAACAACTTTTTACCTAATAGCAGTAAGGAATTTTCCAGTAAATCTCATTAAGTAAAACTAATATACTCGTAGATAAACAAAAACCAAAAACACCCCAATATTCAGCATCAAATCGTAGATACGAAAACATTTAAAAAATTGGAATATAACATGTATCTAAAAAAACTTCCGCTGCGATTTTCTCGGAAAATAATAAAGATATAAAAGAACTTTCTTCATTTTCTTCATGCCGTGGATCTATAAAATGCCAGATTTAGTTTTTCCATATTTGAAAGTTTATCAAAGACCTCTCAAAAAGATCAAGAGGTTAGTTACACTTGACTCTTTATGGACTAAAAAAAATTTTTTTAAGCTAGAAGAAAATGGAAAGCGCTAATCGATTGAATTTTCCACGAGGATGAAAGATAGTAAATTGATACCTGAAAGTTTTAACATGTTATATAATGTAAAATGTAAGTCTACATACAATCATGATAACAGTTTTTCTCTATCTCTAATGGTTTTCAAGATAAGTGCGAAAAACTGGTTTATTCGATTTGTCCATCATTGCCTAAACAAAAAATTAAAATTAAAAATTTAACTTTTTATTAACCGAACATTGAAGAACATGTGATTCTACATACTCGTACTTTATGTTCTTTGATGTTGAATATGTAATCCATATTAATAAATTTTCCAATTTTTATTTTTTGTTCGCACTTTTCTTGAAAACCATTAGAGATAGAGAAAAACGGTTTTTATATTTGAATATAGATTTACATTTTACATTATATAACAGGTTAAAATATTCAGTTATCAACACTTACGTAATAATTAAAAATGGTCAATAACTTGAAAACTAATTAAGATAGGGCAACCAAACCTGGATTAATAGAATCCTGGTGATGTCCTACTTCAAATAGAAACATTTGGGGAAAATCGGAGAAGTGGTTTGATATGATCCGTTTAGCATTTACCACCTATTTTCCAAAATAATGATGTTATCGGAAAACTGACTTGATATCTTTTATCCCCTTAGAAAACTCAATCGATTAGCGTTTTCCATTTTCTTCTAGCTTAAAAAAATGTTTTCGAGTCCAGAAAAAGTCAAGTGTAACCTCTTGATCTTTTTGAGGGGTTTTTGGTCAACTTTGGAAAATGGAAAAACTAAATCTGCCATTTTATAGATCTATATCACGGCATGAACAAAATGAAGAAAGTTCTTTTCTATCTTCTTTATTTTCCAAGAAAATCGCAGCGGGAATTTCTTTAAGCACATGTTATATATATATTTTTTTAAATGTTATCTTATCTACGATTTGATGCTGAACATTGGGGTGTTTTTGTTTTTGTTTATATATTAGTTCCTGAGATACGTATGTGACTTTTAAGTCTCGATGGGAGTGCATCTTTCACTTAATGAGATTTACTGGAAAATTCCTTACTGCTATTAAGTGAAAAGTTGTTTAAATCATATCATTAAGAACCCCTTTACACAATGAGGTAGTTCTTAATATTTAATTAAACAACTCTTTTTCATAATTAATAGCGTTTATTAAATTTAAAATAAAATTACTGTTTTATCAATCAAGAATTCAAAATTCCAGGTTTTTAATTTAATGTGTCGAGGGGAAAATTTTAAGAAAAAAGTTCAACCCTGTTATTCGACCAAAAATTAAATTTTAAGGACAAAAATGGCTATTTTCAAAGTGCGTTTTAGAGTACTTCCCAAAGGGTTAGGGAGTTGGAAATATATGGATCGCGTAGAGATACTCTCGAACTTTAAAAAAGTCAAATAGTTCTCAAGATACAGGATGTTTTTGACACCGTGTTTTTAATTTTTTTGAAAAATTCCAATTTTCAAAAGGCATTTTAGGGCACTTTCAGAAGGGCTGGAAGATTGAGAAGGTATGCATCGTGTAGGGAGACTTTCGAACTTTAAAATAGCGGTGACAAATTCTAAAAAAGTCATTTAATTCGCGAGATACATGGTGTTTTCCACACCATGTTTTCAATTTTTTTGAAAAATGCCAATTTTTAAAGAGCATTTTTAGGTACTTCCAGAAGGGCTCGAAGATCGAAAAGATATGCATCGCGTAGGGAGACTTTCGAACTTTAAAATAGCGGTAATAAAATTTTAAAAAGTCAATTAGTTCGCGAGGTACAAGGTGTTTTTCGCACCATGTTTTCAATTTTTTTGAAAAATGTCAATTTTTAAAGAGCATTTTGGGGCGCTTCCGGAAGGGTTGGAAGATTGAAAAGGAATATATTTTATAGGGAAACTTTCGAGCTATAAAATTGCCCTATCAAACTTTAAAAAATTCAATTAGTTCATGAGATACAGGGTATTTTACGCGCCTTGTTTTTAATTTTTTTGAAAAATATCAATTTTTAATGAGTTTTGGGGTACTTCGGAAAGGGCTAGAAGATTGAAGGTTGACAAGGTAAGCATCGTGTAGAGGAACTCTCAAGCTTTAATAAGGCGGTGACAAACTTTTAAAATGTCAATTCGTTCACGAGATACAGGGTGTACATACTTTAAGGAAAATGCTTCTTTCTAAAAAAATTACTTTTGAGCATATTTAGAAGGGGTAGGGGGTTGCAAATGTATGCATCGTGTAGGGGAGTCTTTAACTCTCACGATCCAGGTTTCATAATTGCGGTTCGTTCTTTGCTATGTTGGATACACACATAGGAACATTTTCATCTTTCCTAAAACGAGGAAAGTCTGGCCGTCACGGGCTCTTAAACTAAAAGTTTGTTATGTGAAAATAAAGCAACTTTCAGCGAATCAATGAAATGAAATTCCCAACTTCGTTTCTTGTGATGTTCTATGTGCTTAAAATCCTTAAATTTATTATCATCAAAAGGGGAAAATATACGTTATGAACCAATTAAATTTCCTAAAAAATGATTACAAAACTCGTTTCTCCATTTGGGCATAAGAGAACAAGTAATAAAGTACAACATTATTTATTACAATATATCTGTATGAATATTCATAACTTTTGAAAAATATTGTTGTAGTCCAGGTGTTGTATCTGAATATTAATGTTACAATGCAAAAAGTCAATTACATTTATTAATGAGCTAAATATCAAAGTCGTGTTTGGCGATTCTTTACGCGCAAGAGATTGAAACAATCATGTGTACATTGTGAAGGTTAAACAAAAATTATACAAAAACCATGATAACAGTTGGTAACAAAGCGATTTTCTTGCTTCCTTAGATTCGAATAAATCGTTTTTTTTTTTGTTACAAAGTGCAAAATATGAAAACGAAATGAAGACAAACAGAAGTAACAATTGGTAACAGAGTGGTTTCTCTTAGTCCATGTTGTGTAACAATAATGCTATCATATTATGTATATAAAAATGTATCTCTCAATTATAGCATATATTGTATTTGCTGACATTACAATATCAAATGTCTTTGTCTAGTCTGAGTGAGTGTACAGTTGTGTGATATTCTGACATGACCAACACATACTTCCTGCTATATTTATGCATTCAACTTTCTGTGTGAAAACACATTTATCAAAAATAAAATATTCGGTTTATTATCATCATCTCCTTTTCATTCATTATTAAACATTAGCGTATATAAAATAATTAAAAAATTAACAGATTGCATTCTAAAACTTCACATAAGTGTGTCCATAAGTATTAATTGTGTATCCAAAATATAAGTTCAAAGTATCATCAAATTATAAAAAAAAAGAAAGAAATAAACTAATATCCTTATATATAATTAAGAAAAAGAAAGAGAATTTGTGATGCATGGTGTAAACATATTTTTGTTTTCATTTGTGGTCCAAATCTTAAGTTTAGTGTGTTTTGAATGTATGTTTTTTGCTGTGTTGGCAATTATCAATAATAGTCTTATTAATAAAACAATATTCCACCTTGCTTTCATTATTCCCTCTTAATGGCTTGAGGAGCTTCAGCCAATCCTTTCACTTTAAGTCGATCTGCAGTTTTTAAGAATGCAGGTAACTGTTCTTGGCTTACATTCACTTCACCAGCATACATAAATTCTAAGATGGCTTGCAGGTGGCTGTAGGCAACATCCTTCAGAATAATGATTGGATGTTTGGATGGATTTTCCTGTAATAGCAAAGCAATTGTGGGTTATCAGCAAGTGATATATAAATAGAGCTATAAATACCTCTAAAAGTGTCTTAAAGTAAGGACTACATGCTGATAGCACCATTTTGTGGGCTTTGCATGTCTGCCCTTCACAGGCAAGAGTGACATCAGTGAAGCTCTTCTCGTCGCGTAGATGCCTAAACGATGTCACCATATTGCTCTGGAAGTCGTTCCATTTCAAGAAAAATTGCTGTTGATCTGCCATTTTTACACTGAAACACAAATTGATTGCTATCAGTGCAATAGGGCATTGTTTACTCACTCCAACGTTTCGTTTAGCAGCGCATTAGCACATAACCCTACATTCTACGCCTGTGTCCCAATGTAGCGCACTGGGCGGGCAAGGCGACACTCTTAAGATATTCAGAAAGTGAGTACTTACGGTAAAATTAATGCACAATATTAAAAATTCGTCTAAAATGAGGATTTTCAGCAGTCATTCACATTCTACTAAACAATACCATTACGCAAGCGCCAGCGCCATCAAACTGTGCGCCATGTTTAATTATTAAAGATGTACCACTAGGTGACACTAGAGGACAGGCTAGGAGCCCAAAAGCTGCTTGATATTTCCAACCACTTTCAATCTAGTGTTGTAAGCAAGGAGATTTGGTAGAATGGGTCTTGGTTTTTTAAAATTATTATTTGTAATATACCGAGCAGTTTATTATAGATTTATTGCACTTGTATTATATCAAAAGTCACACTTGAACCTGCGTTATTCACGGTTTTAAATTTTACATTAAATTTTGTAGACACGCTTTGCAAAATCGAAATCACCAATTGACACAAAATTTAAAATGTGACACATTAAGATGATTCCGACAAATCAATTAAAGATAACCCACAAATTTATATTTTGATGAAACTTTAATGAACAACGAATTCACAGCTACAGTTTACGGTTTCTTCACAAGTTCTTCATCATCAAAGAATGTGCGACATTGTTTCAGAAGATTCAACTCTTCGACTTTCAATAAATCTTCCTTAGAAATCCAATCCTGTAAAGGTTCTTCATCTTCCAACTGGTCACGAACCTAATTAAATAATAACAATGTGTAACAAATTATACAATTATATGATATGCTCCAAAATTTACCAATTCAACATCCTTGAATACGCGAATTAAATTGCCTCCCGCTAATTTCGCCAAATTTTCATGTGTCCAAACCGTTGGTTGTTCCAGAGCCAAAGCATCTAAAAGATTGGGATACTTGGATACATTCTCTAATCCCTTTGGCATACTAAAAAAATAAATATGTTACTTTTATCTATAAAATATTGTAATAGGTATTAATTACCGATTTACACCATCATAATCCCCACCTAATCCAACATGATCATGCCCCGCGACCTTGGCGATATGATTGATATGTTCTGAAAGGTATTATGATATTAAAATAAATAAATACGATATGAATTGAATGAACTCACTCATAACATCGTGAATGGTTGCCTTTTCCGGTGTAGCGGTGATAAAATCCGGATAAAAATTAACCATTACAATGCCATTGTTCATTTGAACCATTTTCAACGTATCATCGTGCACATTCCTGTGATGATTAAACACCTCCCACGCAGATGAATGCGAAAATATAACCGGGGCACGACTTTCCGATATTGCTTGGTTCATGACGTTGTGGGACACATGAGACAAATCAACCATCATCCCCATTCGGTTCATTTCTCTTACCAACGCCTAAAAAAATAAATATTGCATCATCAGAATACATAAATGTTGTGCATTGTGCAAATGCACAACATACCCGTCCAAACTCGGTCAAATTGTGGATCGGCTCTTTAATGTCAACGAAAGAACTATCTGCCCTGAAATTTAAAGTAGTTATTATAATAAAGATTTCGAAATTTGTTTGGCATCCATACCAAGGTGTTTGGCAAGTGTGAGTCAAAGTCATGTAACGCGCTCCTAATTCATACAACATTCTTAGCACACCGACTCGTGCGTCCATTGAATGTCCTCCTTCGACACCAATCATACTCGCAATTTTTCCCTGACGGAAAGCGTCCATAATGCCATCGGAATCAGTAACGAATTGTAAATCCTTGGGATATTTCTTCACCAAACGTTTAATTACATCTATTTGTTCCAATGTTTTCGAAACAGCGTCACGATATTGCGTATTGCAAGCGACATACGCGACCCAAAACTATTACAAAATATTATCAGTCAAATGTTCAATTCTCAAACAGCTACGAGTGCTACTTACTTGGGCACCAACTTTTCCTTTCCGTAATTTCGGCAAATCCGTGTAACAAGAAGTACAACTGCCCCATTTAGGATTATTGGTCAAATTTTGCGTAAAATCAAAATTATCCAAATTGTTGTGTTCCAACGAGAAAATATTATAAGGGAAATCGTTGTGGCCATCAATTAAAGGAACTTCGTCCAAAACATGACGTGCACCACTAATGTGACCAACACTCACAGTAATAATTGAGCTTACAAGAAGCAAAACAGCTGTGAACAATTTATGCGTCATTTCTCTTCGCTCTCACAACATATACGAATAAATCTATTGCAATTTAAAGTTTCCAGCGCTAATATCTGTAGAGTTGTTTTTGAATTACATACCCGTGACTAACTGCAACATTCTATTAGAGTTCTGACACTTTTATTTGTGTTACACTAAAATTCAGGGATGACTTGTGTGGCGCTGGATATGCAGAGGGGCGTGAGTAGCATTAGGGAGCGAGATACGGAGAGCAGATGGACCTGGAGGCGGCCACAGATTACACCACCACTACGACACTAATCGAAGCAATCACAATGGCAAATGACAGACGACAGTTATATAATATTAGGTGTAAATACAGGTATTATACAGGATTGTTCAAATATAACTTTTAATTGGACGAGTGCTCTCGGATGATCACACCATACACTGCCCGCTTGAGTTCAAACTCACTGATGATCGAGGTGAAACCGTTGAATGGACTTTGTATATGTGTGTTCTACTCGAATACCATTGTTATCTATATCTGTTAACACCATTAATGTGGATCGTTGTGAATTATAAGCACCATAGCAGTAAAAATGGCAAGTGTAAGTTATTAAGTACTTAAAACTGTATATTTGAGCAATAATTAAGGTGACACTTCCAATTAAGTACTTATTTGCTGACATGATATTATCTTTATTTTTTCGTTTTTGGTTTACAATGTTTTTAAGTCTATTAAGAAAATATGCCAGTGACAGTGCCATTTTAATTGCATACATGCAATTCAGCAAAATCCAAACAAAGGGTCATATTACACATTACAAGCATATTTATAATAAAAATTTAAAGAATTTTGCCACAAAGAAACGTAATAAATAATGTTAATATACTAAAATTTGTTTCTGTTGCTATATTATGCAATGGTATGGCCACATCTTCCAAAAATGTTGAACATTCTTGAATTAGATTCGCCTCTACCTCTCCTGCATTTAATAAATCATCTTTAGAAATCCAGTCTTGGATTGGTTCCTCGGTTATCAATTCATCTCGTTTAGCTTCAACAGCTCTAAATACTCTTAGAAAATTTTCAGATGCTAACTTGCGTAAATTTTCAGGATTCCAGCGGGTTGCGTTACGTTGTTGAAGCAATTTAAACACATTGATAATTTTTGATACATCTTCAAGTCCTTGTGGTAACCTGCCAAAAATGTATAAATGATTGTATTATGATTTTATGTATAAATATTTATTACTCACTCGTCCACACCGTTAAAATCTGATCCAATGCCAACATGTTCGATTCCAATTAGATCCACTATATAATTAATGTGTTCTAAATAATGATAAGAAATGTTATTAAAACTTATCACAAGGAAGCATGCGAATTAAACTTACTTATAACATCGTTAATTGTAGCATTTTTCGGATTTGACGAAACAAATTGAGAGTAAAAATTAATCATAATGATACCATTATTGACTTTAAGTAATTTCAAAGTGTCATCATGAACATTTCTCTTGTGCTTGGTGACAGTCCACGCATTCGAATGCGAAAATATAACAGGAGCCCGACTTGCATTGATAGCTTGATTCATAACATTGTATGATACATGTGATAAATCTACTAACATGCCAATTCTATTCATTTCTTTGACAACAGTTCTGCCAAAACTTGTTAAGTTATGAATAGGCTTGGATGAGTCCACGATGTTACTATCAGCCCTAAAATTTACTCTAAATGTAAGTAAACATGAAAATGCATTCTCATTGATTATTTACCATGGTGTTTGACAATTGTGTGTTAAAGTTAAATATCTGGCGCCTAAGTCATACATCATGCGCAAAACAGCAAGTCTTGAATCAATGGAATGCCCGCCCTCTATACCAATCAAACTTGCAATTTTTTGTTGCGCCCTCGCTTGCAATATATCGTCAACACCGGTTGCGAAATGCAAGACGTGATCATATTTGTTTACGAATCGTTTGATGACGTCTATTTGCTCCAAAGTTCTAGCAACGGAATCTCGGTATTGCGTTTTGCAATCGGAAAAGGCCACCCAAAACTATTGATTTGATTTTTATTGAGAAATGAACTTAGCACATGTTTACACTTCTAATAATAATTATCACACATGTCAACTTACTTGTGCTCCAATTTTTCCTTCACGCATGCGAGGCAAGTCTGAATGACATTCCGAACAATTTTGTAAACCCCAAGTGGGATCTAATGTTAAATTTTGCAAGAAGCTGTATTTATTCAAATCATTTTGAACGCGTTTATAAAGCAAATGAGGCAAATCATTATGTCCATCAATTATTGCAAGATCAGAAGGTATCTGACTGTATACTAAACAAATTAATGAGCATAAAACCAAAGCTAAAAGTTTTAAAATAGTATAAACTATGAGTTAACAGCTAAAAAATGAAAGCGCTATACCTTTTGTTTCTTTATACATGATTAAATCACGACACCTGAAAACCCTACTTAGTAAAAGACGATATAATAGAGCTTTATATATGTTTCAAATGGGTACCAAAATGAGTACATATTCAGGGTAATCCGTTTAAAGCATTTACGATCTAAATGGTTTAATGATTGTGCATAAAACAATTCATGTTATAACATTCAAACGACTATAAACCAGTTTACGACGTTATGTCGTGACGCGATGTGTAATTTCCAAATATTTTAAATATTCAAACGCGTGTTTTCGGCGGGTGAAGTACATTTATGAATTGTGTCGACATTTGCTAAAGTTTCACTTTTGTTGTACTCTTTGAACGTACATATTGGTGGAAAGTATTAGAATATTATTGCTATGCTATATATCTTTATTTTCTAGTATTCTACAAGGATAAATATATAATTTTATATAATTCATATTAAGATCAAAATTAATAATAAAAGCGTACGCCATCTGAGCCTCGTAGTACCCAAGTTAATATGCTAGAAAAACTTGGACCCTATGAAAATCAAACGGCGCAACAAAAAGATTGATTTTTGCAATAAAGCTGCCCCCTTGCTTACACGATCATTACACAATTGCTATGACTTATAGAAATGTTGTCAACTAAACATCAACATATGTTATACATTACTGTGCTAATTATTATTTTTTGTTTTCATTTTATACTGATCTACTAATTTCCAATCACACATGTAGTATAATTTGAAAGAAATGTTTTTTGTCTACATATGTTCGAGTTTGCAATTAATGTAATTAATATAGATTCATGCTGAATTATTTACTTCAATAAAAAAATAAACGTCTAATTACCCCAGAAAAAGATAGTGCCTAAGTTCCTTCAGAATCCGAGTCGATTAAAAAACATACGAGAAGGTAGAAAAAAATGGAATCATAGATGAGGGGTGAGAACGCAATAGATGCATCCGTCAGGGCTTGGCGTAGTCCAGAACGTGCTCTTGATATTGCTCGCCGTTGGAGATGTCAAAACGCGAAATGCTCATCGATACTGGCAGCTCCGGGTAGGTCCATGGTTTGGCACTGAAATCGTCGTCCAGTCCCAGGCGGATATTGTCATTACCGAGTGCAAAATGCTCATTGGTGAGACAAACTTCATCACGCAAGAAGTACCAAGTTGGTTGATCGACAATCAAATGAACCTTGGGTACTGGAAAGCCATTAAAAGCCGAAGCAGCACTCAGTGTATAAGCGCCCATGTCTTCGAAGACAATCCAATCGCCAATGTTCACTTCAGGCAACATGATGCTACGCGCGATGACGTCCATACCATCACAAGTAGGACCCCAAATGCTGCTTGGATATTCGGTGGTTGAGTTGATCTTGAGAAGTTGCGGAGTGACTTTGCGGTCTTCGTACAACATGCAATTGAAACTGCCGTACACACCATCGTTGATAAAGTACATGGTGTGTTTGTTCGGATCCTGATTGTCACCGATGGTTCTAGTGGCATAAACGTTGCAAACCAAAGTGTATGCGGATGCCACAAAGAACCGACCTGGTTCAGCGATGACCCTAACTGTATCGTCTTCAAAGAAATCATCCAAACCTTTGTTGACATAATATGCAATCTGGAACAAAAAAAAAAACAAATCGTTAGAAATAAAGCATGCGTTGGCATATAATTGCACTTACTTTATCAATTGATGTGCCTTTATCACCCGGATAACCTCCACCAATATCCAGCAAAGTCATATTGAAACCCAGTTCCATCTCAGCGTAATCAAACAACTTTCTGGCGGCGCCGATGGCCTTGTAGAAGACCGGTGGATCGCCGCATCCGGAACCGACGTGGAACGAAATGCCAATCACTTGGATTCCCAATGTGTGCGCCAATTGCAATAAGTGCGGAGCTTCCAACACCGGATCACAGCCAAACTTCACGCCCAAACGACATTGTGCGACTTCGGCGTCGTAACGAATGCGCAAAACCATTCTAGAAACAAAAATAAATCATGTAGAAAAGTTGGCAGTCGATACAAAATAAATCCTATACGTTTGATCTTTTTCGGCAGGAATATCAACTAATTAAATTTATAATTGATGCTTACTTGGCTTCGGGAAACATTTTCTTGACCTTGTACAGCTCCGACGCACTATCAAAAGTCATCATTTTGACGTCACTAGTGTTTGCATACCGAATGTGACTAGCTGGTTTTGCCGGATTGGCAAAGATAATGCGCGATGGTTCAACTCCAAGTTTTAGAATTTTCGAGATCTCACCCTTGGAGGCGCAATCGAAGCCGAGGCCCAGCGAAGCCAAAGTCGACAATACGATCGGACTATCGTTACATTTCACAGCGTAGTGCGGCTCCACTCTTGGCATTTGCGTCTTCCATGTCTTATACTTGGCAACCATATCTCCGACGTCGCAAACATAAAAAGCATCTTCCTGTTCATTGGGTTCGACAATGTTTTTAATGACGCTCGTCACATTGGAATCCTCATCAATAACGTGAATTCTGTCTTCGAAATTTGTCACTTTCATCTTGAGAGTTGCGTAGGTTTCGTTTATATTCAGAGAGAAAAAGTGGAAAGAAGTAATTAAACCAAATGCGTATAATATTCAGCAAGAATCGAGGATCGTAGTAAGCAAGCTGAAATAAACACCAAACATTATAACTTTGGAAACCAAATAATTTCAAAATAGCTTACGAGGCAGCGGGTGCTCAGATTGGTCCAGGTTGTATGTGCAAGAGGGTGCTTATTTAAAACCTGGAGGGCGCTAGCAACACCAGGGCGGCTCGCCGTTCAAGAATAGTCGCCAGTTGCAAGGGAAACTGCCGCTTCGAGTAGCTGCTTGGATTTTAGCAACAACACAACCCTGTAACAACAAATAATGCATAAATTCTCCAATCGATACACCACAACCGTAGGCAATGATTTACCGCACGATATATCATTAAATTAAGTATAAATTAATGGCATTCACTTGTACCAGTGTTTTATATTTCAAACTGTTGACTTTTTTGTCTATCGCGCACTTTGTACACTTTCTTGGAAAATAAAGCAACATTAACGCGTGTCTAGTCATTAAAAACAACGCTCATCACTTTAATATATTATAGATTTTTAAATATTAGCAGTAGATTCTAAATAATATGGAAAAATTGAAATGTTTACAAGTAAAGTTGACCTGAATTCATCAAATAATCACCAAGATTTAAAATGTAAACATATTTATTGCCAAACAAAAGTGTTAAAAACGATTTTGTGGTAATTTAACACATTTCTAACAAGTTTTTGAAAGACCTGTTTATAGTTTTTAAATTAATCACATATTTTCAACCTAAACTGGTTACATTAATATTGCAAGACAAAAATGTCTTCACTTTTACACGCAAACTAAATTATTAACATAGTAGAGAACGCGTGGGTCTTCATATAAAATTCAAACTAATAGTAACTTTGACAAATTGATTACCTCTTGTCGTATCGTCCGTAATTTAATAGAAGATAAACTTCTATTACTTTTGCATACCAACATTCACAAAACGTCTATGAACATAAAACAGAAAAAAGTCGAAGCGATCGACGCGCGAACGACCAAAATTTGAGCTCGATTTTGGCTGGGTGCAACCGACGACTGAGCGTTATCAGATACGCGCCGGTGGTTTTTATACGGGCGCTGCCATCTTATTCGCTTTCATTGTTTGCGTTCGTGCTTGAAAGATGTGATAAAAGCGGTTTGAACCGACGGCGCGCCGTTCTCGTGTAGTTGTTACAAGCTGGTAGCACTTGTGAATCAGTCGCCTCGGACTCGGGACTCGAAATCGAAGTCGCACGATATCACAGCGGCGCTGAATGCTTTTTAACCCCGAGATAAGCCGCCGCGAGAAGTAGCGTGTCGCATTCAATAATTACACGCTCCGCTGAAATCTGGAGTGTGCCAATTACGCGCCGTCGCGTACTGACGCAAATTCATTTCGCTTTCCAGTTTATTGCCCGCTCTGTCTAATCATTGGCGGTGATTATCGCTGATAGTAGATTTGTTTGTTATGCTAGTATTGAATACATTGACATGCGGAGCATCGTTTGTTAGCATTGCACACATAGGACACGGTCGAAAAAACAGCGATTAGATTTAGAAATTCCAAGCATGCGATTAATTCGGCATTAATTGACTACAACTAGATTTATCTACTTAGACCTAACTCGAAATGTAAATAATGGAACTACGTGGCCTTATAAATATTATGGCTAAATGATTTTCAAAACATAAACAAGATATGAATTAACATGTATCATATTACTACGAAACTAGGGAGCCATTGGTAAATAATAAAACTTAACAATTCTTAGAAAATATACTTAAATTTTACGTTTCATGTTAATCGACGTAAAGTTTACTAATAAAACAGTAATAATATCGTACAACCATTACGATATAGTGATGTTTTTATAGTGATAAACATTGTTATGGGCAAACATGATACTTTATAAGGAACTATGAAATATAACATTATGTTCTGATTTCGCACGTTAGATCTTTGGTGTAATAGTTTTTTTAAAAGAATTATTTTTTCAATAACTAAATGTCCAATCAAATTTCGCAGTCTTTCATCAATAAATGTCGTCTTGTACCAAACTTAATTTTGTTTTGTACTTAATTTAAAATGAACACTCTTTGTGTAATGTGTTTTGATAACATAACTTTTATAACATTTGCTTTATTAGTGCAAATTGAAATGACTCGCATAGTATTGTTGTATTCTTGCATCTTGACACACTTCTAAACCTGTTCATTCTATATTTTTTGAATTAGTAAAACATTAAAATAAAAAATATGCTCTTAAATATTTAACCAAAATTTTTAAAAATAGTACCCGGATTACAATTTATAAAATGTAAAATACAACTAAAATGTAATTTATGTTAATAATTAAATACGGCAATAAATTATGTCGTTCTCATTAACGCTGATATCACACATTAATCCATTGGTCAACATTAAAAAAATACAGATTGTATTATATTACTCTTTAATAACAATAATTATGCGCATGTTAAGATAAGAAAAACATGCAAATATTTACACGATTAGTAAACAACTATGCATTACGCAAAATAATAAATTCTGCATTCACTGCGAATGTACCGAAAACAAAATTGTTTGGGCGGAAAAAACAAACAAACGTTAAAATAAAATGCAATGCATAGATTGCCATTCCGCTAACTGATAAACAGATAAATATTATATTTTTCTACACTTTTAATGATAACATAAATCTATAATTATTATTATGACATAAATGCCTCATTGTTTTCTCCGCCGGAAATCAGTGCTGAGTACAATAGCAAATTTATTAGTCAAGACAATCTAAAATGGTGACAGTGAATTTGTGTGCGGCGCGCCGCCAATTCATTTTGGTGCGCGTGTGACATACTACAATATGTTATGATTAGATAATGAAGGTAGCCGCCAAATCAACAAGCTCATATCAATTATTATTATTTTTATTAACACTGCGATAAGCCTCAAGTGGATAAAAACCCCACTTATTTCCTGAGTAGGCCATCAAATCCGATTAGATTTTCTCAAGGCGACAAATCTGCTTACAAATTAGCAGACAAATCATCTCCGAATTGATGACACCACTCCTAACACCCTGTGAATGGCAATGAATCAGTCATGGTTAATTTTAGGCCAAGGAAAAATATTGGCGTTCATCTAGATCTAGAATTCGAGAATATTTTAACATGACATATAGTGTGCTAATCATGGCCGCACGGCGTATCGCGGAAACCGTTCTTCGCCCCTGATAACACGAACATATTTTACAATATTGCGCCACGAACGCACAAGTATTGTACGGAAAATAAACGCAGATAACAATCCAATATGGCTCCGTATGCACTTACCTCTGGAAGCCACCCTTTGGGCAGACGGGTACTTTTCGGCGGAATTTTGGTGCTTTGTGGTAAACTCTGATGAAAATCAGCAAGTAACGTTCGTCAAGCACTTGGTCGCAGGCGTAATTGGACGCTTTCGTCGAATTTCATTCCGCACATGTAACACTCGCACTGCACAGGTCTGAGCACGGCGACGTCGGCACAGGCAAAGGGGACAATTCGCTGCCGAGAGAGAGCGCGGAGCACCTAGTCACCGTCACCACGAAAAATTCGCAGCGCCTGCCTTCGGTGCGGATTCGCTGGATTCGCTACGCACGAACAAGCCTAAACAGGTCGAGACTAGTTTGCGCGAGATCTAATTTTCCATTTCCTGGAGTCACCAATTGGCGAATAGCGAAACTACAATAACAGTAATAAAACTTCAACTACAGATTTAGAAATACGCTAATTATATATTTTTAACCTTTTATTTAATTTAAATGTATTAATTGAAACTACAATTTTAATCAAACACAAATGTTATCGTTTGTATATAATTTTTGTTATTTTTAAAGCAAAGATAACAACGTAAGAACCTTCCTTATCGACACTTTGACATTCAAAACTGACGCATGCGCAATGAGGTTGTTTTTGACCGCCATTTGGATCTGTCAACCAAAGAAGCACGCGTGAAAATTTTCAACTTGTTAAATTTAAATAAACATCGAATGCACCTGCGCTTCAACTCTTAACAACGAATCAAATTGTGATTTACAGTGCATGCGACGTGCGATAACAGTAATTCCGTCGGACATGATACACGCTCGCCTTTGCTTCCCGCCTTTAATAAGTTTGTTATGACAGACCAACCCGTGGGGTCGCGTGCTCCGACATAAACAACGCTTTAATCAAATTCAGCACTTTTTTATGTAGTGATAATCAGTGCATTGAACATTTTTTATTGTGCGAACAGCGCCGAAGTGCAGAAACCGTCTTCGCCGGTGTGTTAGTTACGTAAACAAAATCACGTTTTCAAGCTGACCCACGTTAAGTGTCAACCATGAAGAGCGAAGAAAGTGAGTATGCTGTGTTATCAATTGATTCTTGCGCTGTGACATTATCGGATTCATGCTTGTTATTGGCCGTGTTAATTCGGACAGTGTTTAGCGTGCGTAATTAACGCGCGCTTGTTGATTGTTCATTGTGTGGGAAAATGAAACCACGAGGTAGCCATTTGCGTCAAGTGTCAATTTCAAGACGAAAGCTCTAGCATTCAGCGCGTGCTTTTCAAATTGGCAGGCATTGTCTACGTTTTGCACATTTCTCTTTGATGACCTTGTCGTGTGCTTGTATTTTATTCAGAAATAGCATGGAAATCTTCCAATAATTAGTAGCTTTTGAATCGCCGTTGTTGTGTTCGTTGATCATATCGTTTATGTCACAATGACAGAAAAATGCGTGCCTAGGACGCGCTGGTTAGCATGCAACACTGTATAAATTTGAATTACATTATTGCGCGTACAAAACGAAATTCTCGTTCAGTGGATTTCAAAAGTAAAAGGACACAGCATTGGAATAATGGTTATTTTTGACTTCATAGCCTAAGTACTAAAACAATAAAATGAGATTTTACTCGCGACTTTGGAAAATATACTACCGATTGAAGAATTATTTACAATGTTCTTGCTTGACAACCGTTGCTAATACAAAAGTTTTCAAACTTTTAAAACTTTGATACGCATACATGAATCTTGTAGGCGTCGATCAAAAATTAATTATTTCAACAAGTAGACACTGAAAACAGATGAAAAGGTGTTAATTAGCAACGTTTCGACACATTCATTATCAAAACGCCACACAACCCCGTTTGGGACGCTAGTTAAGAAGCAAAAATTCAAACTGGCTGGAATAATGTTTTCAGACCACAATCGAGACCAACGTGACCGAGATCAGCGCGAATTGGACCACCGTGAGCGTGATCAACGCGAATGTTACCAGACTCCAAGCAGCACCACTGACGATTCCGGTTCAGAGCAAGAGGACAACGTGACGCTACAACACATTGCTGCCGAACTTCAGGCCCACCATCACCTGAATCATCATCACGGCGTCCTCGGACAAGTGCGAAAACGGCGTGGTAACTTACCTAAACATTCAGTGAAGATCCTCAAGCGTTGGTTGTATGAGCATCGCTATAATGCGTACCCGAGCGATGCAGAGAAGATCACCCTTTCGCAAGAGGCAAACCTAACCGTATTGCAGGTATGCAACTGGTTTATCAATGCACGGCGCCGTATTTTACCCGAAATGATACGAAGAGAAGGCCATGATCCAATGCACTACACAATCTCACGTCGTGGTAAGAAGGTTGCAAACATCGCCGGGTTAAGCGATACCGGTTCGGGTCTTTGGGAAGTTGACTCTTCTACAGGTGGTAAACGCATTCGACTGGATCATGATTACGAGGAGGGAATGACTTTGCTGTATCGTTCTGAGGGTGATTCACCAATTGACTACGAAAGCTCCAGTCCAAGCGAAGAAGAAAAATTCAATCCGTGGTCCACTGTCATACGCTACGGTTTTCCACCACCAAACAAGGAATCTGCACTTCCAATTATGATCAGAGAGTATGAATGTCATATGTTCATATTGGTAAAATATTAATTTCATTTTAATTATTTCACAGTGCTTCAGATGACAAGTTGGTTACAAGTAATTACTGGGGCGGACCACATCCACAGTTGGCGCACCTCCCGCAGCTTCCACATCCGCTGACTCCCAAGGTGCAAGTGATGCCTGCACATAGTATCAGTCACACTGTACCCGACTCCACAGAAGACGATGTTGCTGAGTATAGCGACAAAGAAAAGTTTAGATGTTTGTATTTGCTCGTCGAGACCGCCGTCGCAGTGAGGCAGCGCGAAAAGGAACAAGGAGAGATTCAAGTATAAATGTTGTCGCCTCCAATGTGACGAGTTAGGTGTCTGTGCCTTAACAAATTTTGCAGTTGCGAATTATAGATATAGTTATTAATATTTTTGTATGAGTAGCATCATCTCTCATTGACATATACATGTATACATACATATATTAGGGTTAGTAATCACTAGGATTAACAGCAGGAAACCGCCTCCAACACCCCCATTCTTTTGTTCATTTAGGACAATAAATATTGAAATATCGTTTGTCATATGTAACCGACTCTGTGGACAAATATGCATCGGATATTCGAAGCAAAATAATGCATCTAGCTGATGAACTAATGAAAATTGTGTGTTTTGGCTAAATGCATTATTTTCAAAATTGAAAAAAATTAAGATTTTCGAGGTTTCTATCTTGTTGCGTTAATTCTTGGTGTAACATGTTATGATAACTTATGTATAAATAGAATAGGACTCACGCCTTATAGAAAGTAGCGCTTTCTGTTTACTTTTGTTACAAATATTACCACTTTATTTCTGTTCGCTCCGCAATGTTGTAACGATGTAATTTTAAAAAGAAAATGGCGAACACAGGCGCTAATTGGTATTTTACTTTGATGAATTTATCCAAATGTGTTATATACAGCGTTTTTACATTTCATGACTACTCTACAATGTCAATTAAATTTTGATAACATGTATATAAAAAAGTTGTATATGTAAATGTCCGGTAATCGTACAAAAGATAAAAACGAGCAGATGTGATATTTTCGTAGTTCACTGCCAACAAATAACATTTGCTATTGATTGGTAATTCGATGGAAGAAATACGAGTTTTGAGGTTGATTTGATGTTTGTAAATTGCGTTAATTTTTGTAATAAAACATACTTAAAATTTACACAAGTTGTTTGTCTCTAGTATAATGAAATATTAAGTATATTTGTACCGTTCTCAAGTGATACTGTTTCATACAAGTGGCAATAGTTCTTAGTTTTGTTTATTTAACCAGATTATTTATTTAGTAGCATATTTCTAAAGTCATTATTACTTTTCGGTACAGTCTTGGCCGCTCTATTGTTACCTGATCCATTCTCACCTGACACTTGTGATGGTGGTTTCATAGCTGCTCTTGGAATCAGCGGGACCTGCAATCTGCTCTTGGAGTGTCGCAAAGGAGCCTCCTTCGTATGTTTGGCGTCTTTCGGCGGAGGCGCGCTTATTGCCACCGATATAATAAAGTTCTCCACTGTTGTATTATCAGTTGCTTGCATAGCCTTCGCGGCATCTGCAGCATTCTCAAACTCAACATAGGCCAAGCCTTTGCTTTGGCCACTCTTATGCAAAACCAATCGCACGTCTTTAAAGTTATACGGCTCGAAAAGTTTCTCAACGTCAGCCTGCGCATATTTCACTGGAAGACCTTTAACAAATAGTTTGTTCTCTTCGGCAGTCTGTGCGAATTTAAACACCGCTTGACGCTCGGTTTTGTCCGTCTTACATTTGGATATAAAAATCGGTCGACTTTCAAAGAAAGTACGGTCTCTACCCAAGGCGATTTCCGCCTCTTCTTGTGTTTCAAACTGAACATAACCGAAACAACGCGACAAACCTTTGTTATTTGTCGCTAATGTCACTTTACCATTGGGGAAAAAAGCAGAAAGTTGTGCGTGAGTCACAGTGGGACTCAAATTACTAATAAACACAGACTTGTCATGCACAAGATCAGCGGGTGGCCCCTGATTTTTAACTTGCTTCTTAAACTCAGGCTTATGTTTCTTGTTTTCTGTCCGGTCGTCATTTGTTTCAGAATCTGCTTTACGCTTACGATTTTGGTTTTCTCTCACATCGCTCTTGCTTTTAGTAGCGCTATCATTTGTTACAGGCTGTGCCTGCGCATCAGCTTGCGCCTTCAACTTCTGCGGGAGTATTTTGTTGATTTTATCAAGACACTTCAACACATCATCGATACTACCCTGGTCACGTTCGAACATAATCCATTCGTCAGCAATACCTTGAGGCCAGTCGGTGTTACAAGTAATTGCGCGATTGAAAACGTTACGAGTGCTCACAATCGTCCCAAATTGTCGTTCTATACGCACGTATTCAAACCAGAACTGAGACAAAATTTTCGCCTGCGGATCGAGTAGTAGGGTGTTCCAAAGTTCTCGACAGCGGTCCATTTCGTTGTTCTTTGCACAAAGATAAGCGTGATACCGTGTCAACTTAAACGTTGGATCGATTATTTGTTGTTCTTCAGCTTGTTGCAATAATTTCATCAAAATATCGCTATTGTTACCTATGCAAAAACAGAAACATAAAAATAAAAGTAACAAACAACAAGTTTAATATAACGTGATTATAAGAAAAACATACGTACGTTTTGTATATGCAATATAATCCAACCATAAATCCAATCCAGTTGGAATATATGACAAACCAGTCTGAAAACATTCTCTGACATCATCCGCCGATTTTTCAAACTTCTCTAAAATCTTTAAGCGCAAACACCATAGTTCTTCGCACCATGTTACATTACGCAACGCACGTTCCGATATACTTAAACACACATCCCCCAATTTAAGTGTGTAGTTAACATAATCAATCCAAATCTGTGGCATCAAACAAAGTTTCTCAATTGCCCTCTCATACAAACACATCACCAATGATGGATTCTTCACACTTTTAATATACTGACTGTAGATATCAACAAGTTCTTGATCATCTGTAGTCATGAGAATTCTCTCTTCATAAGCTTTGTAATTCTCAACACACTCCAAAGCCTTTTTATAACCTGGTTCAACTACTGATGCATCAATTTCAGGCACTTGCTCGAGAAATTGTTGCCATTCATCATAAGTACTGGTGATGTTAACAAGTGGCACTGACAGTTGCCTTTTAAATGCATCCACAAGTTTATTCAGTTGGGTCTTGTAGTCTTCTGATTCTTTTGGTGTTACTGAAAGGTGTGCAATTTCTAGTTCTCTGAGAATGTCCCAGAGGAGTGATGCATCTGTATAGTGTAATCCAGCTACACTCAATGCATTTTCTAGGATTGCATGAGTTTCTTTTAATTCACAGTGGGACATTGCATATTGGACATATTCTAGCCATAATTTAACAGCTAAAATGTTAAAATGGTTAGTAAATGGAAATAAATTAAAGATGTTTCTATAAGTACATAAGTAATCTTTAGTTGCTCTTTCAAATATCTCCATTATGTGTTTCTTGGCATCATCTGCCACAGATATTTCTATGTTGATCCATTTCAACCAAAGTTCTTCAGTTAAAGGGAAAGTTTTGGCAAATCGATCATATGCTAGACGTAATGACGGTAAATCGCCAGTTTTTTCACAGATGCTTAATAATTCTTTGTGTAAATCATATAAATACACATTATTGCTTAGTTCTCCTTCAATTTCTTTCGCGCGCTGTTCCAACGCCTAAAATATGTATAAATATAAGGTAAATAAAGTTTAACAAACTACATCATACCAGGAAAAGATATGATACAAAAGAAATTTGCAGAATTGCAGTGAAATGTAACTAAAAACAATTTTGTTGTTTAATTTGCAAATTGGCACGCTACCTCAGTGTCGTCGTCAGCGGAATCATCATCCGAAGATAGGTTCTCATCTTCCACATCCATTCCAAATAATTCTTTATTCATATTGAATTGTTGTTAACAAATAAGAGCAACAACAAAACACACAACAAACGTTAAACAATTTGCTAGGTTATGCGTATTTATGCGCGAGGTACGCAAGCGCAGGTAGCAAGAAGTATCGTTTGAACTTTTGAAATTTGAAACCTTAGAAACTATTTTAATAAGTCGTCGCAGTCAAGTTTTTGAAATGTTAAAGGTTACACTTTGCAGGTAATTTCAGAAAAGTGACCTTTCAATTTAGTACCTGCAATTGAAATTATGCTAGAGTCAAACATAGTAAGATATTACTAAAGAGGCTTGTATTTGTATCATTTTAAACTAAAAATTAGAGTGCAATGGAATCCAGTTCAGATCAATTCACCTCAGTTTATCGACATGATTTCATACCTATTGATCGCGGTTTTCAACTGCCGGCCAAGCCTGATTATGACCGTACGTATACAATTAGAGAAGATGCTCCGTTTGTTAGTACTACCGGTACTTCTTCAATGTCATCATCAGAATCGGTCGATTTGGCAAATGAATATCTTGAAAATACTGTAAGTATATACGCCATTTGCAAATGAAGCTAAATAAATTAACATCTTCTCTGAAGTTTAAGCATGAACAACCAAAATTATACAAGAAGTACTTCAAAAATGTATCATCATTAAATAAAGACATAATTGAAGCGGAGTTAGTCCAAGACACAGTTTACGTAAACGATTACTGCCGACATATGAAAGGGCCAGTCGAGGACAAATTTGACATTGAACTTGAATCGCCTGAAGCCATCGAATCCACCATGCGAGATCATTACAGACAGCCATCAAAACTCGGAAAACTATCGCATCATTTAGTCCGGGCACCGCAATCAACCCTAACAAGGAACCAAAATGTCGTCACATCTGTCTCGAAATTAGCCAACACATCCGAATATCAAAGATTGATTGGATCCACTGGTAAATTCATAATGGATAATGAGATGTATGGAAAAATGATTTATCCTTCATAAAACACTTAAACATTTTCAATAACATGAATATTAACAACAAGAATATTAGGAATATAAATATACAAAAAGAATGTTATGAATATCACCATTTCCAATTGCTAATACGACTCTTTCTCAGAGCCTGTAAAGCAAGATCTGTGCGCATTTGCGTCTCGCTGTGGACCTTAATACTTGTAACTTCAGACGGAGCACAACGCACAATATTGTCATGCTGCAATGCGGACTGTACTCCTTTCTTTGCAAATAATTTACCCAGAATATAATTATCTTGCTTTTCATCTTCGTGGACCGGCTTGATTTTCTTCTCTACTTTTTTTGTTTCTCGTTTAACGACACCTTCTATTTGTTCACCTTCAACATTACCGCTAAAATCATCTTGAATTTTATGTTTACTCTTATCTTTCTTTGGTTTGGCGAAAGCTGTAGTCAATGATTTGTACTCTTCTGTAGCTGCATTGATGTTTTTCGAGTTTTCTTTCGCTGTTTTATACAAATCTGCTGCTTTCTCAGATATTACAAGTGCTTTCGTGAAATTCACATCGGTATCGCAATCGTCCAATTGATTGACGGGTTCTTCTACAGGTAGAAGTTTATCGCGATTGTATTGTAACAACTCAACTGGTGTGAGCTTTTTAAGTTGAGCGCGTTCGGCTAATTTCGCTTGTCGCTCTTCCATTAAATCTTTTTGCATTAAATCTAAATTATCAGTATTTGTTTTTGTAGTTTCCGATATATTTTTAGCTATCTGAGCAGCTAATTGTTTCATTTTCTCTATTTTATCATCAGTGAACTGAACAGCTGGTGCTTTTCGTTTTCCTTTCTTCTTTTTTATTTTTTCCTCCATTGAAATTCTAGAGTTCTGAAAAATATTTGTTGTTTCCGGATTGGTATCAACATGTTCTTGCAATGAGAACAAGTCATGAAGGTCAGAACTCTTAAAAAACCGTTGCGTTTTCGGATCCAGAAGAACTTTATTACTGAGCAGTTGTTTCCAGATTTGACGTTGATACATTTTCTCTTCGATTGTACCAGCTGCAATTAATCTGTAAATAGTAACTTCTTTATCCTGACCAATTCGCCACGCGCGTTCTCTGGCTTGTGTATCAGTGGCTGGATTCCAGTCAGGATCGTAGATAATCACACGATCTGCGCCAGTTAAATTGACACCCAGACCACCGACTCTAGTAGTAAGCAGAAACACGTCTAATGATTTATCCTATAAATTAAAATCCATCAAAACATGTGAAATAGTAAAGCAGGATATGAACTTACACTATTAAATTTATCAATTAAAGGTTGTCGTGAGACTATACTGGTGCCTCCATCCATTTTTAAGTATTTATAGTCATTAGCTGTAAGAAATTTTTCAAAAATGGCTACCATCGCTCGGCTCTGAGTAAATAGTAAGACACGATGTGATTGTTTCTTCCACATTTTTAACAATGCCGCGACTACAATCATTTTCCCTGAACGTTTGTGATGGCCACCTTTTTCATTAGAATCTTCAATATTATCCTACAAAAAATAACTTAAGCATCAAGAACAAAAGACATTTTATAAGTGATTTACTTACATCACTATCGTTTATATCATTCAGATAAATATCTGGATGATTGCATATTTTTCTCAACTTTGTTATACTCATTAAAACATTTCCTCGTGTGTAATTTTCCGAAAACCATTTATTACTACCGCGTCCCAAAAGATTTCTAATATGATCACTCTGTAAAAATCATGTAAATAACAATAAACACTGTGCAATATAGAAAACAGGCAGTACCATCAAGTATCCTTTGTATAAATCTCTTTGTTCTGGTGTTATTGAACAAAACAAAACCTGTTCACTTTTGCTTGGAAGTCGTATATCATCTTTAACGTCAATCTTTGCACGACGAAGCAAATGCGGTGTTATCATATTTTTAAGAGCTGTTGCCATTGATAGCGCGAGTGCTTCCTTTTGGTAAGTAAATAATTAAATACTTTTGAAAAGCAAAAAAATAAATAAATATTACCTGCATAGCTGAGGCATTTGCATAACCCCCTTGCATAATTGGCATAGCAAAGTGCGCCATGAACACTTGTAAAGTGCCCAACATTCCAGGATTAACAAAATCAAATAAACTCCATAATTCCTGCAGGTTATTTTGCATTGGCGAACCTGTCAATAACAATCTGTGTGGTGTTTTGAATAATTTCACCGCTTCAGTTATCTGCAATTCAAGTAATTGATATTTTCGTCATAATAAAATAATATATTTATATAGAAAATCGTAATACTTTTGCACTCGGGTTTCTAATTTTATGACCCTCATCCAGAATAATGTAATGCCAAAACTGTTGAATCAAAACAGCCTTGTACTTGAGCATGCTTTGATAAGTCGTGATTAAAATGCCTTTGGAAGCAACGTTTTCTTTTATTAGATTACGTTTGTTGCCTACAATAGTAAAATTAGTAGTAAATCAATCCGATGTTAATACTCTTAGTAATACCTGTGTATGATCCTGATTGATGAAGAATGGAAACCCTAAATTCAGGTGCCCAATCATGAAAATGCTTTACCCATTGATGGACGACTGTTGAAGGACACACAATTAATGTTGGCCCCAACCCCTTAAATCTATAAATTTTTACAAGACACAAATATATTAAATTTAAACAAAATCAAAATAATAAAGTATACATACCCGCCATAACTTGAAACACGTCGTGTGTAATTAAGAGAATAAAGGAATGCAATAATTTGAACAGTTTTGCCTAATCCCATTTCGTCGCCTAAAAGTCCGCCAGTGCCTTTTTCGTGAATGCCCCATAACCAATCAACACCTTCTTGCTGATAACTGTAAGAAAAAATAAATAAATAGTGCAGGTTTTGATAATATAACTGTTCTTTATTTACTTACTGATATAATGCATTCCATATTGTGCTGGAACATTTAGCATTATTACCAAGAGTAACTTCTGTTTCAGGCAGCTCTGTGCCATTCTCAATAGCTTGTTTATTATCAAGCTCTAATTTCTGATAATACTGATTCAATCTCTCATTGTAGCATTTAATATTTCCATCATCTACTACTCTATCATATTTTGTAGAATTCTGTTTATGATTTGTACTCAATTTTATTCTTTTTGTTCTTGTTTTATCTGAATCAATCTTTTCACCATAGCCTGGTTCATAATCACTATCTTCTCCTGATGGAACATAATCACTACCAGATTTATCTGAATCATTTTCATTTTTAATACTTTCACATGCAATTTCTGTAGCTGATCTTTTCCTTCTTAATGTGGTATTCTCTTGTTTTCTACTTTTATGATGTAAATTGTTAGAAACTTTGATTTGTTTGTTATTTATTTGATCAGCAATTAATTTTGATTTGTCAGAAAGCTCCAGGGATCTTTTATAGTCTTGTCTCTTCTTTAATTCTTCTTGTCTTTTAAGATATGAGTTAATATCAAGTGTAGCATTCACTGTAGTTGCATCCACTGATTTTGTTAAATGAACTTCTTTGTTATCATTTTCAACTCTTGAATTTTCCAATTTGCGATTGTTATTGAATGTTGTTAACTCATCTAGAGCTTGCTGTTCAAGTATTTCTTGTTGTTGTCCCCATACATTAACACCTATGCTTTTTAATTCTTCAATGTCATCCTAAAAAATTGCAAATGCAAAATTTTTGTATGTTGATAAAATAATTGTGAAATAGGTACCTGATTGGTAAATGAACAACTCGGTAATTGATCCATTATTAATCACTACTTCTTAGATTTTATTGTACTAAAAGACGCACAACACAAAAACATGACATTGAAAAACGTTACACATGTTCAATTCATTGGTACTGATATGTTGTTATTTTACATAACCTGTATTATTATATGACCTTTGTGTAAATTAAGTTGCATAGCTATAAGATTCTGATGAGTAATAATTGCAACAAATGACGCAATCAAGAAAAAAAGCTAAAAACTCTTTGTTTTCACGGCAGATAACAAAACAATACGAATTACCTAACACTTGATAGTACGCTAGGTCAAGTATTGTTGTTTTAGGTAAGATAAATAGCACAGTAAAACAAAACGCTGACTAATTTAATGACTTGCTATCAATTTTTGGATAAGATTGAGATCACAGGATAAAATAAGCAACTCGTAGAAGCCGATAATCATTTTATGTAAAAACTTATTACAAATGTGCATTATATTACGTATCAAGGAACATCAAAGCCTACGAGTCCTATTTTAACAGCAAAGTACAAAAAACAGTAAAAACTGATGATCAATATCTGAAGTAACACTCACCATTCCCAACAAATTCCCAGCTTAAGCCAAAATTATTTTTCTTTCTTTTTATCAGAAGTATGCAACAGTAAAGTCCGAAATATTTAATAAGGTTTATTCAAAGCGTTGTCTGACAAATCATCGTAGCTATAAACTGTATTCTTAATGCCAAATTCTTTCCTCAACAAAAAGATGCACAAAGTTATAATTAAATAATGTTAAAATTAAACAATCGCAAGAAACCGAAATTTAAAATAAGCAAGAAAAACAAGTCAGTCTTGAATAAGTTAAGTAATTATGTATTCGATGGGAATGTGTTTCTGTACAAAAAATAATGTTCACAAATAGAAATAAAGCATCAGATCAAACTGCTCCAGCGATGTTTAAAGGATAAAGTAAAAGTTATTAATACAAATTTAGTTCTCATCGACTTCTTGTTCGGCTTCCTCATCGAATTCGGCATCCTCATCGGCGGTAGCCTCCTGGTATTGCTGGTACTCGGAGACCAAGTCGTTCATGTTAGATTCGGCTTCAGTGAATTCCATCTCGTCCATGCCCTCGCCAGTGTACCAATGCAAGAAAGCCTTACGCCTGAACATAGCAGTGAATTGTTCGCTGATGCGCTTGAACAATTCCTGGATAGCGGTGGAGTTGCCGATGAAGGTGGCAGACATCTTCAGACCACGTGGTGGGATGTCACAGACGGCAGTCTTGACGTTGTTGGGGATCCATTCAACGAAGTAGCTGCTGTTCTTGTTCTGAATGTTGAGCATCTGTTCGTCGACCTCCTTCATGGACATGCGTCCTCTGAAGACGGCGGCGACGGTGAGGTAGCGGCCGTGGCGTGGATCGCAAGCAGCCATCATGTTCTTGGCGTCGAACATTTGCTGGGTGAGCTCCGGAACGGTCAAGGCCCTGTATTGTTGGCTGCCGCGCGAGGTCAATGGGGCGAATCCAGGCATGAAGAAATGGAGACGCGGGAATGGCACCATGTTGACGGCGAGCTTACGCAGATCGGCGTTCAATTGACCCGGGAAACGGAGGCAGGTAGTGACGCCAGACATGGTGAGTGACACGAGATGGTTAAGATCACCGTATGTGGGGGTGGTGAGCTTCAGCGTCCTGAAGCAGATATCGTAGAGAGCTTCATTATCAATGCAGTAGGTCTCGTCGGTGTTCTCAACGAGCTGGTGAACAGATAAGGTGGCATTGTAGGGTTCAACGACGGTGTCAGACACCTTCGGCGACGGTACAACCGAATAGGTGTTCATGATCCTGTCGGGGTATTCTTCACGGATCTTAGAGATGAGCAATGTGCCCATGCCGGATCCGGTACCGCCGCCAAGCGAATGTGTCAGTTGGAATCCCTGCAGGCAATCGCAGGATTCCGCCTCTTTCCGCACGACATCGAGAACCGAGTCGACGAGTTCAGCACCTTCCGTGTAGTGTCCCTTAGCCCAGTTGTTACCAGCGCCGGACTGTCCAAACACGAAGTTATCCGGACGGAAAATCTGTCCGAAAGGTCCCGAGCGGACAGAGTCCATGGTGCCGGGTTCCAGATCGACAAGAATGGCACGAGGTACATATTTGCCGCCGGATGCTTCATTGTAGTATACGTTAATCCTCTCCAATTGAAGGTCAGAATCGCCATGGTACGCACCAGTTGGGTCAATGCCGTGCTCGTCGGAGATGATCTCCCAGAACTGTAAAACAGAAGTGACAACACTGCGTTAAAACACTTCGTTCCAGTGCCCGTCACGATGAGTGATCATTTAGCATATGGTCGGCGAAGGTCAGTTTGCAACTAACAAGCCATTGCTTATGTTAATATCGCGCAACATGACTCAAGTCACCTCTATATATAACCATTTTAAGACGCTTACGTAGGTAGGCTCACACCCGTCCCGTCAATATGAATTTAATTTAATTAAACAATCGTATTGTGCTTAATCAGGTAATTACAGCAGATTTGAATGTGTCTTAATGTGCGCGAAAACAATGAGACCAATGGTTGGAAAAAGGCGCAACGCAAAAGTAGCACTCGATAATGAACAATTCTAGAACATGTGGCACAATAGCGAAAGGCATGTACCGAAAACACATTCTAGCTCACACATGCCCCAAAAGGAAGTAAAAAACTATGCAAACTAACTGTGAGATAGAAAGGATGCGCGTCGATTGTAGTGTGCCCCCGGATCGAATAGGCGTGTACCGGCACGGCACGTAGATGGATTAGTTCAATAAATTCTCATTCCACAGGAACTCGCGCATTGCGATGTGCGCTCGAATGGAAGAGGATGGCGCGGCACGTAGGAAGATACACGCAGCGCAAAAGTTTAACGAACCCGATTATAAATGGTCATGGTTCATGCAACAGCGTACCGAAGTACCGAGCGTGGAATGCTTACGTGTTGCATTATGTTTCAATGTGAAGTTAATATTTAATAACATATTCCAAGAAGAAGAAAAATGAATCTGTATTGGATAATTAGTTTAATATTCTTCATATTTAAGATTATTTAAGGTGAATTGAAATATTGACTGGTTTCTAGTTGGTATTGTTTCGCCCTGTATGCGGTTGTGTGCGCCATGCCGAACATCTGCAGGGTGCGGTCGACCGCTCATATTCTACCTACCCGAGAGGGGTTATATAGATTTTTGGTAGAGCTGTACAACCGTCCGCGCCGCACAACCGGCGAATTGTGTAACGGTTATTTGCCGGCAACTTTTTGTACTTCAACCGACAAATCAAATGCGTACACGAACAACACTTATAAATATCGCGACGTGTCGTACACGGCAAATTTATTGGACTTGAGCGTACAGCTATCAACTAAGCTATCAAGATAATAACTGTTTTATCAAATAAGGTATCAAATGAAGTGCAGATTACAGGTCACAAGATTTTGTTGCAACGTGGCTCGAATTGATTGGCAATAAATAAAACAATGATTCATTTTAGGCGTGACTAAAAAAATGAGTATCCACTGGTGTAATGATGAAGAAACGCTAACGCGTAGCGCAGTGACAAGATGGCCGCGAGTGACGGTTAAAAATACGCTTGCCGGTTGAGCCGCCGCAAAAAAACGCAGCGTGTTGCAAACCGCCATGGCCGCACGTATGCCAATCGATAATCAGTAGATAGATAATAAAAAGTGTAATTACCTTAGCGCCGATCTGGTTACCGCACTGGCCGGCCTGGATGTGTACAATTTCCCTCATGTTGGTTTCGGATTGATTTATAAACTACTTAATTAAAATACGAACGCTTACCACGCAAGATGTGAAGTGAAATGCAGTCTCCTATAGGCGCGAGACTTATTTATACGCTCCCCCACCAACATGGTGGACGCCTTGGTAGTGGCGGGCGCACTCGCGCAACTCGTCGGCGCACTCAAGCGCGAATTCAAATTTACATCGACCGCCGACTTGCATCCAGCCAAGGACCAAATTAATTTTGATTCAATGTCTTATGATTGTGTGTTATAACGCACCCATAACGTTTAGTATTTGCCCATGCGAAAATCAAATTTGAATCGTACGCCACCCTGGCGGAAGCTGCGCGCAACTCAACAAAAAATTCGTTACGCCGGTTAGGTTATCGCAGCGTCCAAAACGACGCATCCCATTTAAATTCAAATTGGAGTCTGCGCCGTTTAGGATTAACGGATTTCTAGTAAACATCAACTGCTGCAATAAAAGTAAACACTGATAATCAATCATTTATGTATACAGAGTGGAGCACGTGGGTAAATGAAGATAATTAGTGTTTATAATTAATGCACATCGATTTTATTTGCAACCTGTTCATATTCCGAGCTAATAAATAACGTAAGTCAGATATTGATTTAAATTCGAGTATTCATTACGTTTACGACATTGCCTTTTATGGCAATCATCATTTCGTATTCGTCTTTTAATGGCAATGAGTCTCATAACAATGTTTTGCTTATTTCATCACCGCTTTCCTTGTTAAATGTTTAAGTTAAGTTGAAGTTCATTTTGTATCGACGGTGTACACCCACGAAGACACCGAAAGAAAGATCAACCAATTACAATTAACCGACTCAATCAGGTCAGCAAAGCACTCAGCAGAGTTCCACACGATTCGCTGTTCTCGGTAATTGAATGTTGTGGCACGAGCATGTGTGCATTACAAATCAAAATTAACACTATTTGCAAGAATTGTAAGTAAGTAGGTATAACTCTATGGTGGATTCATGCACGCTTGCAACAAGTAATTTACTATTAACAAAAGAAATCGTTTCTATCTAGATCAACAGTTGTCGACTTGCCGATATTAAAAATTGTTTTGGAATATGAATAACAACCACTCAGAACAACTACACCTCTTCATCTCTTCGGTAGTAATAAATTAATTAATATTATATACGGAGTCGTTTGTGGTTGGCCTCAGTGCCATAAAATATAGCAAATTATATGTAGGTATACGAGAATGTACGTTCTACGTTGTACAAAATGGCAGCCCAAAAACAAGTTTATGAATGAATTGAATCGAAACCAAATTTAGGTACATACATCTTTTGATATTGTACTAATTACTACATTGAACGTCTTATTATTCTATTTTATAATCGAGTGCAGAGGTGTTGAATACGCTTGAAGCCCATGCTGTTATTGCACTTAACCTTCACGGAACTACAACTTGTATGTTCAAACAGTTTTTAGACAGCATATCGATACAGTCATACAGTTGAGAGTTGGATACAGTTTCTATCGCAGTTTATGCCTGCACGCAAACATCAAACACTCGACACTCTGCGATCTCAATGCATTCAACAAAAACGCGCTTGTATTCGCGTGGGAAGACAACTCGCGTAGTTTCGTTCATTCAAATGGTTTATTAGACTACAACAACCTCAAGTGAAACCTACGTAGTGCACAATCTAGTATAGGTTCAGGATTTAAGTCATAAACAGCGGAAACAAATGAAAGTAGAATGTTTTCATAATTTTGCTATTGGTTGTTCATGATAGGCGGGGACAAGAAGATAATCTGGTTTATTTTCTATTGGTTGAATTGTTTTACTTATGATGACATCGATAGGAAGGCTTATGTTTTATTGTTTAATTATTTTATTATCTCTGTTAGCCTAATAGTACTAAGATTCTCATGGAATTTCCACCATTCTCGACTGCATTTGCTTTTCTTTTCAAAGATTAGATTAGATAAAGTTTTATTAAAAATATTCTTAAACAGGTAAATTCAAAAACGTATCTTTTTTCTATAACATCAATATATTTGAACTCAAACTCAAAAATTACAGCAACGTTGCATTCAACGTGTTTACACTTTCAGTGAAAATTCCCACCAACTCATGACCATGACGACATCATCAAAAATATTTATAATCTTAGTTTATTACTAGAAACAAACATTTAATATTTATAGCAGAAAACATGTAATTTTAATTTTTTAATCTGCTTTCCCTAATTCTATCATCTTTTGTTTTTATAGACCGATAGTACGGTAGTAAATCTATTGACAAAAGTAAATAATGAACGTTCGTTATTTCCGAGACAAGCTGGTGCAGCCGCAGTGAAGATGCGAACGAAGAACGAGTGAGGAAAAGGTTTCGACCACTGCTATAAATAGTGAAGACGAAATTAAATCGCGGTATTAAAGGCATTGTGCATCTATATATGCTGTAGAAATCTCTTTGACTTAGCAGTCATAAATACCAGCACGTACTGGTTTAGTGCATCGTTCTAAGCTTTAATGACATGCGTATAATTGAATCTGATGCATGTGGTCTATGCGTGTCCACGTACTTTTTGATGTTCTGCTTTCGAAATTCATAAAATTGGCAAAAAATAACGAAAATCTGAATAAAACCAAACAATATTCTAAATAATTGAAAAGTGAGCTTGTTAAGTGTTAAGCATTATAATTAAAAGTCAAGCTTTGCGGGAGTTTCATGGTTTAATTAGCAAGTTAATTAATTTTTCGGGTGTCTAATAATTTAATGTAGGCTAAGCAGTTGTGGGTGCACAGATAGAAGCGTACAATTACACAGATATCATCGGATGAGTCATCGGCCGCCGCCTCGCCACGTTGGTCGTTGGCTGTTTGTTGGCATGGGGTGCGGGGCGGCGGCCGTACTGCGTGCTAACAGGCACTATTGATGTTACAAACTCGCACACACATACTCTACATCCACATCCCATGGCAATGGTTACTGTCATTGCCGACCTCGACAATTAACCTTTGATTTTTAAATTTTCTCTTTGTCCATAGTCCATGATATAATTTCTCTAGTTGAAAAAAGTAATAATTTTGTGTAATACAATTATATGTATTTATCATGTCAAAGAGTCAAAGGTTCATGAAAACAAATGACAGCAGATGATTCATCGTTTTCACTCCTCGTAAAAATCACCAAAAACACGCAACTCAATATACATGCACTAAAACGAAAGTGAGTAGTCGGTACACTATATACAAGCATTCAAACCTTGCAACCGATCCCAAATATGGAGGCAGTTTTCCATTAACATGTTTCTGTTTTACGAGACACCACTGCTTTTACATAACAAGCTTGATTTTCTCTAAGATTCGACGAGAATCTCCCTCCTCACTTGTTCAAACCTGCCTCATCACTCTTGCATGTAGAACATTGTTCCACATCAAAATTTTATCAAGGACTTTGTGGTGAACGAACCTGCTGAATCTAGTCGACGTTAGTTTTTGTTTCTTGTTCGTTACTGATCGAAAATAGAAGTTTAGAAAAAAAAACTGAATTACTATTATACCTGTCGACAATGGTTTTATAGTTATAGCATTCGTCGAAAACGAGGGCAAGCACCCCATTTAAACAATCAAATATACATTTGTAAATGTTGTACATCCAAGGTAACAGCAATAGAAAAAATAATCGGACGGGAATCGTGTTTATACGTGTCATTAATCGCATCTGTTTCCGTTTATTGATTTTATATCTTTTATATCTTCATCCTGCACTTTTCCTTTATTTAATCAATTACGACTTGCAGTTCCGAGGCGTGCCGCGCAAACGTAGAAGAAGAACGCAGGCCCCGGCAGGCCTTGCGTCTGGTTTATGCATGAATGTCTATCGATCGATGAAAGCATTACGTTTCTACAAGTGTACAAGTGTACTGTTACACTATGGTATAAATGAAGGAAACTATGGTATATACTTATAAACACACAGAAAATAAACAATATTTGTACTATTTTTGTTTTTTCACGGTAACATTTATAATTTAAACCTTTAAATTGAATTCGGTATGAGTAATATATTTAATGACACTGAGCGGAAGAATGAGTCATCTATGTGTACATTCATTACACTTGTGGATTATTCCTACCTTTGCCATTTTTTTAATTCTCATTTCAAAGGTGCTCATGCGATAAATTTTTAGATTTAGAAAGTAAAAACTAAAAAAAAAATAACGAGATACTAACTGGGAGAACATTTATTTATCTTGTTGATTTATTTTCATTCAAGATACAAGTTCAAACTAACACTAAATTTAGATCTGTCTGATCTGGTTGATCTTCTGATATTAGACACGAAGAAATATTTTGCATGCGATCGTCTAACAATATACATGACATTTTACTTCAAGACATTATTAATAAACTGAACTATAACGTAGCAGTTTATTTTGAATGTTTTTAATAAATAGTAGTGAAAATAATAAAAAAAATCTTTTAAAATTAAAAATATGTGAGTAATTTTACAAATAAATAAAATATAAGTCAAAATACACCTGATTACAGGTATTAGTTACTAAACAATATCATAAGTCCAAATCTATTAAGACTCATCGAAAACCACTCAAAATTATAATGAAAATAGTCATTGTTTTTGTGCATATCTAAAACCCCGACACAATCAGAAAATTATACAATCTGAGTACAAAATCTGTCTAAGATATTTTTATATTTTCACGTATATTATACGTGTATGTGTCATCAATACATGAAAGTGGCACAAAATGGTACAAATTGTTTCCCTTCATTGATTCATATCATTGACAGCATTGTTTCCGACTCTTCTTGTAATCATAACTGCTATGTTTACAGAATAATGCACGATTTTCTCATACGAAGTGAATGTAATTCAATGTCATGATCAAGATTCATTTTATCACACGGTTGGTTGTAAAAACGAAAAAAGTACATCATTTTGTATGACTGTGTGAAATATTAACATATTTGCATCAAAAAAGTTGAAGTAAAAATGTTAAAACTACATCTATATTTCTTCAATGGTTTAATGAATGTGTAGGAGAGTGAATTGAAAGAATTCATCATGAGACATTGCTTGAGATTTATATGAGAAAAGTTTTATACTTACAGCGATTCAGTACATACCTATTTGAATTGTAAATTTTGTGGGTGAATATATTTTTATTGTTGTGATATCACATGTGATAAAGATGTAAAAATAGCAAGTGTATTGTAAAAACTTTATGGCCTTCACATGTTGTAACGTCTAACATATCGATTTTCTTCCGAATACATATAATATTTTGCATTGGTGAACGTCCTGAATGGAATTTTAAGGTAAACCCTTTTATATTTATACATTTTGTAAATTTCCAAGTTGAAAAGCAGGATGAGACCAACTTAAGAGTATGAAAAATATCTTGAGGCGTCTCCCAGAGCGCAGACGCCTCAAAAACTCAAAATATATCGATATAAATATCACTACTACAGCACGAGTGCGATGTGCACGAGTCAACCAAGCTTTCTACCTGCTTGCAATCATGTTGGCAACGTTGCGTCCCAAGTTTCAAACCGGTTTATGGTTGCGCAGGTTGCGCGCGCAGGCGTTTATTGTATGATGACCTCGTAAGTGATCGAAGTGGGGAGCAGCTACCGGATCGGCAATGTCGATTTGCCGGTTCCAAATGGCCAAATCAGTTTCCAACTACGGTTTTCGTCGCGCGTTGCCCACAATCATCGTACAACATGGAAAACGTTAAAATGAAGCAACTCGTACAAGAAATCAAAAAGCACGAGGTGTTGTACAATTATAACGTTCCTGGTTATTCGAGTAAGGAGATCTGCGATGCAGCGTGGCTTGTCGTTGCAGCTGCATGTGATATGCCAGGTACGACGGAGTGGTTTATTTTTGTATAAATATGTAAATTCAGCTATTTTCAAGCGTACATTTTGTGTTGCTGAGGTCAAATGAGGATTAAAAGCAACGTTATTGTAAAATTACTCCAAAATTACAACATGTTTTTTAAAACTTAAACTTGTTGTCAATGATTAGTTACAATATGACATAAACTGTACTTAACGCGAATCCAACATTAATCCCTTTCAATGTAATTGATTACAGCGGCTGAGTGTAAGGAGAAATGGCGGAATATCCGCACTGTATACATACGAAAAGTAAGAAACAATCGCAAACCATTACCAAACGGTTATGCAAGAAGGCGGACCAAATACTACTTAGAGGATGACATGGAGTTTTGCCTACCATTCATTAAACCACTGAATCCTGACGCGACCCCAATTAAAAAAATGAAAACTGAATTTGAAGAAGAGACTGTCGCTTTCGAATTGTCGCCATATTTGTCATCTCCAGAACCATCATCAGAGTCCGAATCTTCTGAATCGCATGGACATGGACATGGAACAATGTTACCATCGTCAAGTAATCATGTGTCGAAACGACTCTCTTCTCGCCCTGCAGGAACAGCGCCCAAGAGAAAACTTCGAAATTCTTCGCCTGCGGATGAAGAAGAAGACGAATATGCAGCGGAGCACTATAATTCAAAAGAACTACGGATAGATCCGATGTCTACAATGGTGAATATTGATGCAACGAATTCACATAATGCCGAACGGAAAGAAGCGCTTCGAATGTTTTTACTCAGCTTAATTCCTGAAGTGGAAGAATTTACGGATTTTCAAATTAATTTATTTAAACGGAGAATATTTGGACTTATTGACGAGATATCATCGTAGTTGTAATGAACTGGATGATACCAAATATGTCGTCGGGTCGAAAACTTTCACGCAAAGAGAAAATATTTACGGCGACGCAATCTGAAGATAAATGCTAAATATAGCATTGAGTGTTTTTGTGACTTTTGACCTTAACATGTTTTGGGGTTGTGTATATATTTTCGAATAAAATGTGATTCGATTTATTTACATTTAATATAAATACGCAAAAAAATGGTGGAGTTCTATTGATTATGTTAATATAATTAAATTATACAATACGAATGCACGAAGAATGCGTAACACGCAAATGGCTATTTGGTTTTATGAAGTTTTAATATCTTTTTTCATGTTCAAACGACGCCAGTTCACCGAAATAGGGAAATATTGAGAAAGTAATTTGTTTTGCTTATAGCTGTTCCTAGAAGGATTAATATTTTATATAATCACAAATAAGATGTATAAAAATTCTTGACAAATCATTTTCAATCGATGAATTGCGTAATTTATCAAATGGAACTGAAAAGTGGGTATTAATGTTAATCCATATAAAGTTTGATATGATAGCAATGAACAAATAGAATCGAAGCGAAAAGAATAGCTGAAAGTAGTACACTGACGAGTATTATTTTCGACTATGTACCTATATTTTCATGCGGCAACGCTGTGGCTTATTTTTGGGGAACCTCCCCAAATGACGTAATTTTCCCGTGTCACGTAGACCGAACACGATACACAACCATTCTGGGTCTACGCGTAGTATCAATGCCTTGCATGACTCATACACTTATTAACTATATAACCATCGTGGGGAATCGAAAACGCACTCATACACACCTAGAATTTCAACGATCGGTATATCCGACCAAACAAATGAATTTGTTTTGTTCACCACTGTGTAGGTTTATGAATTAGCATCGAATACATTTGTTTTTATTTGTATAAACACTTACAGAACCAAATTTGTCCACAGCCAGGCAATGTCACACCCTGCATTTAAAAATGCCGGCGTTATTTTATAATATTTGCCCTTAATTTTTAGATTTCCTTAAAGTAAATTTGCTAAATTTGTTCTACGAGTTCAAATAGAATGTTTGAGTAAACACTCAGAGAGTCACAGATGCAAGCAAATGGTTTGTAGTCCATCGCATAACTTCTAACAGTAAACTTGAACTTTTGTAGACAAAAAATGCAGAATCTTATCGTCAACATTCCACAATTTATACTACTAGAACGAAACGAAACGAAAGCGCACTGCTAAAACTATATTCCACTCAAAACATCACACCACATGAATATTTATAATATTAAAGCTATAATTTAAAATAATAAATTGAGTTGTTTCGCAGCGTGATAGGAAGCATTCAGTCTACTACTCATACTCATTTGATGGATGTCTACCATACTAAGCAAGTGTGTAAATTATTCGATGATTGCAAATTCAATGTTCAACTACTACGCCAAGATTACTATCGTTGGGAACGTAGCGTCATCGTCAGCGAACCATTACTCTATATGGACAATTACAACCTGCACTTTGTGTTTGTTAACACCTACGCGATTTTCATTTTAAAATGGATCTAATATACGCTCTGAAGTATTTGAGTTGTGGTGTTATGCGTTGGTGCTGGAACTAGACTTACAAGATCGGTCAGTGAATAAAAAAGCATGGTTATTGTTATTGCTTTCGCTATATTTAGCAGCGAGTTAGTTAGCATTTAAGTCAATGGGAGACGAGTTTAATAAGGATGTCGTTCGTTCGCCGCTTGCAAATGATGACGTCGTGCAAACTCAAACTAGCTGAACATCTTCAATAAAAAGCACAAGTAGAAATTGTGAAATTTGCTTTAAATATGGAATTTAGATTCAGAAAATTGAATCATTACTTATTAACTATTTTATTTCATTTATCAAATAGTAATTGATAGATTACGTGCCTGTAAACAGTTTAATAGTTTTAAAATAGCGGAATGTAGCAATTCAACGCTATTAACGCATTTATTACATTTTATTGACGTAGAACTTATTGAGTTAAGTGTGAGTTGATAAAAGATTGTTAAATATATCCTTATTTTTCAAGTCTATGCTGTTGTTTTAACAACCAACATGCATTACTAGCATTTTTCACAATCTAGGTAGGTATATAGTTATTTACCACAGAACAAGTGAGTTTCTAATCCTAATTTATTTTTTATTGCCACTTGACCATTTATGTAGCATGCAATTTAGTTTTCTTGTTAAAATATAGATACATCATGTTGAATGACTGCTAAAATTAGATTATTTGTTAATTTTCAACTACAATGACATCATTCTCTAATTTAATCAAAATTTATTATGATAGAAATTTACATAAACTGTAAAGTTGGTTTACAAACACAACCAACAAATAAGTGACGCTTACTTAAGATTTCTTGCTCACATTTCGAAAGAAGATTCACATCATTATCAACCTGCTAGAGTTGAATTGTCTAACAGGCTTACAGTGAAGAAAACAGACGCAGCTACAAAGTAGAATGGACTCGCAAAAACTAATTTGTGTTCTTCGCGTTTGCATTACGGTGCATTACGCTAAAAGCCCGACATAACGTGCGCATCGATAATGCACGAGCGAGTGCTGGTACCGGGCATAAAATGCGTGCGCATGAAACTTTAATTAAAAATTACATATCCAGTGAATATGTGTTAATAGAGTTTAAAGACCTCACTCGCGTATACGCACACACATGAATAAGCTGGCTTGTTGGTTGGTAGCCCGTATGGTCGTACGGCCGTATAAACGAATATGGCATGGTTGACATCCTCCACGCCGTGCACTTTTTTCTTCTCTGTGTCGAAAGCGTCGTAAAAACGATCGTCAAGATTGCGAGCCGCTTTCGAACGGTGTTCGTGCAGAATTCGCCAATTGGCTGTGCCAGTACCAAAACAATATGCATAATTTCTCGGCAAAATGCGTGGAGTATTTCGAATTCTTGGAAATTCGAGTTCAAGTTCAATAATTTTTTTATTCGCACGTATAACTAGCTACTTATAACACATATACACCTACGATTTACTTAATTCGTCACGAATATTGTGTGCTTCACATCGATTGTTTCACATGCTGTCTCAGTTAATTAAAGACACATTAATTGCGCTCTACTTTGACAAAGTTTATTTCTTCTTTACCGACAGGAAGGACAACGCACACATAGTTTACGATGATAAAGTTGCTTATAAAAATAGATGATGGTAATTATTTATGTAGAATGGGCGCAGCCTTCATTAATTTAAGCAATACTTTTTTCAATTGAAAATTAAAGTGAGTTTATTTATTTAGACTCACTACAACGTTGATTTTGTTATTGATTAACGTAATCCGTTATCAGAACAAACTATAATGATAAATATACTTTATGTTGTAATTAGTTAGATAATAATTTTATAATATCAACAATATTTGGCAATTTCACGTAAATAAATTCTTACAAATCATGGACGATTTTAAAAATCTTCGAAAAATTGTTCTTATGCCGTACAACCAACTTTAAGTTAACAATTTGCAGAAATACAAACCTAATTACCATAAAAACATATAAAATACTTAATGAGCGTGTTAAAATCGCGTTATAATGCAAATAACCTATGGTAGTTTGTTAATTATCATGCATGCGACTAATGAGCTCTTTCTGGAAGGTAGTCTATGCATTTCGCCCGAAAATATGAAGCAACGTGTCGTAAAATGATATAAGAAGGCACCATATGTACTTGATGGTAACTTGGTGCCGTGTTGGTTGGTGTGTATGAATCAACTTGACCATATGTTCTCGTGCAACCCACATTCGAGTCGAAATTGTAAAAAACACTTTCTGTTTGCCATTTAAGGCAAGCCCCGGCGTGCCGGTACCAATCTCGGGACATACCACGTAAACGCTGTGACGATGGCGAGACACCCTTTGCGCGTTGCATTAATTTGGTTGAAATTTTGATTGCATTGAGATGGTGCGATCGCCGAAAACGATATAAATAAGCGTTTTAAATAAAAGTTGCACTCCGTTGGCTCCGCGCCTTGCGTCTGATATGGACGGTTTAGTTGCTCGACAGCTTGACTAAAAACGCCATGACGCTTTTAGCGCTTTTGGTTCTTTCGTTTTCCTAATTCTCTATGTACGTTTAGAGCGTAATGCGATTTCTACATGATCCTCCGTTATTGTGTAATTATAAATCCGTAAAAAGGTGAATTAACTCTTATGATGAACGCGCTGGAGTCCAGTTAATCCATTCTTTCATATTATAAGTCAGTTCTCAAATGTGAATGATTTTATAATTTATGAGAAACATATAAATAAAAACTGTACGTGTGCACCTAAGGAAGCATTTAAGAGATTCATTATATATTTAAATTATTGTAATATAACATAGATTGTATCTGCTTTTATATATTTTTGTAGTTTATATTAAATGCAAGAATAATTTCAGAATTTGTCTCCAGGTTCTACAATTACCTACCTGTAATTTGTGTAGTGATGCGTTAAAATATTTCTATTTTACGACTGATTGTTGAATATTTTATACGCAAATTTTAATAATATTCTCATAAAAATATTTTTCATTCACACCTGCGGGTATGAGTTTCTATCTAGTTTAGAAAGAAAAGGGGTGCATTATCTACACATATTTTTGTTGTCTTAAAAAAACTATTTGTTACAGTTACAAATATGTTTGTATTTGCTAAAATGAGTACAATTATTGTCAAATTAAAGCTGTATACAAACAATATATTCAAAAATATTAATATCTGATGGAAACTTTGAAATATATCTGCAATTTGTGAATATTTAGTGTTATTTTAAATTATTCAGCAACAAACACGACGTAATGATTAATATGGGCAGGCTTAATTGTTGTTTTTGATACACATGTCCCCATACTGTCAATTTATCACCAGTATTAACACTAATTATATTCATATTCGGCTAATGAGACTGATTATTATTTGAAAGTCACTTTTTTGACACAATAGACACATTTAAGAGTAGACTAAGCGAATGTCACTGTTGAATGTCACCAAGATCTACAACAGCAATAAATAAAAGCATCAGTTAAACGTTGGAAAGTTAGATCACATAAATCCAACGCGGAATGCGAGTGCCATGATGGAAGCAATTGAAGGTAGCCACTAGAAACGCCGGAGTGCATTTTATTTTTACATCAATTCAGTTGTTTCAGATGCAATGAAAGTTGGGTTTTTATTATACTTGGCTGCTTGTTGCTCTCAGCCTAGTATTGCTTACGCATCGCATCTAAAGCAGAATCATTAGACCGAATTTTATGTTCTTGTAATGGGCACCCGGTTGAATAGAAAGAAGCTGCAACCGCGCCCGTTACCCACTTATTATTTGTTATTAGTTACGCTGCTGTGGTATCGAGAGACTCAAATGATTCAATGCCCTCGTCTTCTCGTTCTAATGATGGCGGCCATAAATATAAAGGAAATTACATCACGTATCGTTTACCGACAAAGTTGACAACCGCAAAACAATAAGAAAATAAACTTCCAATGGAATTAAACTAATCGCTGGTAGACAAACACTGTGCCTAGTTTTTTTTAATATGGTATGGAAATTGTTACAAGTACACTTTGAGTTTAACAAATGCATGTAAGCACAAGACGTCCATACTTTACTATCCAAATATAAATAAGTAAATTGCCGTCATTGTAATTTTTGCTATCGGGTATGATTAGTTTTAGTAGTGGTAGTTTTTGTAAGTTGATGTTAATATTGCGATTCCGAGGCTTGTGATAGGCAACTTTATTGACTTTTATAATTCTTGGATGAATAAATGCTTTTGTTCTATTATGGTTCTATTACGCATTTGTTTTTCACTTTTTTTAAATAATACTTATAATAATATATATAAAATTACTATTACAAATGCGCAATAGTACCATTGTACCTGTGTACCTGTAATCGCTCGCAAGGACACTGATTTCAATCAGCAATATTATTAAATTAAACACCAGAAATTAAACATACTTACTATATAGTAATGGATTAGATATTACATAATAGCTGTTGATAAATTATTTAAAAAATGAATTATTTAAATATATTTAACTTTTATGATTTAATTTCAAGTGAAAAATAAGATAAAGTCAATGAAAATTGATGAAATGCGCTGCTGCGATAACCAATGTGAATGTTTACAATACTTTACAACCACGATATGATAAAAACGCGAGAAGATTTTTAGTCGAAAAAGACATCTTAGCGACATCTCGGAATGACCTTAAAAGTATAATTTGAATGCGACTTTTTGTTTATTAAATCGTTCATGGTTGTAATGTGTGAGTGAATGTACTGAATGACAGAAACTATAAAAATCTGTTATGCTGTTTATAGATCAATGACCTAACTTACTTAATTTGAGTTTTTTAACGCCATATTATAGTTTAAAGGGTTCTCTACACAATCCTTATTTTTCAATCGTTTTAAACTCTTAGAAAGTGCCTTAAAATATACAATTAACAATTAAAAAATTAGCGTTCTTACAGTTTCTCAGCCTCCAATTGTCCGTCAAGAGTCTCTCTCCAAGGTGTTTCTCTCCATTTGATAAAATCCTCAAAACCTTTTGGAAGTACCCTAAAATACCTTTCTAAAATTTCTAATACATTTTTCTAAGCATTTTTCAAAAAAATTTAAAAGTATGCTGTACCATTCTGCCATCCTGTATCTCATGAAAATGATTCGAGTGTCTTTGATTTAAAATGTATATCAGAATTTAAAATTTCTTATTTGTATGAAGACAATGATTTGTGTAATATAATTGCAACAATCCCTTGTTAATAAGCCGAAATAGCTCAGTTGGGAAAGCATTAGACTGAATATCTGAAGGCCCCTGGTTCAGTCCTGGATTTCTGCATATTGCTTTTGTCAGATATTTATAATGAAATACAGGAAATTTTTGTTTTTATTGTGGTCCGCAAAAGAACACCCAAACTATATGACTTTTTTATAGTTTCTCACCACCATGTTAAAATTAAAGACTTCCCCGATACTATGCATACATTTGCAAACTCTCTAGCACTTCTGAAAATGCTCAAAAGAGTTGAACAAAATATTTTTTTAGAAAGTAGCAGTATTCTTAAAGTATGTAAATATGGTGTAGAAAACACCCAGTATCTTGTAAACGAATTGACTTTTTAAAAATTTGTCATTGCTATTTTAAAGTTCGAAAGTTTCCCGACACGATGCGTACTCTTTTGATCTTTGAGCCCTTCTGCAAGTGCCCTAAAATATCTTTCTAAAATTGGCATTTTAAAAAAAAATTGAAAACATGGTGTGCAAAACACTCTGTATTTTAAAAATTTCTTACAACTATTTTAAAGTTCAAGAGTTTCTATACATGATGCATACCTTTCTATCTTCCAGCCCTTCCGGAAGTGCTCTAAAACGCCTTTTGAATATTGCAATTTTTCAAAAAAATTGAAAACATGGTGTGAAAAACACCCTGTATCTTGAGAACTATTTGATTTCTTTGAAGTTTTTAATCGCCATCCTAAAGTTCGAGAGTCTCTCTAGGCGATCTATACTTTTTCAATCCCCTAACCCATCTAGAAGTTCCCTGAAAACCACTTTGAAAATAACCATTTTTGTCCCAACATTTTTTGGTTGAATAGGGTCGAACTTTTTAGTTAAAATAATTTTTATGGATCAAAAAAAAAAATATTACTTGAGTTGGGAACATATAGAAAAATTTTCATCTTTGCTACAATGACGAAAGTCTGGCCGTCACGGGCTCTTAGACTAATATATACGTTAAAAATTTTCACATCACTAAATTGGCACAAGGAACCAAACTATTTTTTCAAATTACCTATAATTTGAATATAAATTTAGTATTTTAAGAGCATTCTAAGGCAGTGCCTGTGGATCTGGGGGGTGGAAAGAAATGCAGTTTTAACAAATAGCAACACAAAGTTGATTTAAAAATAGAATTGCTTTATTATGAAACGATGTCAACAATTTTAAGATATAAAAGTAAATATGTACCAAAAAATATTCTCCACCTATCCATATCAAAATTCTAACATGATATACAACTGATCAGTGACTTAGTAGCAAATTGCTTCCTGTATCGTCCTAACAATCAATTAATAACACAATGAATATTAACGTAAGATACAAATTAAAAAGTATTTTAAAATGCTATTGTCATACTTTTACCAAGATGCCGATAACACGAAAGAAGTAATACTTTATGTGTATACAATATGTGGAATAGATCTATATAATACTACAACAAACAACTTCATTGCACTTTTAATCATTTTCTTCTTAAACTTAATTAAAATCTTAATTACAATTTGTAACATCTTGAATAAAGCTATGTACCAATCAAGTTGTACGTTATGCATGAAATCTTCAAATCGGTGCATTCACAACCAAAACGATCAAATGCATTTAGTAAAAGTGCTTAAAATGGTGACTAGTAAGTCATTTTAAATGATCACATATTATAAGAAAACGTAAATACATAATATATATCAAAAAACTAATTTCTCGTAATGTAGAGCCTTTTAATATTAGTACCCTGAATAAAAACAAGTTTGAACTAGTTCACTTGTCACTTGGTAGCTGTCCGCTTAACAATATCGCTTAAAACAGCAAGCGCTCCACCGGGCAAAAAGCGCACAAAATTATCACCTGCCAACGGTCCGATGGCATACAATCCCTCGTGACCTTGCACCTGATGTGTAAACTTGTCCACATTGGCTGTGTTCTTCTTGCCGTCGATCGGCAACTGCCTTTTCACACCGAGATTGAAGTTTCCAGGTAGAAAACCAAGATCTGGCCGAGATCCGATGAGCACCACTACGTAAGAAACAGAGATTTCCAGAGATTTACCATCCTTTGACGTAATCGTCGCTTTACGGTTGTATTCATCCAAACTGGTCAATGTGTATTCGGCCAGCGCAGTGTAGAGCGGATAGTTTGAACCATTTTTCATCATTTGATGAACCTACAAAAATAAAATTACCATTTAATATTAAAAAATCACATTACAACTTTTATAGAGTAATACCTTGTGATATTCAGGATACATATTCTCAGGCAATTGTTTTGTAAGATCAGTTTTGTTTCTAAATAAATGTACCACTGGTACGTTCTTCGCCTTAGTAGCAATGATGGCGTCCGCAGCACTGAGGCCTGCGCCAACAACGAGAACCGGATCTGGCTGTGGATTATTTTGTAGGTGTAGATCCAATTCAATTTCGAGACTTCGCAGATCATGCAGCAGCCAATAGGGGTCAGTCTTATATTTGGAAATATTCAGTTTGTTCGGCAAATCACTGGAGCCGTTCGCTAAAACTAAGTTATTGCACGTGTAACGCACGCAAGCCTTTGTGTCCAAATCAATCGCCTCGACGATCCACCTGGGACTCCGACTCGACGAATCACAGCAGTTGTATTTTATTCTATGTGCAGGCACCGACGGTGTATGTCCATTATTCAGATTGCATTTATCACATGTTAGCTCACACGCCGACGACAAACTGATTGATCTGTCCTTGTCGCGTTTCTTTCGCACCGTGTACTGGGCATCAATGTCTCGCTGATCGTCGGCAGTATCCATATCACGTCCCTCGTTCTGCTCCCACGAACGCTTTGGACACCTATCCTGACCACGGTTCAGAATGTAATTGAAGGCATTTGACAACGAGTACGACTTGCTGCGGGCAAGATCCTTTCGCTCGGGCCGAGAACACAATCGCATTTTTTGACAAATGTCGTTGTTTACCTTCTCTACCCATTTGCCTTTACAATCGCTCTCGTCCACTATGTATGGTTCTATTTTCGTAACCAACACTTTGTTCCTGAAGTTTTGAGAGAGACCCATTTCTTCTACGTATCGCGCATAATAGTCCGCAATGCTTTTTGCTGGCGCCCGCTTTTCGGAACTATTTCTAGATTGGTATTTCATTCCTGGCAAAGACATCCAAGAACCCAATGAGAGAGTCAAAATATCTGGATCCATGGAATGCCAGGAACCACCTGGCGGACCTTTCCCCAGGACCACATGGTCAATCTGCAAAATATAACTCACTTTTTAGAACACATTTGCTATTTATTCAGAACTATATGAAATACAATACAAAATTAAAAAAACAATTAGCATATCTCAGACATTTCATAAACAGGTTAAGGATTATTTTCTTGAAAAGATAATAGCAAATTCTGCCATTTGGTATCACGTCTCATCTTTTTCTCGGAGGTGCTATGACTATATAATAAAGTTGGACGTGTCGAACGGGGCTTATCAATTGAATGTTCTACAGAACTAAAAGTACGGTCAGGCTCTCGGCGATTTGGAATTTCATCAGCAATATTGGTGTTCTCTTTGCGTTCAGAAGCAACAAACGCAATCTTTTCATAGAGATCCGGGAACGGCATAATGGCTTTAACAAAATCTTTGCGATCCAAACGATACAGCTCGCAGACTTCAGCGGCAATTACGGACGCAACACGAATTGAGTCCCGATTAATTAATGCAATTTCACCAAAATGGTCGCCATCTTGTAAATGACACAGCTAGAATACATATAACTTATTATGCTTCTTAAAAATTCTATTTTGAGCGGCTGCAACCTCTTTTCCGTGATTAGAATACACTGCAACAGTGCCATTAGAGATGAAATACATCGAGTTGCCAATCGTTCCCACTTTCGCAATAACGTCATTAGTTAGAAAAATATCATACGACAGCGACGAGACGATTCGTACCAGCAGTGACATAGGCAAATTTTTGAAGAAAGATACATCTTCAACCAATTTTCGGCATGTATTCATGATAATTTCCTTGGAAAAATAAAACAGTTGATAAAACATTTCGGAAACAATTGGCAAATTACCTGCCGCAGTTGAGCCGAGACAGTATTCAATATTTCCGATTCTTGAAAGAAACAATTTTGGAATTTGATATCATAGTATGAAAGAATTCGATTCTGCAAGAAATTTGGAATTTGGCGATGTCGCATGTAATCTTTAACCTCGCACAGCATATCAACATATTTTTGCGTCGATGATTGAATCGCAGTTTGCAACTGTATGAAGTATGCTGAAATGTATATACATGCAGCTGTTGATTTATAAACACTACAAAAATAAACCTAATGCCAAAATGTACAGCAGCCGAGAGCATAACCAGACGTTGGTAGTAAACACGAGAGCAGCATGGTCAAAAACGGGAAATCCATACCCAGCATTAAAAACTACCAAACAAGCGCCGTAAAAGAATCGAGTATACATTTTCCCCAATGTATTCGTGTCTATTCCATAGCTATAATGAGACAATAAGTGGCGAAGAAAATATATCAGATATATGATACCTGAAAATGGTTGGAGGAGAATCTGCCAGTTCATAACTGTATTGTATTTGAGTACCATTCCAAGCAATGCATAAACAGCAAATGACATGCAAATAAAGAATGAATGACAGGAATGCAATTGAAATTCGATGAACAACGTAGTAAATCTCAGTAATCTACAAATAAATCCACTATTGCAAAATTGATCAATATATAAAATGTGAGCCATACTGTTGCGTCAAACATCCTGGCAGTATACATCACAAACGTGTAATATCGCACTAACTTGAGTAAACCTATATAGTGCCCAATAAAATACCATTCTTTGACACTTTCAGATGGATTTGGGCTTTCATAATTGTTAAGAATCACGTCAAACGGAATCGACGAAAATAAATCAAGCACAAACAATCGACCTAGGTAATACCTGAAACCCAAGATATCAATAACAATCCACACAAAAAAAACTTTAAGAGGTGAACTTTGCAATTCTTGCCGGATTCACTACAATCTGATTCTGGTCCAAATCGCAATAACCACAGAAGAATGTTATAATAATATCAACGAACGAAAGTACATCTGTGAAGATGCGAATTAATTCAAATGTTGGTGAACGAACCATATTATACTCAAATTTGACCGAGTAAAATGCTATGTCCAAAGGTATCATTATCATTTGAAGTAATAATATAAAACAAGTAATGACATCCCATGTAGTCCTAAAAATATCGAATTGAATGTGAACATGACAGATGCCTAGAAGTTTAAATCGAAATATCTCAGACCTGAAAATACTGAAAGGATGTATCACATAGCTATATTCCAATAATTTCTTGTGTTCATTCATGATCTTCTTTTGACTGCGCAGGAAACTATAACTGCGTTGATTCGTTTCGTTGATCATTCGCAAGCGATTGAACCACCGCCGAAACGGGTTTGCGCTTTGGAAGTTTGTCAAGTCGCTGTCGGCGATTTGGATTTCGCAAATGTGTCCAAACTTTCGGAACTGCGTACGAAGTACGATGTATGTTACTATATAAATACCGCAAGTGCAAGCAATTATTACCAATGAATGAGGTGCCATGGCTTATCGTAACAGTCACGTATTTGTTGCGTTGCAGCGATGATGAAATAATTTAAAATTTATGTGACGTTATTTCCCAAATAACCCACACTGTTTATTTCGTTTCCTTAGATATGCTAATCGTGGTTAACCGCTGTCTGTGATTTATAAATTTGTAGTTTAAATCAGCAAACCAACCTTTTGACCGTCCTTGCGCCACTCCACCAAAGAATCCAATTCTAAGCCGATGTCCGCACATGGATGCACCAGACTGTCCAACAAAAGTGACACTGGATTGGTGGTTCTTCCTTCCAGTCCTTGTGATAGAAATGGTAAATTCACATCAACCAAACTTTGATTCAACACCGGCTCCAGTCGAATCGAGAGCAATTCATCTGGATGTGTCGTTGATGTCACATAAGGTATATTGCCAGATAACATATAAGAGAGAGCAATACCACTTGGTCCGTTTCCTGCAAATTAATAACAAAATATAAATACAATTAATAAATTTCACACAAAATTGGATTTAAATTTAAAAAAAAAACGTACCAATAATCACAACGTCCTTATGGATCAATTCGTTTGAGTTTCCGCACTTCATCCTGACGACGACAATCACAGACTGCAAATAAAACGAATGTTAATTAAATTACTGTGCGCAACGCATCTGGATCTTTTAAATGCGTGAATGCAGTTCGGCGAAGCATGCCAAATCGGTGTACGCTGCAATCAGTAAGCTATGTTTAAAATTCGTACGCGGGCTGACGAAATTTATTATGTAAATTGGCATTACGCCAGTGCGTATTCAATCGTAATGCGATCCGCATCGACGGAACAATGTAAAATATTTATAGCCGGCTTCCTATTCCCAAACAACTTTCAGGTAATTATTGATAGTAGGGTGTATTTTTATCGTGAAAGAAGAAAGTAAACGTAGTTACTCATTTATTTCGATACGGACGTCAATTGGATAGATGAATCATCTAGATGTTTCTAAGAAGAAAAGCGTATGTAGAAAACTCATTTTAATAAAGATTTTAGTAAAAATAAGCAAAGTCTCTTTCTGTCAACGAATACATTTGCGTCAAGTTCAAGTATATTATATTTAGGTCAACTAAAAATAAAAAAAAAACACCTATCAAATATCTAAATTTTTCCTCTCATCCTTGAAAAATATAGCACGTGGAAAATGCTAATCTATGTCTATTAAACTTAATTATCCCATCAATTTAAATTCCGAATATAGTATTTATTTAAACTATATGCCACGCTTCAACTCCACAGTGTACATATCAATAAATTATTACACAGAATATTTGCGTTCGAATAGAACCGCCTATTAATCAAAAATGTTTTGCTTATATGATTATACCATTTGAATTTTACTTGATAGAAAAAAAAAACTTCAATAATAATACATCGGAATGGCTTTGTTCCCTCCGCCCCATAGATTACAGAAATTGTTGTCATTCACCTCGGTAATATCGAAACCATGGCAATGAGCTTTTGTCCATCGTGTTGTGAATATACATTAGAGAGGAAAAAATCAAGTTCAAGGTTATTGGCAACGTATTGTTCGCGTCCGCGGCCAGCTATCGCACATGATAATTTATTACATTATAACAGCAACGCACCGAATGACGACCACCACATGTTTGGTAATTGATAGCCGAAACGATTGCAGGTTTGCTTAAATGATGGGTCGATTAAAAGTTAAAATATTTATAGCCACTATGTTCGCGATGAAAATTCTGCACGCCTCTCCCACGCTCATCAGTAATGAAATTGCGAATTGTTTTGAGTATCATTGAACCTGTTTCAATTTCAATGTGAAGGCTAACCTATCAAGTATGTACGTAAATATATACTTAAATGTATTATTGAACTCAATTGATGTTGAAACTACATTACAAGTGCATTAGTGTAGTGCGTGACAAGTTTGCTGTCGATATTTAAGTCTAATGCACATTCAAACAATAAAACTCATTAATATAAAAGAATGAGTAATCTATTACTTTATGTTATTACAAGCAGCACGAAAATTAATCATAATGCATAAAAATAACAGGTGAAAATATACATTAGATAAGCACCGTTGACGCAAATCATTAATTAATAACGAAAAAGAAATATTATTGATAAACACGAAACAATGCAATTTGGCAATGATGAAGCATAAACAAATTTGAAATTTCATATTGAGCTTTTAATGTTATTGTTGTGTGAAATGACAATTCTAATGATTGGATTGTAATTATCAATTAGGACAAATTACGTTTGAAACAAATGTCGCGTGGCACATTTTCCAACAGAACAATGGTCATAATTGATAATAATTGATTAGTCTGTCTCACGGTATAAGTCAAGACCATTTATTTCCTTGTTTGTTAACACAGTCAATTTTCCATGTCAGCTGATACCACTTATCGGAAAATAACATTTTTAAGTGCGTCAATGACGAGACTAATCTTTCTGATATTTTTTTGTAATTCAAACCTTACAAATTATTGAATAATGTAAATGTTGCATGTTATTACGTAGATATCCAATTATTTGTTTTGGTTTCTAATTACAGCGGTATCGAAACCCGCAGAATATAATAATGGTTCTCAAAGATTGTGTTATTACGTAAATATCTACTTGTTCGAAACAAAATTCAGCTGTGCGTTTTACGACTTCAAAAATTTGCTTCCTATATCTAAATTTTGGGTACTTAGAAATTTGCAAGTGCGCACAATTTTGGTGAACAGAAAATAAAATTAAAGATTGAGATATCTCTCACATATGTATCGCACGTGGCAGTAAAACTTTATAATCTCTCAACTTTATTATTGGCGAAAATTATAGGTTTAAACTTCATGTTCATTTCGGGTTGTTAAATTTTCATACTTCATGGTTTTTGTAAATGTGCCAATAATCTATCCACAAGTATAATTCAATTTTATTTTTACATTTTGAACGCAGATGCAAATGATGACCTAGTTATTAATCTTAAAACTTATGAATCATATATTATCTTCAAAGTATAAATATATATTTAATTATTGAAGATGAAATCAAATTTTATTATGTTTGTATTATACACGTATGAATAAAATCACTTTTCTCAATTGCCTATATACTCGTATATCTACCTTTGTGGTCGTTATAAGAATAACAATAAATTTCCTTCATTAATGTGAAATTATCGATCTTTTAATGCCCCTTATGAATAATAAACTTGCACAACAAACAACAATGCGCCGGAGTTCCAGTTCCCGCATTATTTATTCAAAGAAAACTTCAAACAAAAACTAATGAGTTACATGCGTTGACAATTTTCCCAAACTGCGAATCATAATAATAATAAATCCATAAAGAATTATGTCCTTGCCCATTGTAACACTTAAATTACGGTAGCATTCAAATGCCGCGAAAAAATAGAATTTGATTAATGCAATTCCAACCATGATAAGAACTTTTATGCTTAGTGATGATTAGTCATACCAAAAATCGATACTAATATTGGTGTAATGTCCCGCTCTAGAACTAAAAAATACACAAAAAGTACCTACGATGACGTATTGCTGATAATAATTTAAATTATTATGAATTAAATACATCAATGTAAATTTTATGAACAAACTAACGATGCGACGGAATGAGCAATAATTTATTGTGAATGATACAATTACAAAGCATAAATTTATAAACATTAATATACGCGAGTGCACTTTACGAGATAAAGCCATCCGCTCAACGAATGGAAAATTTTCTAAACTTAATGGCGATTACACAATTTTAAATTACGATGCCGCCAAATCGTCAATTGATTACACTCACACATATATATATAGTTAATAACTCGTACGTCTCGAATGTTCAACTCGCTCTATTAATGGATTCATTAGCTGCACTTCGATATGATCATAAATTACATTTTATCGTTGAAAAAATTATAGTAATTCATAATTAATTCATGTCTTGCTTTTATTTTGCAATAAAATTGCGTTGTTACTTTTCCAAGTGCATTTCAAGGGCTTAAAATTTATTATGAATGATTATGCAGAAAATCTGTTATCAAATGTGAGTGTCAACATTAGATAATAAAAACATAAAGATTAAAATTTGGAAAATTTTGATTCTTAAAAGAAAATATATTACATACAATTGTGCATATAATGTTAAAAAATGAAAATTTTCCATCATAAAATGGCAAATATATAGTTGAAAATGAATTTCTAAGTGCGCATTTTTATAATGTGAGAACCAGTTGCATTAAAAATTTTAATTTTTTGCATAAAATGCGCACTGAAACGGAAAATGCCCATAAATTGAAATCAAATGTTCGGATGACGTTTAAGTATTTGATTGCCGATAGACACGTCTGTCGTTTTGATATAAATACACATAAAGCAAACATGCGCGAAATATCTGTGCAGATAATAGTATCGCGTGCACGACGTAGGGAATTCGTACGCCCATACAAACACGTGTATACACACGAACGTAGTAATTGCGTGTTTACCACACGGAATATTAATTAAATTTGCAATGATTTGACAAACGGCACTCGCACGCTACACTCGAAACTCTCAGCACGATTGTTTCGTGACGGTTTGATCATCAAACAGACAAATATATAATATAATAACTGTGATTTTATCCTGTTTAAACTTTTTGTAGTACCTTTTAATTACATAACTCAAAACCTATTGCGTAATAGAATATTTTCGATTGAAGGACTTCTCAAATATTAATCATCAACCAAAATATAATCAATGTCAGGGTTGTTAAATAATGAAATAGTCCCTATGCGTAAATAGAATTGGAAAATATATCATCCACAACATGTGTGACCTTTTCTAATGTCATAAAAACATTTACCAAATACATTGTCGGAAATTAAATGGCGGAAACGAAGGTGAAAACAAAAAACAACATTAAAAGCATTTGCTACTTATTTGTTTCGTGCGTTAAATAAATAATATGTGACATTGACAGACCTTAGTTATTTGATGAAGAAACAACAACATTAATATGTTTAATTTTACTTTTTTTGTACTTTCAGTAATTGGCTTGTTTTTCAAATATTTAATAGGTACTAATATGATATAACAGACATAGCAACACAACGTAGACATAAAAAATCAATGATTATCCAAAAATTGAGGACACTTATATTTTTTGAATGCGAACAAGTTCAACTATATAGTGCTAAATTATTGCCAGAGATAAATAGCATCGACAATTCCGCGAAATGTGACTAACAAAAACTCGTTTTTTGCACATCGCGCAAATGCCGCTGACCTCTCATTATCGATGGAGTTCGCTTAAAAATGCGTTCGATATTTATTCAACACCGTGCTTATTTATAGTCATTGTTGCTATAACATATAATGCAAAGCGAACATTTGAAATCCTTGAAAAATAAAACTGATTATTGCATCTAGTAACAAATTTTTCAACGACCGCCAAGATTGCGACCCGTAAACATATTGATATAAATATATAAAAAATATATAGTACATGATTAAATTGTTATTAAGTAGTAAGAATACTCATTAAGTCATATCACTACAATAAAAATAATGAGTATTAAATTATTAAACTTCCTGATGGTTTTCTTCGTTTTTATAAACATAAAATAATTAAAAATATGATTTTTTCTTTCTTTTCTTTTTTAAAAATCATAAAAATAGTTTAAACTCGTAATTAATGTACCAAATGTTTAAAATCTCAGGTAACCTACCAAATATTCAATTAACTTTATAAAAATATTACGAAATACAAAACTATGTAAATAATTCTCCAGTAAGTAAACAATAAATCAACATAAGTCAATAATTACACACCTTTCTACATCCCAACATCTTAAAATGTATGCGCACACAATTTTTTTACCCAATATAATTAAATAATGACAAATGGATCCCCTTTTCGGATGGTACAAGACGCGACAGTAATTTACATAAATTTAAATAATCACGTGCAAACTTGAGACATTCATAATGATCATTGCGGAATCACGACTAATTCCAAGCGCCCAGATTGCCGATAAGAAACGTGTGTTGCACAATCATACGAAATTTGCATAGTCACGGCGCGGAAATGAGCATTTCAAGTATTTCAACTAAACTATTCAATAAAAAACAACGAATCGATCGCGGTCCTGCTATTCACTGTTCCTGGCATATTTAATCATCAAGGACCAAAGCATTGCGTGCGTTTCAGAGTGTAACGCACGAAGAGAGGTCCTTCACGCAATTCATATTAATGTCGCGCTACAAAATAGTAATAAACTAATGTTTGTGTAACTATCATTTTGGTCACACAATCACATAGATATATTATATTGTAAGCGTATAAAAATGCGATAAACATACCAACGTAGTTGTACTTATTGACTTATTTACTATGAACGTAGGAGTATAGTATGAATGTAAATACGTAAAATATTGTTAGTAATTTTCCAAGATTTTGTTTACGGTAAGTCTGACTGATAAGACCGAGATTCTGAATGGCGCAGAGAAATTGAGTCTGAAAAATGCATCAAATCTTTGCATCTGAAAGCTGTTTACGAGTTTTCATGCAATTTTAATGCGTAAAACCATATTGACCTATTAAATATAAATAAACAGATTAAATTATGACTACACTGATTATTTTAGTTTATTTTTTAGAAATCATCATAAACTACCGGGTGAAAGTGTAAACGAAACGACTTCCGCAATAAATCGCGAACGTAGAAGTAGTACTGCTAGTTTTCATGAATGAAAATCGATTCTAACCTACAACATGGCCTAGTTTCGACTTAAATATATGTGTTAATCATATGCAAACGTATTGAAAACCTCACTCACCTCAGTTTGAAGCAATTTGTTCGTGTGTCCACTTGATAAATAGATGTACGTGAATAATTTTAACAAATTTTTGTGAATAATTTTAATATTTAAGCTTTGGTTTACAAAACAGTTTAATTTTTTTTGTTGATAAAATAATATAATCTGATTTAACTGGCGGTGTGTATTTATTCACATTCACGACACTTGTAAAACTTTTGCGGGTGTCGCTTCTCGCGTTCAGGCTACGACGACGCCGACCACGTTCGTACTAGTGACGAGCACGCCGGCAACAAACGTTTATAGTAACCGGCCGGCATCCGAATACGAAACCGCGTGCGCGCGCCTTTTTAATCGTCACTCTGAGTGCCGCGTAACCGCGTCTCGTAACCATGGCACACGATACGCGCGATAGCGAGGTCCTAGACGATGGCGTGCACACACATTCACTATCATGACACCTACACGCCTAGCGTTCGAATTTGTGTTTGTGCACGCGGAACTCCCACCATGGGTGGAGGTGTGTTAGTGACAAAACAGGGCTTGTGGCGTCCGACCCGCCGCTTCGAATTTATGAATATACATATGTGCTCGTGTGGAAGCACAGATACACTTTTGGCGTCGTGTCTGGTCGCGTCGGTGCCCCCCGTGAGTATGCACATGTGTTCCTTTTCAATCACGGACGCAATGAAATTTTAGGTTTCTTTCTTTTCATGTTAGGGTCACTTAACTATCGAATATTAAAGATATACCTTAAAATGTTATAGATATCAACGTAAAATGATCTTATTTTGCGGACAGCGTGTTTAAAAATACCTACTTAACTTATTTATTTTGCTAATTTTATTATTTGTTGATGATATGATGTTGATTTTTTAATAGTCACCTTTTATCCCTTTAGATAAGATATCTACCCATCAATAAATCATTTTGTTGGCATACATTCTATAAATTACATTTTGCACCATTAATAAATTAGCAAGTCATGTAACAAATAACGTCATGACAAATGGTAAGTACCCTTTTCATTTCTCTCCAATAAATAAATTTCTCGAATATTCAAAGTTTTTGGAATTTATTTATCTGTATAAAAATAAAATCAAAAACTTAATCGACTTATGTACCTACCTAAATCAGTGGTGGATATCACCCTCAGGTAGAAAGACGCCTTAAAACATGAAACGCTTTTTTTTAACGGAAACGTATGGTACCCGGTGCGGACCTCCTGCCCTTTGTTAAGCCGTTACTGACCTAGATCTTTAATAATGTTATCATTTTGATAAAAAAAAACACTTGCAAAAAATTAAATCAAACACATTTTATACCATAATTCTTCTAAAACCGTAATAAATATATTATTATCAATATTTTATTCTAATGAAAGCCAAATTAGAAGCCTTTACGATTAGCTAAACAGATATTGACAAGATAATATTAAATAAAATATACAATGTGCCCTTATCTGTAATCTTGGTACTTACTATCATACCTATATTTGATTATATTATTACTCATTTTCATTGTATATACAAGATAACACTTTTAATTTACCCATGTGTACCTACTGATTGTGCTCATATTTGACATTAAACACATTTTATGCTCAGACTATAAAGGTTTATATTTGAAAACTCATCAAATAAGACACTGTTGATATGTTTAATTTACACCACGGCGGAAATTGATTGGTAAGCCAGATAGAAACTTGAATAAATTGCAGGTCATTTAAGATATCCTTCAACTAAGAAAAAAATAGTAAATTAATTTCATTCACTTTTTTTTCTCATTATAATCGACTGATTATACTTATGTATAGTTTTTACTTTGTATTTATGGTTTATTACACTATTGCGTCATGTTTCACTAGAATTGCGGTGTGTTTCATAACGTACAAAGTTTGAGTTAAATTTGCACATGATCATTATTTTATCCCATTGTGAGTGGTAATTGTTTTTCCAAAGAAAAATAAATCTAAAACGTATAACAAAACAAATGAATTGTGTAGGTGTAGACCTAATCAGTTGTTGAGTTATGTATATCGATATTAGAGAGACATTTAAGTAATTCTAAACATTGCTAACTGTAAATCGTTTAGGAAGATAGGAGTATTTGCGCAGTACTTTCTTTAATTATCAATAAACAATAATTTTCATTCATTCTCGTTTTACCCGCACTTTTTAAAAATAAGATAAGGCACAACTCTACTTTATAACTCACACACTAAGTAGTGCGTGTAGGTATACGTGTAGATTTAGTTTTTTTATATCTACTTTGACAATAATAATTTATAAAGCGCAAAAAAATAATGGTCGACTTGTGAGTTATTTTGTTGTTTTGACTCGTTTGAGCAATCATTGACATTTTCTATTAGCTTTTACTCGTGAATTCGACTACTTAGATTTTTGTACGTAGTAGTCTAACTAATTACTTTCTTCTTCTTTCATTTTATTTTCAAGAAATGAGAAATGCTAATAAAGTACTTAGCGGCACATCAGTTTCAATTGTTTAATAATATATTCTCTTAATAATTCTCTTCACTTATTTTACAAACTGCTAGCTTTTCCTAAGTCAAAAATATCTCTTTACCAAAATTTAACAAACATTTGTTGAGCGGTTTTTGCGTGAAAGTGTCACAAACAAACAAATACTTGTTAACATATGTAAACTAAGTTAGGATAAAATTTTAAATCAGTTATGTCATTATTTGTAAAGAGTGTGAGAATTATCAGAGATAAACATACACGTTGAGGTTGATTACGGCGTCAAGACGCAACAACACCAACAACGACATTTTTGCGTTAGATCGAACTTTAACTTCAGTGCTACATAAACATATCTGTTCTTTTAATAGAGATAAATTCGACTATATTGATTTCAATAATATTAATTAAGTCTAAAAATACTAAGTTCTAAAAATATAATATGTTTGCTACCAAAATTTAAACAAATTTTATGCGATAAAACTGTTTCAAATATTTATCGTAACCATACATTTTCCACGGAATTTAACTTTTATGTACTCAAAACCAATAATCAAGAAACATTTTATGATGTAATTTTTTGCACATTTTATTGCCTCCGATTTTATGAAGTTAACAACTACTGTTTGTGTTGCTACTTGAGAAAACCATTAATATTTTCAAGTAGTCATGTAGGTAAATATTAAACAACTCCCAGAAATAAGATATTTTTAAGTTGGCTCTTAATTCTAACTTTAAAATGCATCAAATGCGAAAATTGCATCAAACGACCTAAAATACGAGTTGTTTTCTGTTTGCACGTGCCTGCAGAGTGAAAACAGACGAAACAAATTTAACTACAAATTTATTTTTAACTCGTCGCACAAGAAAAACCTAGATTAACGTTCGCCAATGAGCTTGCAGCTCATTGCAAGGAATTCCTAGCGTCTTGAATAAATATTATTGTTATTAATTGCTGTTGATACATCCTCAAACACCAACTGTTCTGTATGTACGAGTATGTGTCACCGCATCAAGTTAATGAGGCCGCAGCATGAAAAACATTTTGTTTGCACCGGCGGGCGGCGTCTTTTATTAATTTGCTTGTTTTACTATTTAATATTATGATGGATAAACATAAACAACAACCAATTTAATATTTTCCCATTTTTTGCAGGAAAATTAAGTATTTTTTGAGAGAGAATATTGATGCACTCGTATTTATTATTTTTGAAACTTTTACGAGGGCATTACACTTTTTAAAACCGTAAAAACAAAATGTTAGACCAAACAATTTTCATACTGCAGAGTTACTATTAAAGTTGTTAAATAAAAAAATCAATATTTCATTTTAAAACTTACAACACTTTTGGTGATAATTACTGTATACGCAAAAGTGAATTGTGCGAATTACGTATACAATTGATATCTAACATAATTGAAGATAATGCTACGATGTAAAAATTAATTTGTTCTAATTATAAGAGTAGTAATATTTCCCACTCAACATAACTAATTAATTGCGCAATTTCATGAATAAAATTTGATGCGCAAATAGTCGAACTTTGATTTACAATAAAATCGTATGAAGCAAGAGAATGCAAACGTGCACAGCTTGAGCAAGCATAATGTTTGTCGTTTTATGCATACTACAAACGAATCAATTCATTAATTAAACATAATTAAATTTTTATGTCTAGACGATTGCAGTGATATGCGACCGAAAAAGGATACTAATTAAACCGTATACGACACGATGATTAACGCCCCAGAAATGCGGTACTATTGTTACGACCGATTGCACATTGCAACCTTGCTCAGATTATTCAATCGAAACGTGAAGGTACCTACATGCAACCTGCGTTTCTTGTTCGCGATAATTGCAGCGCATGGGTCAAGCACCGTGTGTTTGCGTGGAGGTGAAAGAATACTGACCTTTTTGTTGCGTTTGCGTGGGCAGCGCAGGTTTGGGAACGACTCGATCTGCTGGATGCTCGTCTTGTCCACCTCCGGCCCACGATTTTACAGACGCAGGTTCTAATTCGCGAACTATCATCACTACGAAATTTGCAATTAGCCGGGGACTGCCGGCTATCGCGAGTATTCGGCTCTGTAACAGCTGCTAGACAAGGTCAGCACTGCCGGTGAATTTGCAAGACTCCTTGCAAACCGGCGTGGCGTGACTTCGCATGTTTCGGCGCAGTCGATAAAACCAGCCCGAATGCGAAACCTAGTGGCGGAATGTACAGAAAGTTGCCTACTTTACATCCCTTAAATTATGCTCACTAATATTTAGCAGTAAGTTCAATAATAACGTCTTTTAAACTTATATTGTGATAAAATATTTACATATTCAATTAAAAATAACGAGTTTCGTTGTAAATTAAAACAGTTTTCTTAAGAATATAATAAATTAATATAAATATAATTACTAACATAAATACTTAGATTTAACAGTATTAACTTACAGTAACATATTTTTAAGGTGCGATGAAGTTGTTTACGATATTTTTATGGTACGGTATGTTTATCAAACGTTTAAATTGCTATCCACCTTATGCAACTAACATTACAAGAGTTGTCAGGAACGTTGTTAATTGCTTCACTAACTACGATATAACCTAACTAAATGCAACGTGTTTGCTGTTTTCTAAGTTAATTCAAGACATAAAAATGTCAGAAGAAGGTAAACCTGCCCGCAATAAACGCAAGAGGAAGAAGACTTTCCTCACCAATGCTCGCAAATATGGCAAACGTGGTTATTTTGGGAGAGGCACAAAACTGGATGAAGACACTTATCAATATTTTGTCAGAATTATGGAAGCATATAAAGAAGGTTTTCCAACTGAGGAAGAAAAAAGTAAATTTATTATTACACTTTATGTTTACAAATTTATAATGCTATTTGTATATTTTTCAGTTACATTTGCTAATAATGTATTTGAACAAACTGACAATCAAGAGATCACTTGTTCCTGCAATCAATTTGGTTGCAGAGTGATTGAAACCTTGTTGCCTTTTGCAAATGACTCAACAATGGAGAGATTTATAGCTGCTTTTGCAGATGACCTGAGACCTCTTTGCTGTGATAGATTTGCAACCCATGTTATTGAAGCATTGATCAGAGAATCAACAAAAAGGTCACTGACTGGAGAAAAGAATGAAATCTACAGTACATTTTTAATTAAAATCAGTAGATTCTTGTTAAACAATATGGAGGATTACATGTGGGATACATATGGAAATCATACAATGAGATCAGTGTTCTATAGCATTGCTGATATTCCAAAAGAAGAGAAAAAATTGCATGCTAAAGAAAATGTGAAACAAGAAATCACAGAGTTGGATATTCCAGATAATTATAAGGAAATTATCAAAGATTATGCAGAACGCTTGTTGTCATGGCCGCAGTTTGCAGAATTACCAATGGCTGAATTGACTTCTGGATTTCTGCAGGTTTTAATGAAAGCATTGCAGAAAGTTGACACTAAACTATTGAGCAGTTATGTGAAAAGATTGAATAATGAATGTTTTGCGCCTAAAAGTGACGTTGAATATGATGAAAATCATTTTCCTCCGGCTTTTATGTCTACGCCGAATTTGATGTTGTTAGAAACTGCTCTTCAAGTGTCAAAACCCAAATATTTTACACAAATCTATGCAAAATGTTTCAAAAATATATTGGTCAAAATAGCGTGTAGTAAAAGTACGAATTTTGCTGTACAGAAACTGTTTAATTATGCTACAGACAAAACTGAGGTAACTATAAATAATGTAGGCAAAGAAAGAGATAAAAAAATAACATTACTGTTTCAGTTTGAAGAAATGTTTGACGAATTAAATGACAACTTTAAGAAAATTATTGAGGTAGGCCATACAGGTGTGCTTCTTTCTTTAGGACAAGCTTGTAAACGACTTGGAGCAAAACAAGGAAGTTATATGCAGGTAAAATAATCGTACACACATATTACTTTTTATTTACTGAAATTAATTGGTTTTCTTAGAATTTAATGAAGGCATTGGATTGTTTCGAACCACAAGAACGCCAGAACAAATTTATTTTGTGCCTTTGTAAATTACAACCATTTAACGACATCGCCGGCAAAAAATTAGACTACGAAAAGGAAAAACTCAACTTGCATGGGACGCTCATGCTTCAATTACTGTTAGAATTCAATAAACCCATTAAATTGGTAAACGCACTTCTCTCAATGGATCCTTATGAACTAAAAAGTGTACTGTCTAATACAATGGGTAGCCACATAACTGATTCATATGTATCAAGTCAATATGTTGGCGAAAAGAGTCGAGAGAGGCTATTGAGAGCATTAAAGGTAAATTGCAACCAATTTTCGCATTTTGCAATAAATATATAATGTTTTTTTTATTATTCAGGGCACTTACCAAGAACTAGCCGCAACCAAATACGGTTCTAGGTCATTTGATGCACTGTGGAATGTTGCAGGTGAAAAGTTTAAAATGAGCATCATGGAGGAACTTGGGCACAGAGAAGGTTCTTGGGCTCACACCGAATTTGGCAAAATAATTGCCAACAAAGTGCACTTACATGTTTATAAAAAGAATAAGGAAGATTGGAAAAATGCTATAAATAAGAATAATAAACCTAAAAATCTTTTAGAGGATGTTTTAGGTGCTTAAATTCTTGAACATTGAATAAAACATGTTTAAATTACTTGTGTCCCAATATTTTTTGTTCTATAAGGTTAGAAATTTCACCCAAAATACCAGATATATCATTTAATTGTAATATATCAAGACAGAATTATTCTTTTTATAGATTAAAGACAAAATAACAAATTTAATATAAACATTAATTAAACAACATTGATCAGTTTCTAAACCGACGAACGTTTCATGAATCTCGCTCGCACTCTTCAAATAAATTACAAAAATTACCTAGCTCTAGTTTGCATTACAATCAGCAGTTACAAAGTGATAAATGGTATTTGCGCAATCGGCTTTTATCACTTTACAACATGCTGATGAATGCGTTTTAGTTAATTAGTATACAATCGGTTTGGAATGTAGCATTTATTGCCCGAAAACAATGAAACATACAACTCAAACATGCAACATCTATTCAAAGTTTACTGCTGAATTATGTTACGTTAAACCGTTGTATGTGTTATTTATGTGTTTATGTTTGTGTGGTTTGTGAATTGTGTAATGTTAGATTTTTATTTAAGTTTAAAAGTCTTGTAATATCTTTGGTATTAGTCCAGGGTTGAGGCAACGAAAAACGTTAGTACTGATAGTATGTAAGATTTTACACGTTAAGTTATTTATGTTACTTATGGAAATTGCACAACGAAGGAAAGATGATGGTTACAACTCTTACAACTTACGTGCCGCTCACTCAACGCCTAAATTTGCGGTTCCTCCTCGCGGGTCACTTCTTAAACTTGGCCGCGTCCGACTGACTCGATGCTGATTGTTGAATCTGCTGCTGCAATAAGGCGTTCGCCGCCGTGGTGCTCGGTGTCGTCGAACGCAGCGGTTTCAGTTTCTCTTTGGAGCATATTTGATGATGATTCTCCCAGTCCTTATGCTGACAGAACGGACCGCAGTATCGTGCCAGGCTGCAGCCGGAACAAGTTTCATGTGCCTTACGTCCGCAGTTCCAACAGCACTGCAGGAATGAAAAACTTTGCTTTTATTCGCGTGGAGGGATGATGTAAGATTTGCTCGCGACGGACCTAACATACGGCATGTTGTGCTTCTGCTGGAGTTTAATAACAGGGAAAGGATTTTGGGTTTTATCGGACAATGATGAAGAACACGTGTGAGCGCGAGTGAGACATGATGAACAAGAAGGGTAAATGTTGCGCCGAAATATTTTACAATCTATTAATACGTCAGTCGCACGTCAAACGTGTTTTTCATTTCGTTTGCGCAGTGTTGGGTGAGGAATTAGAAGTAAATCGATGCTTACATTCTGTTGTGAAGGTACAGCAGGTTGCGTATTAGTCGGCGATGACTGGCCACTTTCGCTGTCTCCTACGTGGTTGTTGCCTGCGTCCTCCGAATGCTTGTTGCGGGCGTCTGCGAAAGAAATATACGCAGTCATCAGAAACCGGCGCAATCAATCAAGCGCGCTCGGTACAAAAGAGTTTAATATATTTACCCGAGATGATTTTTTCCATTTTCGCTCGTTCGGCAGCGACCAGTTCGTTTGCTTTACTCTCAGCGGTGGCGACGGCTTTCTGCAGCTCGAGAACTGCTTGCCTCTTCACGTCATTGACAGCCTCCTCAGCGCGCCGTTTTACTTCCGATACTCTGTCTTCCGTTTGTCGTACCGCTTGCAACATGATCTCATTGGCGGCTTTCTTTAAATCGACCCCGACATCTTGTTTGCGTAGCCATTCACTAGTGAGGTCTTGGTTGTTCCGTTGTTGCAGAATTGTAAGCGCGCGTTTGGTCTTTTCGACCATTGAAAGAATGCAGTTTAGCATTACGTGTATACTGCGCCATTCTTCGTCGCCACGGGTGCCAGTACGTGAAGATTCCATGTCTTCAGGACGATGTTGTGCGTTATAAGCGTTGTGGCCAGTATCGAAGAAGTGCGCGTTTGGAACGGCGCTGGTTATATTCGGCAGCAGGAGACTTTGGTGCGAAAGAAGAAATGAAGCGTTTTGCGAATTTAATGGGCGTTTAATTGGCGGAAATTCCGGGGCATCATGAGGGTGAGACTGTCCGTTCAAACCATTTTCACATATGCTATAATAAAATGATGATTTCAGAATGTTGTAAATTATGTTTTGATTTTATAAGACCGGGACAGCGCGTACGCAGTCCCGACTACCAAAAATTGCGCGCCCGAGTTATCCACATTAGGGATAATCGCAGGGGTCAGCCCAGCCGTAGTGCAATGGGAGGGCCTCACCCTGGGGGAACCGCCTTGTTGATCACGGTAACCCCTACGCCAGGTAAGTATGCTTTGTTGGGCTATTTCAATGGTTAATATTGTCTACTATTAGATTTACATGTAATAGAACTTTCAAAGTGCCATCTATTTAAAATCTTTGATACTTCTATAATAAGAAGTTTTTCGTTCAGAGAAATTAATAAAAGTTTCACGAAAAAATATATAAAATTAAAATTTCTTGCTTTTAAGTTGATGAAATTATATTCGGTTTTTATTTACTCTTTAACGCTTTAATAATGCAGATTTAATATTTTTTAACGCTGCGAAACTGTTGCAGAGACGTTAAGTGAGTGGTAGAAAATGGAAAATCTGAAAACGCAATTTCAGAAATAATATTTACGTCCCTTAGAAAAGCGGACGCCGTGTGCCAGCGCCACTACGCGCGCATTATAAGAATTGATTAACATGACATAAACAAGCATAAATTAACATTTTGCGTTCTAAAATGTTCAAAAGTTCACGTCAGCGTCGTAATTAAAAGGCAGGAGAGAGCGAGTGCTGAGAGGGCTGCCGGTGCCGGCTTTGTAAGTGACGGCCGCCCGCGCAAACGAATGGAACGCGCACCGTTCGGAGAAAAGACTGTTACAGAAACGGAAAGCTGCTTGGTGCAGCAGCAGCAACACCACCAGCAGTAGCAGTGGCAGCGCGTTGACGAGGGGGAGGCGGTGGCGGCGGCAAACAGCCCCCCTTGGTGTCGCTCCGTGTGCGGTATTGGGCCGCGCGGGGGCATAAGTAAAAAGCACGCTGTTCCCGCCAGATGGCACCGGCGGCACCGCGTGCGAACCGCCGCCGCCGGCGACCAGAAAGAAACCATTATTCATTTTAATAAAACGGTCGCTTGCAGACTATTGAATATAGTGGATCGACCCGGAATATAACGAAAATATATTTAATCACCGGCCGCGCCGTGTGTTTCCACATGTTATAACTTGCACTCCCGCACGGCGCGCACTTGGCATACATATTATACACATGCAACACGAGCAGCCGGCGAAGAAACTGGGAAAAGGACGTAATAAAAGGACAACTCGCGCGCGCATCTGAACACATGTGCAAAGATATGGTGGTGGAGACATGCATCGGGTGGGCGGAGTGGTTCCAGTCATTCATTCTTCTTAGCCAGGATGGAAATTTCATATCTCATACCTGTCAGAGGCGCGTCTCTTAAAGCCGGCGATCTGTGTTTCGTTTGATAAGAAAATCTCCGACGGTTCCGTGGGCGAGTGCGCTGGATCCAGGACGACGTGATCGTGCGTTCGCACGTACTGTAGGGCCGACTGAAAACAACAAAACGGAAATTCAAATTTGCGCCAAACTTTAATAGGAAACGCGCGTAAATAAATAAAATTTCTGCCCACAAGTGTTACACGTTTTTAATTAGAACTCGCGTCCGCTGGAGGCATTGGGGTTTAACGATTCGGGTGACGGGTTTCTACATTTGCCGATTCCGAACTTCCGCGTTCGCCTAGCAATGAATCCGCGCCCGGCCGTCTTAAAATTTTACATAAAACATGAGTCGAAGAGCACGCCGCACGGCGACAGCATTGCGAGCCGTTATGCAAATCGCCCGCCGGAACAAATAAATCAAACGAAACTCAATAATGTAATCAGTACAGTCGAATACAAATCAAAGAATAATTGGAAAACTTTGGGGAGTACTTTAAGCATTTTATGGCTACTAGGGACTTTTATTATTGTTTTACTTTTGTCGTCGCGCGCGCACTGTTTTTTTACACTAGACTCGGCAGGAAATCAGGAAATCGGCGGGCAAACGACGTTTTCCTTTCTACCGTTTCACGAAAATGACGTACCTTACGGAGTTTTTCGTGCGAATCGAATAAAGAGCGCGAGTAACACGTGTACTTTAGAGATTTTTCGAATTATCCTGCTTCGCTAATATATGGCGGAACTACCTAAGTGAATTACGAGTGCCCGAGTAAGTTTATGTGCTTTTTACAAACACGCCTTGAATAAAAATATCATTCTTTTTTGTGTTTCAATTAAATAATTTTCACAACACTCTGTATTATAACTGCGAGACAGAAGCAATGATAGATGCAAAACGTACCTGTTTGTTGGTTCGCGCGAGCGCGTGGATTTCACGCTGTAGAAGTGGCAGGTGTGCGCGAAGAAACGGCAGGACGAATGGTCGCAGTGGGAAATTGGTCACATCTTGTAACGATTGATGGAAGTCTTCGATGCTCAAATTTGAACTCTGTGTATACAAAGAATTTTAATTTTTTTTTGTTACTACAATTAATATCAAATACTTACGACCAAATTCAAGACCAATGTGCGAACGCGTTCGCCAACATCAGGACTGATGTCGTTGCCGAACTGCACTAGGGTGCTCAGGAATCGCTTGACTTTGATCAAGGGTCGTGTGATGCACGAGGTGTAACTGCCTGGATTGTAGATGAGATTTGGGCTGGTGTCTAAAGTCACTGATAGCGCTGTGGATGCCGGCAGCGGCGGTGTTAAGCTGTCCGCCGAGCCGTTGATGACCGGCGAATTGCTGCCATTCGTTTGCCGCGCCGGCGAAGATTGTGTTGGTGAGGGTGGCGGACCTTGCGCTAATCGCGCACCTTCTGGTGAATCGGGTGTTTTACATCTTTCTTTTGGTATTCCTAAGAATAAAAAATAAAAGTTAGGTTAATGTAGTACACCCCAGCGCCACTACGGTAGAATCAGCAACTAAATAATTTTGATTAAATTTTCAACTTTTTCTTGAATATTTACGTAGGTATATAAAATGCAATACAATAGTAAAATATTATGTGCGGTGTTTGCGTGTTAATGACGGTATCTTTCGGCATGTTCAACGCCAAAGAACATAATTAAACTGAACGAATAAACGCAAGAGAAAACCGACGCTGAAAAGTGGTAATTGCACGGCGTATGAAAGTGAATGAGACGTTTTTCGTTTTGCGAATGTCGTGCTCTTTATGCGCGCAGCGCGCCGCTTCTGCCCCCGTCCCCGACGTGCTCCTCTTGGCGCGCGAGCTTCGCAGACATGCGAATGGTAGAGGGAATGTGTGCGAATGAAGGGTGCACGAGTGCACTTGACTCGTTAATCTGAAATCCGGTCACCGCACACGCAGCGGCTCACACCATTCCGCCCATACAACATACGTACGTATAGAAAACACACAATCGGGAGGCGGCGCCGGTCAAACAATCACCTCAGTTTCGATAACCGATTGTATATGTTGAATATGTGGTATTGACACCTTCCTCTCTAACTATCTATTCGTCCACGTCCACCTATCCCTCAAACACAGCAGCGGCCGCACTGAGTGTCCGCAGAAAATCATCCCCTATGACCCACACGCATTAATTTGCATTCGCATTCGACATTTCCATGCGCCGCGAGTAATCAAAACCAAATACGGCGCTTCTAATTAAACCTCGTGCGCACATTAGACTCGAGTGGGGGCGAGACGTCAGAATTGAATGTTTGCATATTATAAAATTGTTGAACATGTGCTTACAGCTGCGTGCCGGCCGCACACGTCTATAACGATTCAATCAAACAAATTCACAACCGCGGCAGGAGGCGGTGCGGAGGCTGTGAGGGGCAAACGGCGTGTTTGTGAAATACTCGCGATGAACAATATGAACCAGAGGTGCGTTTCGACAGTTTCTAAATACACACGTGACGTAATTTTGATATTATAAATTTAATTAGATCAAATAAACTTTCTTCGCTTAAAATTTATTAAAAATTAGACCAACAAATGTTATTTGCACTTTCTACCCCTGAAAAACTGTTAATAATGTACTTTATTAAGTATAACTATGACTGAATTTTAATAGCAATGTTTATCCCTTATTTTACACTGCAAGTTATATTTTTGCCATTAACACTTGCTTAAAAGCTAGGAATTTAATTACTGAATTTATTTTAAGAAATTCAATTATTTTTTAAATGTACTTTGTTTGACAGGTACGCTCAGTATGTAGGAAAAAATAAAATTGTTATTTTTAGTATTTTCTTTGCAAATTTTTCACATTTTTTTACCTTTTTAACTTTTGTTGAAGAAAAATTTCAAAAACAAAATTAAACAAATTCTCAAATTTTAGTGAGACTAACAGACATTAATTCATTTATTTGTTTATATAGATTAAAATTATTAAAAGTCTTTGTGCGAATATCAATTAGTTTGGAAATAAATCACTTGCCCGCATTTTCTATTCTATTTATTTCCATTATATTAGCATGAATGAGAAGAGCGCCTTGAAAGGCATGCACAAAAAGCAGAAAAGGGATTGCCGCGCGCTTGATGGCAGAGACAAGCGCCTCCGACGCCTACGAGTTCGCCAAAATAGTACCAGATGCAAAATTGGAACCCTTCCTCTTCTCGCGCTCCGGTTTTCGAAAAGCACACGCCCGATGCACGAGCAGCGGGGCTTGCGTCTGGCTGATATAGAAATCAACGCCGGGTGACGCTAATAAATTTACCTTTCACAAACAGCGAAAAACAATCAAAACTATGCACAATACAGACAGAGCAATCTATCACAAAAAACAATCGGCGATGCTGTGGGCCTGCCGGCAGACCCACTGTTCGTTGAACGCGCAGTTCGTCGACGCCGGCGGTGGTGGCGGCGGCGGTGGTTTGCGCTGGCGTGCGGCTGCCAGGCATCTGTTGTCAACTTTTGTTTTAATTATGAACACACAAAGACCCAAAGAAGTACAGCCCGATATAAAAGACAGATGCTTTCGACTCTATATATTGTTCGAGTTTTCTTTATGTGGAAATGAAGGCTGACGCGAAGGTTTTGAGCGCGCGGCGCGCACTACGACGAAGCGTGCCAGGACGCAAGTGCCGCGACGACGGCAAAGAGAACGCTGAAAGTTTGTCGTCGCCGGCGTCGACGTTGTCGTAAGTTTCGGCGTGATATTACAGCTGATACATTTCCACTTTACATCAGGAATTCCTGTCGTAGAATGTTTGCTTATTTAGTTCTCTAAGGCGATTTGTATCTTATTAGAATATGTATAAGTCTCACCAAATATTTCTTCTGCGATGTAGGAAAAATATTTTCCTGAAGCACAGTGAAACTATCACGACCAACGTGACAAGTTCAGACACTTGGCGTATTAGTGGGCCAACGTAATGGAGATGCTGTTGCAGCGTCTATCTCCAACCCGCAGAACATGCGGACACGCTAAGCCCCCACGCGGCTAACCTGCTCCCATCGAGACGTGTCTTATCTCAGTCCGCCGACTGCCGGACTACGCAACGACCTATTTCAGAGCGCGCGCCGAGGGCTAATCGCCCTTTGCCTCATTCTACGCGCAGTTAACACTCGCTTTGCCGCATCGTGTGCGCCGAAGAACGATTTATATCGAAAGTGGTCAAACACATCGTTGAACGTGCCGTGAATAGTATAGGCAACACACCGATCGGATTATGCGAATGTCCCATCATGCACTAGTATACGTTATGTATAGGTTATGTTAATGTGCAATCTAAGAGAAATGTCAAGAGTGTCCGGAATGTTTGTGGTACTAGTAGTGGTGGTTTAGGCGCAGAGACACTAATAGTCCTGTATGCTGGTATATCGTCCTGGTCTCCAGTGTGTGGTGAGTGCGGTGATGCGCAGAGAGAGGGTGAGTGTGTATACATTGTGCATGAAAGTGTACACACGCTGCGAGTTTAGCTGTGACTCTGTGAAGCGCGTTGGTAATCATGCCTTGCCGGGTTGTGATATCAGCGCGCTGCAGTGTGGACCTTCGCGTCGTGTGTTCGTGTCAAAACTGTGGATTTCCCATAATCGGAAAATAAATATTAAAATTCACGCGTAAAAAATGTTCGTAAAATTGAAAAGTTTCTTGCAGATTAATTTGTCTTTGCTTACTTAAAATTTTTAATCTATTTTTACATGAATTTTAATTAAAAACTTCAATATCCATTACTAAGATTTTTGTTTTTCAGTTAAAGAACACTCAACAGATTTTTGATTCCCCCTATTATAATTCCCCTACTTGATATGTCATGAACAATCATAGAAGAAGTCGTGGAATATTTTAAGTAACGATTTCTGTTGTAATTCAGCTATGCTGATGTTGATATCAAAATGAAATTAACAAACAAAAATTTATGAAATTGACATGCGTTGTGATATGCCCATTATAACGTTGAATGGAAAACAATATTCGCAATCAAGCGATATAGGTAGTATTGTGCCGATAATTGTTTGTTTCTGGCACCCGTGTGATGTTTTACCGTGCGCGCACATAACCAATACTAAATTGTCTAAATATATGTACCGATTATTCGCACAACGAACACACATCTCACAATCGGCGATCGGCTCTCGTTTGTTCGTTGGTCGCTCTCGTTCCGGTCGCTCTATGATGTGCGTTTATTCCTACCAGAATCGCGACGTATTCCAGCATACATCGCGAACTGTGCGATTTTCATCCCTATACACACGTATGCATTGTGTATATGTGCAATACACATACGTAGGCACGCGCGGTCGTATTATGTTGTTCTTCGTGCGAGTGATTTTGACAGATTAATTATTATATTTTTGTTATGTCAGCGCGGCGATTCAATTACCAACTACCGTCATACCTGACTGCTTGCCTGCCCCACCGGCCGGGGCAGGCCTGGGTGTACCTGGCGAGTGCGCACGAATGCGTAATTTTCGAAAATCGCTCCATTTTAAATCAAAGTTTGTTGGCGTGATGAATCAATGCGCACCATCGATATATCGCATGGTAGGTAGGTACATGGTGTGTGCGCGATGCTGACATTTTTTGATGATGTATATTTTGTTTGTTTATATCGACGCACGTCTGCGTATGATGGGCCCTCATGTGCAATGTTATTCAATAATGTATCAGCTCCGCTTTCTGATCGCGTTTTGTTTAAACAATATACAAATCAACGTGTGATTTTGTATTCGACGTGCCAATTATAAATTCAAACGCTTACACATAACTGATTAATACTATGTGGATATTGGTAAAGGATAACAAATAAATATTAATTATTTCTAGTGCAACTGGGAATTAAAAAAAATTGTGCAGGTCGGAAAGTGAATTTTGGTGCTTAAATCAGTCTTTTTTTTTTCTCCATTTTTGATAATATCAACGATATCAACAATCTTTTAAACGCTTAGGGACCATTTTTCAATTAGCCAAAAAGACACTTTTTATAGATTTCTTAATTGTCCAAAGAGAAAGATGTATTATTTTTTAGTTATAAATTTCCCAAGTTAGAACTTTTTGTTAAGTGAATTCCCAACAAAAAATTATAAAACAGTTCATGTAAAGTTTTCATTTGATTTTAATACTACAACCCAATTTAATTAGGAAATAATAATGACAGGACAATATTTATTGATGTTACAGTTTGCAACAAGTTTTTCTTCAATAATCCATGATTTTTTTTTTAATTTGAGATAATAATGTGGAAAATGACGACTAACTAAATATTCTATAGTATGTAGGTACTTGACAAGAATAAATTTTCATTCCTTTTTTATTTGTAATTAAAACACAATATTTTTGACAAATTCGAACACATGTGCTACATTAAAACGAGTAGCTGAGTTTGTGTGCGTAGTAAATATTAATAAAAATACGCGTAGTAAAATGCGACTGTTTGCTATCCAGTTTTATAAGTGATCTTATTACAAATCTTCTGCATATGCCAGCAATATCAGCAGCAGTGGCGGCAGCAGCGGCCAAACGGCACAGCTGACGGATCGAGATTTGCAATGACAACACATGTGCCCAATGGTAATGGAGTCTGGGCCATGCCCCAGCCTGCCTCCTCAACGTGTTCATTATTACATTTTTAATGCGATCAATATATGCTTTCTTTTACTGCGTTCGCTCTTTTCATATATCTATCTATATATACATATTGAGCTGTTTTCTTTTTGTGCTCGTGTGGCGTGAGCGTCGCCATTTTACGGCTCGTGCATTCGGCCATTTTATGCACTTTTTGCACGTGCCAACTGACTAATATTCAAAACGTCCCGGCGACGATACGCTTTTACTCGCAATAAAACCGCTTCGGTCGAAGAAAATGAGGGAAATGTTTCGAAATGAATAAAAACTCAAATTTAGTACTTCGTGCGGCTGCCACACGAAAGCAATGAAAGATATAGTGGGACTGGGGTTTAGGGAAGGTCGCGCCTCTGCGTGAAAAAAGTACAATTAAGTGGCGCTCGCTTCACAATTGCCGTCTTATGTTTATTTCCACCCGGCGGCGGGATTTTTGCTCCGGAGGAAATTTAATAATACATAATAATTGTATTCGCGTGCAATTAGAATTTTCCTTGAGGCACCGTCGACAAGAATGGATAAACAAGTGTCGGATGCAGGGAGGGTAAGGACGCGGAGAATGGAGAGGCACTTACGGCCGCCACCGCCGCCGCCGCCGCCGCTTGCTACAACTCTCTCTCCGGCTCCGGCCGGCGGTTGGCTCGTTGTGTTCGTTTCGTTCGGAGAGTTCGGTGCGGTCGGTGAGAACTGATACACTTGTCGCTACAATTCGTTCCCCGCGGGCGTGCGACTCGCCAGAATCCCAGGATATCCGGTTAGGCACGTTTCCATTTTACCCACTAATCCTATCTATACACGCTCGCGCACACCCACACACCCACACGTGAACGCCGCACATATTTTATTAATAACAAAATAACATACAATACATATACCTATATTGCTAATGTCTGGGCGCACTCGGGGGCGCCCGCCGGTTTTCATCTGGGAAATTAACATCTGATGATGATGAACGAATTGAACGAAAAATACATTATTCCAAATACCCTCTATTCCTATGGGAAATTGAGTTATTTTCTTAAGTTATGCAAAACACAAATAGGTACTCAAATTATAATTCTATCCTAACTTTTAATAAAATTAATATTTAGTGTATTTATTTAGTAATTTTTATATAAAAAAGTACCTTTCTTATTATTTTGGGAAAATGTTGTATCTTAATTTAATTTAAATTTTAAAGTACACTGTAATTGCCGAGTGTAAGGTGAATTAGATTGCGGCAAGGTGCGCGGATGCGCGCAATCTAGAATTTTATGTATTTTATTAAAAAGCGGCATTTAGGCACAGATGGTCGGACATAGAACATAGTTAACTATGGCGTGTGCGGTCGGCTTAGCGCCGCTTCGCAGGCTGGCTGCTGCTCTGGTGTTGGTGGTGCCGATGGTGTCCTGCACCGCCCCGGCTGGCTGCATCCGCGTGCTGCCAGCAACAATTTCCCATTGTACAAACCAAAAATTTGTGTTTATTTTGCGTCATCTGTTTCCAACAGACATAAATAAACACCAATACCATGCGCATCCTGCGCTCGTTTCGCGCTCTATTTACAAAACTATCGCACGTGTAATTTCCGTGGGTACTTTTATATGAAAATGAAAAAAAAAAAACACATTCATTTTGGGTAGAAATGCTAATATAATTCTATCTTCTGATGTGCCGGTACTAAATTGTAAAGAAATTAAATTTCGAGTCGAGCAAAAATGATGGTAGCCAGTATAACACCGAAATCTTTCGCGCCACTGCCGGGTACGAGCGCAGCGCAATCCAATGAAATGACAAAAATTCGATGCGGGAGATAACGACGCGGCGACACAATGCAAACGAAAACGACAAATGAAAACTCAACGCCACCAAGGATCTCTCTGAAGCGCGATATGAAGGTACCCGCTTGAAAGCGCGCCGCGCTGCGCTCCGTCGACGTCGTAATACATCTGTACAAACACGCGCCTCCCAGCAAGTTGGTGTTTTTGCGCGGAGAAAAAGCCGCCTCGATATAGAAAAGTGTTATAATCGTGCCCGTATTGCGGCCACTACACGTAACCTTTCCGCGCCGGCGCGGGCGTAATCGTTTTACGGAATTGGCGAGAACGGCAGGGCATCTGATTGCGTTTAAAACGCGCATCTTCGTCAAGTTTGCAAATACCCGCCGCCGCGTGCGCGCGGCCCGCACCAGCCGCACAAACACCAACAAGAGAGAAGGGTTTTCCGGGAGAGTTGCCTCGTGAACACAGTTGGTTTTATTGTAATCGTGGTGAATGTTGCCGCAGCACAACGTGCCGCCACGAGGGACCCTTATTATTTCACGATTACACGATTTCAGCGTATATATCGCTTAATTTCTTTTAAATAATATTGTCGTAATACTTTATCAGGGCATGTGGGCGGCTGTGGGGCGCAAACAAAAAGATCCACCATCAGCGCCAAGACCACGACTAATTAGACAAATCTTGCGCGAAAACACACCAAACAGAATATCGGTGAGCATATCCAGTGCAATGCAAAAACATCAAACCAAATTCGTGTTGTTAAGCGTTGTCGACGCATCGATTTGGATGTTCAACGATCCGCATTGAATAGGTATTCGAGCAACACGTTTTCCTTCTCTATACGAGTGAATATGTAGGTACTACATTCGGGACGGAAACTGAAACTGAAACACGTTGCGCCCAAACGAACTGGACTTCGTTCATTCGGTGGAAACAGATGCGAACAATTCTCTAGGAAAATATTTTGTTGTTTTGTGCTCAATGTGTTCACCGATTGTGCTCTTACATGCTTTAACGAGTGTGTAAAGATTATTTAAAAAAAATTTATTCAAATAAATCTGCGAAGAAAAAAAATCAAAAATAGCAACCCCAAAAACCTTGTGGATTTTACGCAAATGTACACTGAGGCCGGTCACAGGTGCGATCCCACCCCAATTAACAGTCTTGCGTTGGCAGCGGCAAACGCTCGCGTTGCCTGCACTAATATCTATAAATTGCAGGATAATCCTTAGTATAAACACCCTGTTATATGATGATCTATGATAAACGCCACGAATACCAGCTGGACATTAATGCTTTAAAACCTAATAGATGTGTTGCTGCGACCATGCACCACGTGTGATCTCAAACTTTTGCAATTATTATCGTCATTATTCACACCGGATACTTTTAAGCTTCAGCTACAGCATGAAAATAGTATGATATACACGTACACAAATCAATATTTTGTATTTTTTAAATTAAAACTTTTCATTTATCTACCTTTAGATCGAGTGCGTATTGGTGTCTCGATGAAGTTGCCGCTGGAAGATGAGTCCTTCTCGGCCCCTTCCTCCTTGATAACTTTCGGCTCCATTGTCTGCAAGCAACAAAAAGATAAGACGGTGAAAAAGTGATATTTTTAATTAATTATTCGCTCGCTGTGTTTCGGCGTCGTCGCTGCGCTTTGGAAATTTCAATCTGCGCGAAAGCTTCGGCCAAATACGTCACCATCGCAAGCAACTGGGGCGCTGCCGGAGGCATTCGCATTTGACTTGGCATTAGTGAAAATCCGAATCGCGATAATTAGATTTTAAACCGCCAGCTGGTCGGCCGAGCGGCTCTCGGTATTCTAAACACGGTGACGTCATAAAACAAAAATCACGACGTTTTCGGTACGGCGCGCACAGCCGAGCGCGCGTTTTTCGACACGTGTATTGTGCGTGGCGTATTTTCTATTTCGCTCATTCTCATACACTGGCCGCAGCAGGCGGCAGTGGAGGCGGCGCGCACGGCCGAAGAGGCATGATTTTAACTAGAAAAACGTGACGCACATCCTAATTGTTGGTATTATTAAATAATGTCCTACCAATTTGAGTGTGTGTGTGTGTATTCGCTTCCACACTCCACCACCCCCGAAACGCTGCGGATTCATGTCATGCATTGTTTTTTATTGCGCTCATATTTTTCCACAATTTGCATAGCAAAAGTATGGCATACCATCACATTCCGGGATAATGTGCTGGAATCAATCGTTGTTTTTTTTTTTATTCGGATAACAAGAGGAAATTGGAAAAGGCCAGCTACCAACTCTGCGGTTCCAATAGTGTGTTTATCCCGGGGATGTGTGGGATGTGGAACAGATGACCCCTTAGTATAATGCGCCCCGAGCATTGTTGGGCGGAAGTTGCAAGGAAAATGCGGCGAGCGTGTGCGTCGGACATGTTCTGCTGCGTTTCGGCATCTGTTCGCGTGTGCGGGTGAATGTGTGAGCGCATCACATATATGAAAAATGTTAGCGAATCGTATTTAATACGTTTGTGGCACGTATGTGCATGTGCGATCTGCTCCTGTAGGATGAGAGCGTCGATGAAAGCGGAGGACATAACGCAGGTGGCCTGTCGAACTCGAATATCCCCGACAGTTATCTGAGCAGCAGCCGCACGGCCGCCGCACCGGCGAATGTCCCGAGAGACATTTGTAAACAGAGCATTATGGATGTAGATATAATAACACCTGTACGCCGCTACTGCCGCCGACGCTCGGCCAGAGATAGATTGCATTAATTATTAAACCTGAAGTGAATTGAATGGCAACCCCATTCGAATGCATTCGGCATCAATGTGGGTATTTTTACATTTCAAACGACACACAATGATAAATAAAACTTTTTCAAAGCTAAAATAACCGTGATTTTTTTGGTTAAATATAATTTTTAACACGGAAAGCCTATAGGAACTTTTGAGGTTAGTTATTCTTAACCTTACCTAACTTATATTGCTAAAACTGCACGGCACCGATGAAAATAGGTTTTCATTTTGTTTATATGAAATCCCCAAACCGGCTATTAGGAAGCAGAAACGTTCGAATGCATGTTATATCAAAACGTTGTTGCAGTTTATATCCACAAGGAAGAGAAGTCTACTCTGAGAAAACGATGTGCGCGCACCCACACACAGCTGTGCGGCGGTAATCGCACATCCCGCACCAACTGTGCCCGGCTTGGGCGCCTGGATGAGCGCCGAAACGAAGCATGCACACAGCACACAGCTGCAGCGCCGCGCTAAAACGTAGCGCACACATGTGGTCGGCCGGCGGACGCGGCAAACACGCACGCAGACGCCCTTGCACGTATATGGGTTACGTCGTCGAGAGCGTCGCGCCGCTCATCCCGACCCCGACGCGCTGCGCCTGTTTGCACAAGTGTTACCCTGAAACGAACCACATGGGTCCCTCGTGCAACACATGGCGTCCGATGAGTACACGGAAGATGATCCACCAAACAATTAAAAACGACGCCTAATTGCCTCGTAACAACTTGCAACAATGCGCTTAAGCGAGTGTTAATCGCCCCGCGAATATTCGCCGCTCAGTGTCAGCGACAACGCCGCAACGGTACGACGCAAACGTGTAAACACACCGTGGAGTTCTCGGCGTGTGCCTAATCCCTCAAAGACAAATGAAGATATTCCGAGCGAGCGAGAGTTTGAAATGTATGCGCGAATTTCGGTTCAAAGGTTTTCTACGTTCGAGTGGATTTCGTCCGTTGGGGGATTGGTGGCCGTCGGCGTGTGGCGCACGCGAGTGCCGGATTACGGCGGCGCTTTTGCCGCGAGCGGTGCGAGCGCACGAGGGTTATATTTGAACGAACGCACCTGGCGGAATTACATACACCTGCGCGCCCACACCTACAACTCGCGCGCCGATGGCGACGAGCCCCTTCTATCGAATTATGGCCACAGTTTGTTCGCTCGCCAAACGACCCCGATACCGCACCGCTTGTGCGCCGCCAACGATTTACAATTTATTATACATTAGAATATTATCAACGTCCACCCGGTGGACGGAGAAAAATTATTGTGTTTGCATCATACGCTAAAAAATTATCACCTGTAATACTTACATTAGATTTAATAATGCACACCTCTTTAAATTATGGCCTTCCACCATTAATTAAAAGAATTAAAACTTAACGTGTTCCACATCTGATAAATTCAACTTGAATGATATTAAATTATAACTAGAAATGTTTTATTTACAGGATATTACGTAAATTTATTTATTTTTTATAATTATTAATTTTTTTTTAATAAAAATATTAGATATTCTAATTTTTAAAAAATATTTTTTATTCTGTATAAAATATTTTTTGTCTATTTGAAACATCCTGTCGACGTATTTACATGCAACGATGTGTTTGAATTATTAATACATTAACCACCGCTATAACAATACCAATAAGCGATGCCTGTGCACAATAACCACAGCCATACACCATTTTCCCTCAATTTTTCCAATTCAATTGCCGCCATTGAGAGAATATTTGAGTAATAACTTCATACTGGTTGTTTAGCGTGTGAACAAAATTACTTATTTAATAAATATAGGTAGCTACTTACACATTATAAAATTACATATATATATATTAGCAATTGCTCACCTTTTTCATGAAGAGAGATTTTCCAATGTCTGTTGTACTCGAGAATAGTCAAAATGTGTCGCTATGTTTAAATAATATAAAACATATCACTTGAATTTAATTCGAGTGCAAATTAAAATAATTAAATAATATCACGATATATTAAACTCTGAATAAATTAATAAATAAACAAACTAATTTTTCGTTACGATAATTCGGTGGTTGACTAGAAAAATGAGGTAACTCTGTGTTGTGATTAATACGCGTCGTATTGTGTACGTTCAGAGATTGTTTGAAAAACAACGTGTAAGCCGCATGCACCGTGGTGACGACTGTTTGAGCGCTGCGCGATCCGCGAACACCCACCACTCGCTGGCGCCGCAGCAGGACGACTGACGATGTGGCGATGGAATGCCGGAATAGCGCAGCGCAACGCAAGCAGGAGAAGCGGTGGTCGGCTGCTGCCGCTACTGCCGCCGCCACCGGTGATGCCTGATGCGCTTCTGGCACGGAACGGCCGAAGCGCAGTGCTAACGATGCTAACGACGCGACACCGGTGCCGGTGGTTGTCATTACGCACTGTATTCGAAGAATTTTGTTATAACCTCAAAAATCCTAAACCATTATAACCTAAAACTTTGGAATCGATGTCTTTTTACATAAATAAAATAAATGTTTGATTTCTAAGAGTAGTTGCCGATTCAAAGGGCAGAAATTAAAAAAAAATTTCTTCATAAAGCTATGTTGATTGACAAAAATTAAATTTAAATTATTGATGAGTATGGACGAATTTTGCCTGTACAGATAGCAAATTTCTAGCCTGTTTGAAGATAATATGAAATTATTTTTATAATTATTCAAGTTTTTCCCTATGTGAGGGGCAGATTCTCATTGTACAAGTCCTCCGGTGCTAAACGATTTTCGGTTCTTTCGATTGTAAAAAGGGCCTTGGAGTGCGTCGCTGCGCTTGAAATGTGAGAATGGAAGAAATAGTTTTGGGTTCAGCTTCTCCTCTCCTCGGGCGCGCACCGCGCGAACAATAAGTAGTGGCCGGAAAGCATGCACGCGCTTTCTCTGCGCGAAGTAGGTACCTCAGCGCTTACACACTCATAAGAAGGGAATGAGTTTTTGCGCGAGCGTACACAAACAGCTGCAGTGGGCGCCGCGACGACGAGGTCCTTCGAGGACACATTCGAGCACCTCTCCGCGCGCTGCGTGTGACAGGTGAAAAATCACCTCTTCACACGTAGGATGAGCCGCTCACCACCACTGTGCCCATTGGTCCTCCACACCACAAGAGATAAAACTCATGCTATGATGAAAGAAATTCGACTTTTTAATTAGATTACCAATTTTTACTTACCTGCAAAGATTTTTTTAAGCAAAACACAAAAAAATTTAGTTTTTCAAAAGAAACAGCGTTATTACAAGTTTAATCTTCTGATCGCAAATGAAATTTATTAAAATGCAGATGTGTGTTATAGGAAGCACGTCATTGGCGTCATTTGAAAGATCAGAAGGACGCTGAGAGTGAAGGGAAAGTCAAAAGCAAGCGGTCGGATGAAGGTAGTGTATTACACACGCGTTTGTACGTTTCGGCGGTGGTGAGTGGATCAAACCAGCGACGCCGGTGTGTGGCGGTGCGATGACGACGGAAAAAGGAGTGCGTTTGAAGGCGGCGGTCGCCATATTGGGAAAACAAATTGCAGGAACTGTTGCTGACAGCCGCTAGATGTCTCAAAGAGCGCGCGGACTCACAAAGCGCTTCTGCAACTGACAACTTCAACAAGTTCGAGCTACGTTTGTTCCTTGTTCGCCAGCGTGCCGGAGAAAAACAACGCGCCGTCGTTTGCCGCTCGCGTAAATACCTTCTGGAGCAACCAGCGGAAAACTCGCCGTCGACATTGAAAATTTTTTCTTGCAAAACTGTTACACCTGATGCACGCACTGCGTTCCGTATTTACATTTGCCTATTGCGATTTGGGCGTCGATTGCACGCGTAAACGTTTATTTGAAATATCACATGTTCAATTTCACTTCGGCAGGCGATCTTGTGCAATGCGCTGCGTTTGCTAAATATTTTTCAATGAAATTTACTTTATGGTAGTTCCACTGACCAAAACAACCTGTATGGTGAACATCATTCTGTCGAATTTATTCTGTGTACAACTTTTACACGAGTGTGTTTATTTTCTTTATACTTCTTCGCTTTCCAACAGTTTCTTTTCTCGGCGCAGTGAATATACAGACATATCCGTTTGACGATAGTTTTCGTAACCTTCTTAAACATTCAACAACAGATATTGCTACATTTATCGACACGTTGAGTAAATCTAGTTCGTAATTCTGTTCAGAATCTAATTAACTTGCAATTTTCCAAATGAATGAGGATTTCTTGTTGCATTTTGGTTAAGAAAATTTAATAAATCAAAATATTCCTTTTTTAGCAACCGGTTAAGCTGTGGCAGAGTATAATATATTTTATATATTGATGCAGGGCCAAAATCTGAGAGGGTTTAGGAACAAACGACGTCGGCGGCGCCTGGTGCGGCTGCCGCGCATGCAACGCATCTGTTTCACCGGCGGCGGCATCTGTGACGCCGGTCTGCACGCAAAATATATTAAAAACGCATTACCGTGTTGGATAATTATACAACTTCGACGTGCGTCCGCGTATAGTTTCTACATTTGCGTGCGCGGACTTTAGTAAATTCGAAATTTCTAAACGCATTTTTAATACAATTCCTGCGAGTGTGAAAACTTGAGTTAAACAAACACATCAAAAACGCATTTTTTTAACCAAATGCACAAAAAATATTTTAAATAAACACCAAAAAATGATTAGGTTATAATTATGATAAATATTAAACGCGTTAACTAACGACTTCATATTTAGACGTTTGTAATAACTAGATGGATATATTTGCCGAACGCAGCGAATATTATTGTAATTGAAATCAATCATGTTGATGTATGAATCGGCGGTACTGAACACCTGATGTGTTTCCAGGCATCCGCAGCCTGAAACGTCGGTGTGGGTGGTTGGCAGAGTGTTTGCGTATAAAATCGCAGAAGCGGCAGCAGCAGGAGCGGTAGCAGGACTTAAAGTGAGCCCCGCGCGGCGCACTCCACGAGTTAGTGTACAGGGCTAGGCAATTGCGAAAGAAATTAATGTTCATAATTGAGAATTCACAGGTGCACCTGCATCGAACGTCGAACGTTTACTACCTAACATGCTTACGCCAATACTCGTATCTAGGCGCAATGTTGTGTTTACAGTGTTTGCGCGTGCAAATGTATTGTTTTGGATTTTAAGTGCTCGACGAAATTAATTTCTATTTCTATTATTGAAATGTCACACTTGGCGTGAAGACTGCATTTTGTATTAATTACAGGAATAGTAGGTATTTTTAAACTTCACTTATTTGTTTTTTAAATATAAGTAATTTATTTTTAAATATTTATCAAAAAGTTAAGTTTTTATAATAGAAGCAACTAATTTTATGATTTTATCGGATTTTGCTATGCGCTCTTATTGGAAGAGGAAATTTGATTTAATTTAATGATGAGAAAGCGTTTAAAAGGAACATCATGTCATCATGTGACTGATGCTAAACTGTAATGGTGAATTTGGTTCATTACCTTTTGGTTTTAATATTTTCCACACAATTATTTACAGTACAAGATAACAATTGATGAAACCATGTGAAAATGTCTAAAATTCTTTCACAACACATTAAAAAGAATGGAATTCAAAAAAACAAACGTACTTCTGTTTACTCGGAATTTAATTTTTGTATTTAATATATTCAACGGGTTATATACGGTATCTTCGGCAAAATCGGCAAAACATATTAGATTGTGTCATAATACGTTGAACATATTAAATCCGAAGATGAAAACCAATGAGCATTGATACTCAAAAACAACAATTACCTATGTAGGTATTTATAAAAAGAACATTATTGTGCCATCTCACGGCAGAGTAGAAATCAGCAACTGACGCAACCACGTGTTTCAAGTTCATTTCACTAAGCAAACACGTACTTTTTCAAAGAGACTCCTAGGTGGCACTAGAATTCACTTTTTAACTAAAAATAATCGAACGAGTTCTCACATTGAACTACTGCACTGAATTTAACTTAAATATAAACATAACCCTACCATATTTGTAAATATTCAGAGATCAGTGACGATTTTCTTGCTTTCTATCTATTATCTGTTATATCTATTATATATATTAGTGTGATATAAAAATGGATGATATCAAAGGAACACCTGAAAGTGACTTCAGTATTGAATGTTTCCAAAATTACACAGCCCCTGAAGTATTCATCCAGGGCTTAGCTGGAATTGTGGATCAACAAGATGTTGAATCAATGATTATTGCCCAAAAACAAATGTAATTACTATAATATTTACTATAATATTCTATGATTTACAATATTCTTTATATTATTTTATCTTGTAGGTTACAAAGATTTGAGAAGACAAATGAAATGTTAACCAACTGTAATGCACTGAGTGCATCTAGATTGAAAACTGTAGCTCCTGAATTCAAGAAACACACTCAACAATTAGTTGATATGAAGAAAGATTTGGATTACATATTTAAGAAAATCAGGACTTTAAAATTAAAACTTGGAAATCAATATCCAACACAATTTGCTGAAGCCCAAAGAAGCAGTTTAGCTGAAGAGTGTGAAGAGGATGAGGACTACAGTGCACATGAAAAAGAAAGGAGAGAATCAATTGAAACAAAAAAATCTGTTGAGAAGGAAGAATTGGCTTCAAAAAGTGATGATGATGAAGCTACTGATGATCAACCTGATTTAAAATAGAAAACATTTAATTTTAAACTTATTTAACATATTTTATCTGTGATTATAATATTTTATACTACATATTAAATCTTATTGTTTATGACATTAGCATCAAATATAGAGATATTAATTTATTGATTCATGCTAATCATGTTATTAATGTCAAGCAGTGTTTTATTTTTGGTCTCTGATAGAAGTTTATGTGTCACAACAGTACCTATTATTGCACAATGCCCAAATAAGACTAAAGTCCAATATGGACCTATACTCGCAAATAAAAGTGGCACAACTTCCAGATACACAAATGAAAATAAAAATGATGTAAATGCGCTTATTGATATGCCTGCTGTTCTGGTAGTCTGTGGAAACATCTCACCACAGACAACTGCAGACAAAGGGTATAAACCAATCCAATGTAACAGTGTAATTACAACTAATAAAATAATTGAAATAATTTGATAAATAGGATCAATGAAGTGTAAACTGAGATACATAACACCTCCTAGTGCAAGTAACAGTATTCCTACAATATACCCACTGAATATTAACATAACTCTCACAGAAAATATTTTGATCAAGATCATACTCACAATCATACCAATGGTACTCAAACTGTTTATACCTATAACAACATAACACACAAAAACTTCACTATTATTGAATGTCGTAATAATTCTTAAAGTATATAATTGCATGGCCAGAATACGAGTGCATTGAACCGTAAAAAATACTAATATAGAAATGCTGAGAGGTAGTAGAAAGGCTTTGCTTGTGTACATTCGTATCACCTGAGTGAACGATGTTGTCGGATCTGCATATTTATGTGCCAGTAGTTCATTAAATTCTTCTTTCGCAGCATCGTCATATCCTCTGAACCATGCGAATGCTTCACGCGCTGTTTCAATCTTATTACAATCTAAATGTGTTACATACGATTCCTTAAAGTGTAGTAATATGGCAATGTTGTATAGTGAACAAAGTGCAAATATGGCTGCGACGATTTTCCAATGGAAAAATTCACCAGCGATTGCACAAGCAAAGAATCCATGAGTGCTTCCCAAAGGTATGGCAGTAAGTAGTACACTGCGGTATTTTGGTGTTGTTACTTCACCGATGAATGTGATAAACGTGGGATAGAAAGCTCCAACGTATATGCCAATAAGGCAACGTGCAACGATGATCATGCCATAATTTTCTCCTAAAAATACTAGTAACCAGCTGATGAATGCGACTACATCAAGAAGTAGTAGGGTTGCTTTTCGTCCAATTTTTTCTACAATTGTTCCACTAAATAGAGCTGCTGGAATCATTAACACTAAAGGAATATGTTCTAAAACAGTAAAATCAATAGGTACTAGTTAGTATTTATAACCAGTCAATAAAGACCTATCATGTGTGATTGTTTTTCATTCAGTACAAAGGAATTATCATTTTCTAACTGGAAAAATAACACTGCACTGAATGCAAATACTGCTCCAACGCTGATACCATTGCTTATACCAATAGTAAATAAGCAAATCTAAAATTATTGCAAGTGATTTGTATTAAGACTATTTTGTTGATGAATATTTACCTGCCTACACGTATATTTTAATAAACAACAACCAAATCCCTTGCACATTTTTGTAAATAGTTTAGGTATGTATAATTTATTGTAAATGCTTTAAAAATTGATGATATTTTATTATAATGCGAATTATCACTTTTACTTATACCACGCAATATTACCAGTTGAACCAAACTATGACACATATAGTGTTCGTATTCGAAACAGTAAACATTCTTCACATTTGTATCATTTCTAACATTCCTGTGATAAGTGTGATAGTTCAAGGGAGCATCGGTACGTCGTTATACGCAGAGACAAAAATAACATCATTACAAATAATTGAATTTTGTAAACCGCTATTGTTTTCGGCACAAAGGGCAAGAGCCAGGTGAAGGATTGCTGCCATGCGTTACATTTTGTCTTTTCAGTATCCGAAAGAATTAGCCTGGATTTTTGTTAGCGGGTTATAAATTCAATTATTCTATTAGATTTGTATGTTTGCTGACGCCAAAATATGAACACATTTTTATGTTGTAAAAAATATGTTACAAATTATAAAGAGTTTGTTAATACGAAAACTTTAGCTAAACTAAGTAAATTATACAAATTACTGTGTAGTATGAAACGCTACGTTTTAAATAATATATAAATAATCTTTAAATTGTTGGGTACAACTGAGATTCTTTATATTTATGTCTTAAATCATAACACTTAAATATAGTCTGACATTTTCAATTTACATTATCTTGATATAATTTATTAATTTCTTGTAAAGTTTTATTCTTCGTGTTTGGCAGAAAGAAATGAGATGCCGCAATACCTATTAACGTAAATATACCAAAAATAAAGAAAGTCCAGTACGACCCAATAGTCGAAAACAACATCGGCATGAATTTGACGACAATAAAAAGAAACAAAAATGAGCAAGCGGCACTAATTGAACCACCAATACCTCTCGTAGCTTGTGGAAACATTTCCCCACACACTACAGAAGGTAAAGGACCTAAACCAATACCGTATAACACTGTGTTCATTACCAACGCGCATAAAGATATTATTGGAAATACAGTATTACTACTGTACAACATTGAGAGATACATGAATAATGCCAACAGTAATAATGACAGACCAAGCATGTAACCACTAGATAATAAAATGAATCTCACTGAAGTGATTTTTACTAAAAGTAAACTTAAAATAACCGCAACAATTCGAAGAATGTTTAAAACTAAAGTGGCGTAGTATACAAATTCAGGATCGTCTTTAATCATGTTGATAATCTGTGACGTGTAAAAAATTACCGCTTGAGTTCCGGTAAATTCATTTGTTAAAAATACTAACGTAGTAATACTGAGTGGTATGAGAAAGGCTCTATTTGCACACATGTGCAATAATTGCATGAACGATTCTTTTTGTTTAGTCTTTCTTTCTACAAGAATATCATCAAATTCGCGTTTGGCATCAAGTGCGTCTCCACGAAACCATTCATAACAAGCACGTGCGTTTTCTAGATTGTTTTTATCCAGGCAAGTAACATATGAGTCTTTTATAAAAAATAATAAAAGAAGATCATATAGCGGGAAGAAAAAAAAGATTAAAGCAACAATTTTCCATTGTACATATTCACCGAGAAATTGGCAGATAAATGCACCAAATGTACTGCCGATCGGTATTGCTGTGAGGAATATAGTGCGATATTTTGGTTCCGATACCTCACCAAGATAAGTAATGAAGGTGGGATAAACAATTCCCAGGAATATGCCAATAAGAATGCGAGCGCCAAGTAACATGGCGTAATCTGTTGCAAAGTACGTTAATAACCAGCTTGATAATGCCAAAATTTCGGAGAGAAAGATGGTTCGTTTTCTTCCTACAGCTTCCATTGTCACCCCACTTAGTAAACAGGAAGGAAACATCAGTATTGTTGGAATAGATGCTACAAAATATATAAAAATCATTTTCTTCTGTCTTAGATTTAAATAAACGAGTACTAAATATGAAAAGCGTTGTGAACAAGGTTGATTTCATAAAGTGCACATCATTCACATGGTGTAATTGCAAAGCAAATAATTTTATAATTAATTTATGAGAGCATATTAACGTATGGATGAAAATTTACGTGCTTCTAAACATACCGAGCCATGATTCGTTATCGGTATCCAACTGAATCGTATGATCGTGCTTCAATTGTGCAAATAAAACTGAGGTGAAAGCAAAAATACCTCCAGCACACGCGCCTTGCACTAATCCAATACTTGATAACAAAATCTACGGATAATTAATCAACAAAACTGGATTAAAATTCTTTCTGGTACTTACCTGCCTGCCTAAATACTTGTTTGCAAACAGATTAATAAACATTTTATTAAGTGATTAACTTAAAAAAATTTTAGTTGACTTTTCCTTGCTAATAGTTGTTCCTGCTCGAGTAATAGTTCACAAATAAGTAAAACGTTTCACAAAACTATGCAATATTTTTAGGTACGTATTATCAGTCGGAAGGTATTTGATTTTAGTGAGTTTATTATTTATAATAAATAGTAAAACACGAACTGTGCGAATGTGAATTGTTTCACGTTGTGAGTGATTTGCGACTATATAACATGATATGCGTTTGGTAACTGCAAGAAATTCTGATATTCCACATCATACCTTTTACGTTTCTAGTAATTTAGCACTAGCAACACTAACTTGTGCATTATTGTAGTAGGATTAACTAGGTTTTATAAATTCAAGGTTGTTAATCTAGAAACATTGCAATTGCAGTGAGAAAACAGGAAAATGATCATAACCCATATGTTATTACGATATAAAGTGAGCATATATTTAATAACATGAATAGATTTGCTTAATGTATTTTTATTTATTTGATACTCCTTGCAGTAAGATATTGAAACAATAAACAAATACTTTTCTACGGACGTAGACCCTAGGTGACACAAAAAATAATTTGATTAGAGGAATTATTCAGTAATTCAGGCATATACTTATCATATAATACTTAACTTAACAATTGCAAATAATCTTTTTTTAAACATTATCAGTGCAATCCCTTTATTTGCAATGTTCTATTAGCACATACCACGCCAGATTATGTCGAAATCACTCAAACAAATACACGAATAATAAAAATATGCTATAATAAAAATATGTATGGGTGTAGATGGTTTATTTATACATTTATTATTTTAAAATTATATTTATTACAGAGATATTTAAAAAAACTGGCAAGTCATTCGTTTGCTATCAGATCGGTAGGTAAATTGCGCTGGGAACAGGTGCGCGTGCGACACTCATCATAATTTTAATTTAATTGTGATGAGAGCTTGTTATTAAGCACTTAATGTTTAAATCTTTTTGCTTATCATCTACATAGCATACCTACGTATCTGCCTATTTTTAATATGCCGTATTTCGCTTGTAAATTAATTTCTCAATTAAAGTTATTGGGCAAATTACAAAAAATAATTTCATTGTCAACATGTTTTCATACGTAAAACTTGTTTGTAATGCATATGATATTGATAATAATATATTTTTAACAATTTATATTCGAATCATTGTGATGCATTTTTCTATAAGTGCTTTCATAAAATAAGATATTTATGCAATTGATTTGAAGTATTTGAAGTGACTGCAAAACTTTGCAGTTCATCATATAGTACGTATATCCAATTCAGTTAATTCCACTTAAGTATTTTTTTATTAATGCAGAGATAAGTGAAAAATAGCGAGTGATATAAATGCCGAATATTTTGTTTCAGTTGCCAGTAGTCCAGTGCTCTAGAAACAGTCATGACCCACGTCGTTCTTATAGGACTTCTTGCAATTATAAGTTAGTTAAATTATAAATAATATTATCACTATCTTACGCAACTAATACATTTTTAGCAATCGCTTTCAGCGATGGTGCAACTTCTTGTAACAAGCGAAGCTTTGGCGAAACGAGTTTTGTTTGCGCATGCTCAACACAAAGTTGCGATACATTAGATCCTGTTCAACCATCAACAAGTGGTACCTACCAAATATACACCTCAAATATAGATACCGATAGATTTACTCTTTCAAATGGATCCTTTTTACCTGGACGAAAATCAAGCTGTAGGAAATTCTTGAATTTATTTACAAACCCTACTACTACAATAACAATCGATAGAGATGCAACCCAGCAAGAAATTTTGGGTTTTGGCGGCGCATTCACAGATGCGACTGGAATTAACATACAGAAATTAACTGAAGATGTGCAAATTAAACTGCTCGAATCGTATTTTAGTCCAGATGGTATCGAATATAATTTTGGTCGCGTACCAATGGGTGGTACTGATTTTTCAACGGAAGGATACAGTTATGATGATACAGACTCACCAGATCCTCAACTTTCGCAGTTTGAATTACAACAAGAAGATTTCGATTACAAGATTCCTTACATCAAACAAGCTTTGGAAATAAATCCGGACTTGGAATTGCTTGCGTCAACTTGGACGGCTCCAAAATGGATGAAAACAAATGGTGCATATAATGGAGGTGCTATCAAAAATGAGTATTACCAAGTTTGGGCTGATTATTTTCTGAAATTTTTTGAGAAGTATGATGAGGAAGGTATTTCTTTCTGGGGTGTGACAACTGGTAATGAACCAAGTTTAGCACTTGTCAATAGTGCAATTAATAGTGTACGATGGTTGCCTGGTGGAATGGTAAGATACATTTTAGTAATTTATGGTAATATACTAATTATAAATTTATAGAGAAGTGGGCGGGTGAAAACCTTGGACCTACAATCCGTGCATCAAAATATAAGGATTTAAAAATTCTGATGTTGGACGATCAACGTTTCTTCTTACCATGGTTTCCTGAAGCGGTATGTTCTTAAATAAACAATCATTAATCATATTACTAATATCTTTTTAACCAGGTGATGAAAAACGGAACCGAAAAGTTTATTGATGGTATTTCGGTCCATTGGTATTGGGATACTATTGTACCAGCATCAGTGTTGACTTCAACACATAAGCGTTTTCCTGATAAAATTTTGTTAGCTACTGAAGCTTGTAGAGGTGACAAAGCTTGGGAGAAAGCAGTACTTTTGGGTGATTGGTCCAGAGCTGAGGACTACGTACATGGAATAATACAAGATATGAATCATTACGTTCAGGGATGGATTGATTGGAACTTAGTGTTGGATACTACTGGAGGACCCACTTACATAAATAACCAAGTTGATGCTGCCATCATAGTCGATTATGAGACTAATGAATTTTATAAACAACCTATGTTCTATGCGCAAGGACATTTTTCTAAATTTATTCCAAGGGGATCTCATAAAATTGACCAAAAAACTTCAAACAACGGTGTAGAAGTTGCAGCATTTAAAAGACCAGATGGTGGCGTTGTTGTAGTAGTGATGAACAAAAATGATTCACCAAAGACTATTATAGTTAATGATTCGAAAAGTGGCCATATTGAGCTAAAATTAACTTCTAAATCAATTAATACTATTTTGTATTGGTAATTGTACAGATAGTTTAAATAATGTGGAAGTTGTGTTGCCTTAAAACAACGTCCATTTGAAATTTGGAATTTTATTGTCTTGTGACGATTAAATAAACTGATTCAGTCAATTACTTTAGATAACCCCATACAATGTAAATCCCTCGAGGTTTTTATGGAATGTACGGATAACACAGTAAAATTTGCAAAAAATCAACTTTAAGCTACCTTAATTTCCGTAAAGTTGAAAGTTTTTAGAGTTGGCAGGATAGGCCACTACAAAGAATAGTTCAAAAGTGGATACGATTACTGGTCATGGTCATGGTCATAATCGTTCCTAATACCTAATGTGTATTGCAATAAATTGTATCACAACCAAATATATTTAGAACAGAAACACCATTCTGTTGGTTTATTAATTCAAAATGATTGATCTTTCAATATTGTGCTCTATGCTAAGACTTGTAATAATTAACGCGACTGGGCAGCACGGGAACATCAAGCAAAAAGCGCTTCATTCAAAATGAAAAAAAATTGTAGTTGCCGATGAATAAAAATTATAAACTGACAACAAATATTATTAACAATACAAATTGTTATATATGTATACCTAAACTTAACTGTTAGGATGATAAACACAGGGTATCGCTTAATAATGTTTTACACGCATTTTACAATACAAAAACCGGCGATTAAAATTTATTTTGTCGATTCATTCAAAGTTAGTGCCATACTTTATAGATGTTTAACACCCTTTTTAAACAACCTACATTTAGTTACAAAGTATCACATATTTTGGCAATATGGCAAAAAATAAGTGCTAAAGTATTGTATAAATACAAGCGCTTCAATTGTTAGAATACCAAGTGGTCACAAACAACCATGATCTTAGGAACCATTTTTGTGGGTATCCTCATTGCAAGTAAGCAAATAATAAATTAAAAAAGCATAGGATAAAAACAGTGTTAGTAATTTATAAAAATATTTTAGTAATTGGATGCAGCGATGGCGCATCAACTTGTAACAAGCGAAGTTTTGGGCAAACGAGCTTTGTGTGCGTCTGTTCATCAGAAAGTTGTGATACGATAGAACCAGTACGAGCTAAAGCAAACGGCACATATCAAATTTACTCATCTGATAAAGATACAGACAGATTTGCTCTTGGACAAGGCTCAGTTTCACCTGGTATCAAACTTAATGATGAAAAAGTTACTATTTATGGAAAAACTCCAACAACAATAACAATCAATAGAGATGTAAAACAACAAGAAATCTTAGGTTTTGGTGGAGCATTCACAGATGCAACAGGAATAAATATTCGTCAGTTATCTGAAGATGTCCAAACGAAATTACTCGACTCATATTTTGGCAAAGACGGTCTTCAATACAACGTCGGACGTGTACCAATGGGTGGTACGGATTTTTCAACAAAAGGATACACTTATGACGATACCATTGATAACAAAGCAGATCCACAACTTGAACAGTTTAATCTGCAACCGGAAGATCACGAATATAAAATACCGTTTATCAAGAAAGCAAAGCAAATTAATCCGGACTTAGAATTGCTGGCATCAACATGGACGGCACCAAGATGGATGAAAACAAATAACGCGATGAATGGTGGTGCTATCAAAGATGAGTATTATCAAGTTTGGGCTGACTACTTCATTAAATTTTTTGAAAACTATGAAAAGGAAGGCATTTCGTTTTGGGGTGTTTCTACAGGAAATGAGCCTAGTCTAGCATTTTTTAACGCTAATATTAATAGTGTCGGATGGATGCCTGAAGCAATGGTGAGTTAGACTAAAATTAATATCATTCAACATATAAAAAATTTAATTCTGATTTATGTAGAGAAAATGGGTTGGTGAAAACTTGGGACCTACTATCCGTAGCTCCAAATTCAAAAACCTCAAAATTTTAACTCTTGATGATCAACGATTCATGCTGCCTTGGAATCCTCAGGAAGTATGATAAAAACAAAACAGTGAATTAAATAAAACATTAACATATTTTCACTATCAGGTTATGCAAAATGGCACAGAAAAATACATCGACGGAATAGCAGTTCACTGGTACTTCGATTTCCTTACTCCAGCTTCCTTACTTGCTCTTACTCATGAACGTTTCCCCGATAAAATTCTTATGGCCACCGAAGCTTGTCGTGGAGATAAACCATGGGAAGCCCCTGTTGTTTTAGGTGATTGGTCCAGGGCTGAAGACTACGCTCATGGGATAATCGAAGATATGAATAATTACGTGCAAGGATGGATTGACTGGAATATGGTATTAGATCCCACCGGCGGACCCACCTATATTAATAATCAAGTTGATGCCCCAATTATAGTTGATGCTACAAGCAATGAATTTCATAAACAACCAATGTACTATGCGCTAGGACACTTTTCCAAATTCATTCCACGTGGTTCACACAAGATTTATCAAGAAATTTCAAGTAGGAGTATAGAAGTCGCCGCTTTTGAACGACAAGATGGCGGAGTAGTGGTGGTAGTGATGAATAGACAAACCACTCCACAAGATATAATAATTAACGACGCAAACAGTGGTCACATTGAATTTAACTTACCTCCAAGGTCAATTCACACTGTTTTGTATTGGTAATCCATGTTTGTAATTGAAAATTAGAATAAAATAGAAAGCATTTGATGAGCAAATTATATATTGAAGGTATATACAATACTATTTAATTAGACTTGATGGTTATACTTGCTATTTTATTCTTTGGCCTTCACTGCATGAATGGCGTAATTAATATCTGAAGATGGTATCCAACACCATCTCTTTGTCACTGGGTTGTAGGTAAAGCCATGTATTCTCCGTGTATAGCAACAATCTAAAAATATATAACTTAAAAAGTAGCAAGATTAAAATTAAATCATTTACTTTCTTCAAACATTCTTTGTAATTCATGTGGTGCCATTAGCTTATCATAATCATGTGCTCCTTTAGGCACAATTTGAAGAATGTTTTCTGCTACAAATATTGCCAATACATTTGCAATTGTAGTTTTGTTGATGGTTGTCATGAAAATTGATCCGCCTGGTTTTAAACAAGCTGCACAATGCTTAACAAAATCTTCTTTATTAACTACATGTTCAATAACTTCTGAGGATACAACTGCATCAAACACATTTTCATGGCTTTTTGAGAACTCTTCAATGCATGTATGCTCATAGTGTAGATTGTCCTTAATTTCTTCATCCATCTGCTTATGATCAATTGCTGCATCAATAAGGTCTTTACTTCCATCCACACCAATTGTCTCAGCACCAATTCTGGCCAATGCTTCAGCTAAGAAGCCTCCACCACATCCTACATCTAATACTTTTAAACCAGATAGAGGCTTGCATGTTTCGATGTGATCATCTGATACTATTCCACAGTTTATTAAACCATCTCTTATAAAAGGCACTCTTATTTCATTCATTGAAAGCAATAGTTTGACCTCACTTGAATCATTCCACCACTGTTTGCCATGTTTGTTGAACTTAGTGATTTCTTCATGATCAATTGTGGTGGTTGTAGAGTAAGATGCAGTTACTTTTAAAAGGTGTTTGAGAGCTGTATGTCTTACTGCTAGACTCAACATTTTTATTTTATTGGTTCAGTATTCTGAACCTTTATCTTCTGCATACAGGAAATAAATGGTTACTTCACCAACTGGTGTGTGAACCACTTCTTCATGTGTTATAAGTGCTGTTGCTGCAATACCATAAGCTAGGCATGGAATACCTGTAATGAAACAAACACAAATGATTTTTCAAAATGTTAACCAAGAATTTTGACAGAATTAAACAACAATATTTTATAATCAGTAAAACAAAATTAAAATCACACCTAGGTTAAAAACTTTGATGAATCTGAAGAATTTATCCTGAATTTCTAAATCCTCATGAACTCGCTTGGTGCAATGATACTTAATATAAGGATAACAACCAGTCCTTAATATGTGATAATTGGATGATCCTGCAGGCCAGTTGAAATGTGATTTACCCCACTGATCATCCACTATGCTGCTGTACTATATAAAAGAGTATAATTATTATTTTAAATTCTAAATAAAGGTTATAGAAATATAAATAAATTATACCTTTACAAAATACGATGTCCACGGTGGTTCATCGCACTGCAACAAATACGAGGTTAATACCTGGGATGCTTTCGGTTTCGTAGAATATAAACTTTTAAAACAACATAAATATTGACGAAATTTCAAAACATTTCTCGTATGCGCAACCAGGAACATTTGTGGTTAGAACTGAATGGAGCGATGCTAAAAATTGAAATTCGTCTCATTCTTATTCAACCATCAACCATATAAAATTAATGCAACCATAAAATTTATGTAACATAACTATTTTTTCCTATTGTATTTTTGATTAAACACAGAAATAATACAAACATTAATTGTTAATATTACTATCATATGTTGAGATTCACTGATATCTTTATATTTGACGCAAAAATATAAATTAAAATTAGATTAATTTCAGATTATTATAGAAATCCAACAAAGAAAACCCTTTTTAACAATTATTTTATAATATTATCACGCATTTCAATGTTTAATTATAAAAAGTCTTATAAATAATGGATTTTAATCCCTTTTCAGTGTTTCCATAGTTTAAATATTAATATGTGACTACTAAAGTGTATCTAACAGCAATTTAATAAATATTTATTATTTAAGGCGTCAACGACACCTGTATTATTTATAATTTGAGTGCACTAATACTAATTTGTTGCTATTTCAATACATGATAAATAATCAAACACGAAAACACACGTTTTTTTTTTTTATTTAAATATTTATTACTTCAATAAATATCTATTTTTTGGCTAGGTGCGGTAAAATAATCAGTAGCAAAGTTTGACAAACATGTTAAAAACTACTGTAAGCATATTTAAACCAGTGACCTCTTTCCTTTTCAAATCAGTTTAAATTTGTACCTGTCTCACTTACTCCATTCTTACTTACAAGTGCTATTTGCGACGCGGCAACGCAACTAGCGCGCTTAAGTGACTTAAGTCAAGATGGCGCTGCAGCCATGACTTTGTGGTTGTGTCTGCACAGTTTGTGTACAGTGGAAGTCGGTGGAAGTCATGCATTAAATGGCAACAAGTGGCAGAGAATCAGAAAGGAACATTAGTCGGTGTAACGTCGATCGTATCGCAATTCGCTCAGTATGAGACTTGCAGCGAACTTAAGTTCAGTGCGTGTGCGTGTACAAGTCGTGCTAACGTAGCGCGTTTTCGATCCGCTCATGCGCCCGAAAATCTCGTGCAATTTTCGAAGTACTCAACAAAACACAGCGTAACATTGCAAGGCGACAGCGTTCATAGCGGACTTCTCCATAGCGCGCCTAGCGGTTTCGTAAGCCCATTCTTCTTGTGCCTTTAATGTGTGCATGTTTGTTGTGTGTTCGGCTAACAGCGCATAGTTAATGAAATGGATTTTTACCCGCGACGCTAGAATTCGTGAGTGCGTGCGACGTGTGGTGTCGGCGTTCAACGACGCTCAACAACGTGAAAATGTAGTTATAGTTAACATTGGTGGTCGAACAACAACCAACGATTTGGAAGTATAATTCCTGCGTCGTTCTTCGGCTTTGACTTCGACGGCCAGCGTGAGTTACCCGCATCAAATGATCAACGGCTGCTACGATGGATCGGCATATCGAGGAACAATTAATCGGACTGTCTTCGGGTGAGCGTTTCTTGTTACCTGTTACACCTACCTACCTGTTGCAGACCGGATTGGAATGGTCTTTATTTATAACTGTAACCATTTATACATCCGGAATTCTTCTAGTCTAGACAACAATGGCCAAAAGTCAATAGTAGACTCAATTATAGCGATATTGTTGCTCCACAAACAAATAAAAACAATAGCAAGACGTTTTAGACGTTGGCGGAAATCGTATATCGACTTTGTTAGTTATTGTTGCTTGGGTATTTTCGAGAAACTCGTCTTATCAACAAAAATAACGACTTTGGGCGTGTGTACTAATTTCTGTCGTACGGTATTTCGTATTGAAGTTATTAAACAATTCATCAAAATCACATACCTGCAATAATATAATAAGATTATAATCATTGCTTAACTAAAACAATGAGCAATTTAGTTTGTATTACATTTTATCACGCATTAAATAGTGATTTATCAACGATTATATTACGTTTATAAATTAATCATGTAAACATTATGGGTGTTATCATAAAGCGCGGCTTGATCTTTGTAATAATAATAAAATTCCGCGCGTTTGGAATCCAATGAGGTTTGAATCTTTTTTGAATTAATTAGTTACGTCATGCGCGACTTGTTGAGTCTCATTCATAGTCATCAGTTATTTTAAGATATTTTGCTTCTTTTATTGATTGCTATAAAACCGAATTTATGGATAAATAATGACGCGTGAGGAAATACATTGTGCAGAAGTGTTTTTTTTTTCTTTTACGTTTCGACCAACATTTTTATAATTAATATGCGTTCAAGTTCGAGCATGGCCATATTTGATATGTTATTGTTTTTAGAAAAGTTTAATTTGTTTTTGAGTAGATTAGAACTACAGCAGGAAAGTTAGGTTAATGTTATACTTTTATTTACTGCTTAGGCATTTCTAAGTTTAAAATGTCATCGGTGGTGTTACTCTGGACCGATTTTTATGTTCTTTGATTTATCGGATTCGTATCCGCCCTGAATAGCAAGATAATTATCTAAACATTAGAAAAAAATCAAGAAAAAGAATTTCGTCGATAAGGTTATGTTGTTTGTCATCATCGACCTTCAAACATAGCATGTACCTACTCCACCGTCATAATGTGCTATTTTAGAATTCATTTGATGGAAGAATAAATTGAATTAACTTTAGTTGATAATTTATTTAAGGCGATATTTATACGAAGTTTTCGGAAAAAGCTGCTTTACTCTTGATTTGGTTTTGACATTTTGACAGTTGTATTGGTACTATTTGCGTTTAAAAACATGAGATTCGACTAAGAATTTACTAAAAACAAACCAGACAACAAATGATAAAGTGAAAACATCTGAATGATGAGTCGACAAGAAATAATCCGCTCGTTCACACTTTCCTTTCATTACATACGTTATGAGTTTCATGCTCGAGAAGGTTGTGCAAGGCTCGCGTGTGCGATTCGCTGCGGCCAGTGCAATTTCATCTAAATCCGGAACTGATTGCCGTCCCCTTGGCGTGTACACGCACAACGCTTTACGCCCGATATGCACACACGCGCTTTACCTAGCCGCCCGCCGCCAGAGTTGCGTCGCGTTTTTCGTGATATGCGCAAGTCTGTAAAATCGATTCGGCGTCGCGGCGCGGCGGCCGACCGCCGACCGCCAGCCCAGGGAAAACGAGATTTTCCAGTAACGCACGGGACGCGCGCGCGCGCTCCGCATCCGCTGCCAGTGTCTTCTCTTCGCGAGGAGCGTCCGATTTTTCACGGCCGCCGTTTTATTTACAGCGGGGACGCGCCGAACGAGTTGCTATCCTCCCGCTAATCTAACAGGTCTCGCGCGTTTATTTTTGCTTTCGTCGGTCATTATCACAGCGGGTCATTAGCGCGTGAAATATCAGTGTGTGAGTGGGTACGTGTGTTGTCTACCGAACCGAAGGAGTGCGCCCAACAGGTACCACTTGATAAAAGATACTTCAAACCACCGGTGTATATTCTTCATGGCGCTAATGCCGCATAAGTGGAGCGTTGATATCGTTTACATTCTGTTTTAATATTTATTCTTTGAGATGAGGGCGATTGTTGCGCATTTATCTGTATTAAGATGAAATTATGGTGCTAGTGTTGGCAACCTGTTGTCTAATGCAGATTGCATGACTCTGCGGCTGGACTTGTGACTTTTTCCCTATTTATAGATCGCTCTCACCTCCATTAAAAACGCTCAGATAACTTCGATATCGGAAATTCCGCCGTTCGCGGTTCTCGTGTTTACGCACCTGTCCATACGAATAAATTATTGAATTTTATTCTTGCGTGGTGTAGTTAATCTAGCACCATTGCTATATATAAAAACCTTTCATGTTTTGACGTGATAGAGACCCTAATGCAATTGTGAATAGTTTATCAAGTAATTTCGACGTTTGCAGGACGCATACTTTGTGATTCCATCGCTGAGCATTTACCAAACGACCGAATTTTACATGTGTGCGTATTTTCATATTAGTTTATTGATTTTATAATTATTTATCAGGTAGATTTCATCAAAGGCTGGCCTATTTCGTGATGTTTTCGTGTTTTCGAAAATTTCAACGGTTATAATACGCCTTTTATGAGTTGTTTTGATTATTTTAACGGTTAATTAAAGTTCCGAAATACGCACTGATTCATTTACTAAAGTTTGCGAAATTCAATCATATATTTTGGTACAACATTTTAGCGAATGTTGGTTTTCAAATGTGTTTTCCTCGGTTTTTGTTATCAAAATGTGGTTTATAGAGGTATATATTTTTTTATCAAGCACGTTCAAATATTAACCAATATTATCAGGCAATACATGTTATCATGTATTATTATTACTGACTGTGGTAATATCTTCACTCAATTACACAAATTTAATTTACACATGAGACTCATTTTCATGTTAAACATGGCTAAATATAAAAACATTAAAAGCTTTAGCGTGGAAAGAAATTACCTGCAGATTGTTAATTTAAAATTAGCTTTAATTGCAGTTTATGCAGATTTTATTCATAGGCACAATTTGTCAGGAAAATTTGCAAGGAAATGGAAATGAGTCATTAGCACCAGATTTTTCAAATATACGTGGAAAGTCCTGGTATAAGCTTTTCTCTGGTTATTAAATATTTGCGTTTCTTTGGGGAGTGTCTAGCCAACTAATAAATATTCTATTTTTATGCTATTATGACAAGTTTTGCTCGATTATAAATTGCATTAAATAGTCAATTACCCGTCGGTGGTTCTGAGCCAAGGAAAATTGTTTTTTTTTTACTTTTCGCGCATTCTACTATTCTTAGTCAGATATCAGTGTCGTACCTCTATATACTCATATTAGACATCAACGCAAGTAAGATCCAAGCGTTTCCTATCTTTCGTCGTACAAGGCAAACATTTTGAATATTTTAAAACCTACTTTATAAGGGAAATGATCAGAAGCATAACCATAATCACAGCAAACCTCGAGCACATAGATCAATGGCGTATCAACGATTCGATATCCCTTTATCCCTATATTGGGTACATAATTGGAGCTAAATCACCGTGTACTTTTGAGCCAGCATAACACCTTTGGCATACCAGCCTGGAACCAACTGAGCGGTCTTTTTGCACCTACTTGGTCATCACCAGTCCCTCTTTTTTCGGGTATAGTGGGTAATCACATCCTACGGGTGGTGCTCTTGGCTTTTTTTTGGAGGACTTGAACCTACTAAAGCAAAGAGTTCCTATCAGTCTATACAAGGAAAGGGGGAGGGTAGGTTAAGCTGTCTTCCTACCAAATACAATCCGCGTTTGATGATGCTAGATTTCTGTTATCGAGGTAGTCATCGTTTATTTTCCGTACTCCGGCCGTTGTCTGAAGGTAACCTATTAAAAAACATATTTTCCGAATACACGATAACCAATATAAACAGAAACCTTGTACCCACTGCATTACGTATTCTAGGTATATAGTAGCTACGCCACTGTCTAGAATTTAACCATTTACCTTGAAATTTCTTCTATTGATGTTACGCTACATCAGACAAACTCGATCTTTTAATGACTGGAAATTGTTTGGTTTTTATTGTTTTGTGTGGGCATGTGCTTTTTATCGACCGACTTTTACACACGTCTGTTCCGACTGCAAACAAATGCGAACGATATGATTATCAAATTAAAACATATAAGCGTCAAATGGTCTATTTTTAGTGCGCTCGTTTTAAAGTTGTGTTAAAATTATGCGCTTACCTGATGTACAATAATCCAATTAACCCGCGAGAAACATTTTTACAAGATAAAACTAATAATCGCATTAGAACATGTTTTAACGCGTATCCAAACTAATATTATGGGCGCAAATGTGGGATTTTTTGTTTAATTGTGAAGCTTTTACGCAAAGATCACTCAATCAATTTGGATAAATTTTGGTACAGAGATATTTTTGTCGAAGGAAAAACAACTAGGCTATTTTTACCTCAACAATATATCTTACAAGGTGTTAAATAGGGATGAAAGTCGGTATGGAGATTCAATCATAGTTATATTACATAATTCAAGTCAAGATTGTGCTGAAGTACATTATTAACATTATTTTGATAATAAAATTGAGAATTGTAACTAGGGTTGGGCTACTTTTTACTACCATCTAAACTTAGGTTGAAATCAGTACCCGCAACTGTATATTTATTCTAAGTCGTTTTTGCTAATTCAGTCCTAAACAATGAATACTAGTTTTTGTTTGCAATAGAATTGGTGTACTGGTTGTTGTTTCAAATACAACGCATAAAAAATCTACAATAAATCACACCATAAATGGTTAATACGCATTGTTGTTTTATTATAGATTTATATTATGTAGCTTGACCGTAAATGTAGGCCAGCAAATTATTAATAATTCATTAAATCAAGTGTAAACTAAAAGTTGTGCATTTGTGATTAAATTTTGTGTTTACTTTTTACCTGCAGTAAGTTATAAATGTACTAAAATTAACTACCTACGGTCAATTAATCAATCATAACCTCATTTGAATAATTGAACGAAATAGGTTGCAATTAATTAATTTCGTTTTGAGTGTATGAGGTGAATTTGCTCACACTAACGTCGTTGGTAGTGTAATTGCCGTCTTGCGTAAACCGCGTAGGTGATATTACAAAGTGGTAAAACCTGCGAATCAATTAGGTTTGAGTTAATTGACAAACTTTCAATTAACGTCCGCCTCATAAAAACCTAATTATGTGCTGCGCGAAACCTTTTAACGGTAGAAAGCCATACTTCCGAGCCAGCCACAATTCAATAAACCAAGTATTCATTTTCTTTGAATTTTCCTGCTTCATAGTAAAGTATAGGTAGTTAAAACTTATGACATTTATGCGCGTGGCAATTACAACGGCGTGACCCACCCGCGTTCGCGTTTTTGCTCACTTTTGAGATCATGTAAATAAGTAACGTCGGTTCTGCGGAACGAACATGCGAGAGCGCGCTCTCTGGACTATCCGATTGTCTCATGAACGATTCAACAGTTGAAAAGCGCGAGAGGCACATAAGGCACTGGCCCAGTTTTGCTCGTCGACGCTTTGGAACTGTCGATTTCATTGTTGCGGCTTCGACATTGGAGTTGCACCCTAACTCGCGACTTTCTACCCCAGGCAACGGCGGAAAGTAGGTCGGGACGACCAGGAAACAAGTGGGTTAAGGTCACGCCGCCGAATCTTCGGTCCCAAAATTACGGGAACTAGAACTTGAGCATTGAGTGTCGCGAACCCGGTCGTTTTGCACGTACGTAAAACGTACAGCACGGTTTTATCTCGCAGTGAAAATGGATAAAACAAAGTTTACAGTTTTAACGAGTGACTGTGATAAACACGTTAAAATATGGAACTGAAGGCGGTGTATAAATTAACATGCGCGGTGTTTTTTAAAACAGTGTTTGCAGCTGTGTGGAGTAATTTTTATGAACAATTTTTCATTCAAAAGTTAAAAGCGTAGGAAATGTTTCTCGCGCACAACTTGTTTTTCACGGTTTTGTGAAAACTAACGCGCCGATCGAGTTCAAACTTGTTGTGCTTATTTGTTATTATAATAGCCAGGGTTTCGACGAAGGATTTTATATTTCTATATAAACTTTTTTGTTTATTGCAACTTGAAAATTTCAGATTACATTACACAAAGTTATAGTGCACGGAGTAGCATACGGAACCAACTTGAAACTTATTCATTGCAATAATTATTCTGCTAACAATGCGCTCGATGCTCGGCGTCTCTCTTACTTTCATTATTTTGCATTTAAGCGGCGCGCACTTGAATGTGTATCAAGAATGGAATGAGGCCTGCAATATTGTAATGAACGGGAATTATAACAGTTATGCGAAACCGCATGAAAAAGTACAATACGCGCTCATTCTTTCTATTCGAATCTCATGCATGGCGCGCATTCCTATCGGCAGATTTTTTAGTTCAAAATTAATTTTTCAAGATTTTTAAGATTGTGCTAACAATAGGAGCGCACACGCCATACGTGCTTTTATAACTCTTTACACACACCACAGGCCATCACAAGAGATTATTATGATTGTGTAACTTCGGAACGTGTTGGAAGATGAAACAATGTTGTAACAGAAATTAAGAATGTATCAATTATGACGAACTCATCAGGTCGCGACGCATTACCATATGTATTGTGTGGTTCTCTCCACCGTGAGAGATTGTTCACTATTCGGTCAAATGTTGCGCGAAACGAGGTCTTCAAAAGTCAAACCATATTGTTTGTTAATATGCCGTGCGGTGGCTTGCTTCGGTTTTGCTCCGCATTTGCATTTTAACGGCTATTTCATGTGCGAGTGAAAAAAGATAATGGTGTCGTTGGCAAACGGATCGAGAAGAAGCGGCCAACGAACGATTTTTATCTTAATTAGAGAGTGTGAAAATGCAGATGTGCACAGAACGGAAAAAACCTGAGCGGTGTTTGTATTGAAATCGATTACACATCGCGAACAGAGAAACAGACTACCTACATGAAGTTTAGTTTTGGATTTAAACATATTTTCAGCGTGATAAGTAAAGTAGTGTTTCGTTGTGACTTTGTATAAATGAAAGGAACTTTTTGATATACGGTACATTAACAATTGAACAATAAAGAAAGCATTTTTATTCGGATGCCACATCCGGATGGACGACATAGCGCTGAATTTGCAAGTTTACGGCGCAGTGGAGATTTCGCCGCCTCATGTTTTTACTCTCGATTGCAGATGAAGGTGGGCAGAGCGGAGGAGAGCCGGACAGCGACGAAGACGTCATTACCGATTATCATCTCGGCGAAATGCTGCCGCGGCCGGTGCCTCTTCCGACCATCAGCGTCACGCCGCACTCGCCCGCGAACAAATCCTATCCGGTGCTCGAGGACAGCCTGCAGCAGGTCAGAGATTTGCACGACACCGTGCAGCGAATGAGAGATGTGACCGCGCTCAGTAGGTTTCCAATTGCATTGATATATTCTCTCTCCTTACATACGTGTACATACCTATAATACTCGCCTTGGCCTTTCATCTAAATGTAAATTGTAAAACGAAACTTGACTAACTTGCAGATGTTTATGTAGCGAACACGAAGCATTTCACGGCGAGCACTCTTAATCCTCTATTGGCTCATGTGGCACGTCTCAGTGCGAGCTGTCCGACTCTCAATGAAGCGGTGCCTGAATTAGAAACTCTTGGGGGCTCTTTGGGGTCTTCACCCTTGCATCAGCCGACTAGTAGAAAAGGGAGCGGTAAATATTACTCTCTTCTACTCTTGGATTAGTATTAAGTTCTTTCGACTGACGCGCGTTGTATTGAACTAGTGTAATGAACTAATCAATGCTTGTTTATATTCAAGCTACTCAAGACTGGCTATGTCAACCGGATCCACAGCGGCGGCGATCATGGACGGCGTTGGAGGATCTGACAGGTACCAAGGAGAAAGTCAAACATCGGCAGCGGAGGTGAGTGTTGAAGATATACTCTTTAATACGATTTGGGACTCATCCGCGAAATGTGTAGGTCTTCCGTTTTCAGCTGCTCGCTCAGCAGCATGGAGTCGGAGGCGGACGAGTCGTCGCTCGTTGATATTGTCGATGGCAGCACCACGCGTCTACTGGGTACTGAAAGCAGCGTCAATCATCGGCGTGGCACGCGAAATGGCGGAGGCGCCAGCACGCATTCACTCAATGAGGCTGATTTACAAGTACGCATATTCGTCGCCGACGACAAATTGCTGGTGATTGACGAGCGACTTTAATGTTTCAGAGCGACTTCATCAAAGTGAAGGCGAAATGCGAGGCGGAGCAGCTCCGATTGTCGCCGATTCGGCTTCCCTTGCAGAAATCTGTGTCGACGCCGTCGATCATCGCCGTACGGGACTTGGCGCCGGAGCCGGCATTAGCGGGGGCGCAACCTACGCTGCCAATGTAAGTTTTGCTTCCGACATTTATTTTCCAAACATTATTATATTATCTAGTCAGAAAATTTGACCCGACGCTCACTTGTTTGCACTTAATAATACTGTCTTAATGTCGATATACATTAAGTTAGCATGCTTCCGAAAATATTACATTTTACGATATGATGTTGACTTGTAATGACGTCCTTTTGGTGGATATGCCGTGCTCGGAAAAATTGATAGTTTTACGAATACAATGAACAAGTCTGGTATTGCGCTGTAGTGCATGTGCTTTAGCTTGGTGTGTAGGGGCAGACCGAGCTGCACGGAATCGGAAACCGAAGAGGAAGGTCGCGCGTCGCATCATACACGTTTCGATTCCCATCAGTCCGCATCGAATCTTCATCAGTGAGTATATTTTCTACCAAAAAAAAGGGCGAACCATTTTTTCTTTGAAGAGTTACCGCACGCAGCAATTACAATCTTCCTGGTCTAATAGAGATTTTCCTCTCAATAACAAATGTTTTTTCTTTCTATATTTGTTTATCTGTGATGTCTTTTAATCTTTATACAACTTCATCGCAATGTTTTGCGTGTCACGGATGTACTAACTCTTTTTTTATTTGATTCTAGTGCTTTGTACGAACATCACTCGGAAAAAACGAGAAGAAAACGAGGCAGTATATTTTTCCGAAAGAAAAAGGTATAAAAATGCATACATTTCATGATTTGTACGTTGAAATTAAATGTTTAATCTTCTCAAAGGATAAAAGCAAGAAGGTTACCCATCAGTGGATATCGGCATGCTACGGATCGTCGCACAACTGTGATTACTGCAATAAACCCTTGAGCAACAAACCGGCGCTGTATTGCGAAAGTAAGTCGACTTTCAATCACTTTCCGCGACGCTTCTAACAACAAATTATTTACTTCACAGATTGCACGACCACGGTGCATCAAAACTCGTGCAAAGATCACATCGCAGAGTGCAATAAACCGAGCAAGAGCTCCAAGGTATTTATTTACACGATTTAATTCCGACTTTGCGTTTCGATGTTGATTTCGTTTACAGAACTCGAAAAGCATCGCCAATTTTGCTGTGACGAATTTGACGAACCACAAAGGCGGACCCCTGTCCAAACGCAGTTCAGGATCGTTCAGTGGCAGTAATCCAGTACCAATAAATAGGTAATTATCACTAGTTTCACAATTACACCATATTTAATTTCACGCGTTCGCCGAATTTCGGGGCGGTTTTCGACTACGCGGAATTCGGACAGATATATATGTGTCTTATCGGGTTCCTATTAGTATAAATTTGTGACTTGTTATAGTATACTCGTACATCGTTGTCCTTCGCATGTTTAAGAGGCTATCGCTGTTTCTACGTAGTTGATTTTGAAAACTCTTCGCGTTGACACTGTGTCTGTCTCTTCATATCGAAGTTTATACATACCATTATTGAGGAATACACGTCTATTACTGTGTGTGTTGGACAATTGTATATTATGTGGTAGAAACATTGCATTCACTTCTTTCTCTCAACATATATAAACGTACAGTTGTACATGTACATCGTCCAGTTCCGGAGTGTGACGTATGAATATTTAATACGGACGTGGTTTCCTGACTTTTCGACTGTGGAACGCAGGAAATTCAACCGAACGTGTTGTATGATACTGAGGAGGGGAAACATTCTGAACTTTTCGTTGGGTGTAATTTTGTTTTTTCGTTTTGTGATTCATTTGTTTAACATATGTATAGTTTGACAAACTTTACTTACATGTGCGACACTATTTAAAAATCAATTGTAAATGAAATGCTTGCGCTCTTTTAGTGTATGCTTTTTTAGCTTTGGACCCCCAATAGTTTGTTTACATGTCAAGTTTCGTGAATAATCCATCTGCTCAAATTACGACTATTTGATTTTGACACTGATTCTCTGTGATAAACTCTGAACGATCTGTTTGCTACCGTTTTGTATTTTGTCTACTACTGTAACTCTCTAATGCGCACACAACTTTCGAGTACGCAAATTCTATCTAGCTATAATGACCCTTAACATTATTATTATTCTGCGTGTGTAAGTTGATGATGCTTGCGAAACACGCAGTTTAATAAAGTGCATGCTGTGAATGATTGTCCGTACGTGCAATGTGGCCATATTTGGAACCGTGTTGAAACTATCAAATCTCGAGCGCGCAAATTGTGATTAATGCCCATATACTATTTGCCAATATTAAACTATTAATGAAATCGATGATCAGAGCGTGTGGCTAATATGTTGCCTGTTTCCCCACAAAAACCCTCCCCGAACAGGAGGAACCAACTAAGCTACTCGCCTTGGCGTAGGGTGGCAACGAAATTGGGAGTTAAGTAAGTCCCGCAATTCCCCCAAAAACTATCGTACCTTGTTATACTGTTCTTCATTCACGAAATATCTCCTTCTTGCACCATATTTGCGAACGGTTATTGCTCATAACTTAAAACTTATACAATTAATTATATTATACAATCTGCCTCTTGATAGTGTTGATTTTTTGCGTCGATGCTTTTTTATTCTCTACTGCTGACTGATTCGAACAATTGTTTGATAATTTGAGTTTTGGTATGCGATTTTTGTACATCATATTCCATCTATCTATATATGCTCTGTGACTTTTTTGGTTTTTGTTTTTTCTCTGTGCGAATTTAATATTAAACATGACATAACATGATAACATGAATACATGTACCCACTTTATACTGTTTTTGTTAAGTTATTTTGAGTTTCGATTTAATAATTCATTGTCATAGGATTTTTAACAAGTTCATTTATGATTGTTGCATTTTTGTGATTCTTGGGTCCACTGCTTTTCGATGAACGAACGTAATATGAATACGTTATTTGTGCCCATTATGTTAAACTCACATTAATCAAGCGTATTGTTCGCAGCCAAATATTGTCGGACGATAAAGATGGTGATCACGTTCACTGCGATTCAACAAAGTAAGTAGAGAAACTCTGTAAATAAACTCAACAATGGAATATAAATTAGGTAATGGTTTAGAGGTAAAAATTTTACCACCGACGCGCCACACATTTCACACAATGAAAATTCACATGATATTTCAAATCAAATCTGAACTTTCAGTTTTAATGACGAGGCTCCTTTAGTGCCATTGGAATTCCTATCCGATGCTCAAATAATCGCTGCTGATCTGTGCTCAGACTTGAGTTTAGGATTGCATGAGAATGAGCCCGATTCGTGGACGCCACACGTCGGCAAAGAACTGGCAAAAAAACTCAAGGAGAAGGAAGTCAAAAGACAAGAACACATTTATGAATTCATTCTCACAGAAAAGCATCATTGTATGACATTGTTGGTAATGCAAAAGGTAAATTATCGTGGAGGCAATGGCCTAACACAGATTTTAATGTCTATGTTTTTTAGATTTTCATGGATGGTTTGCAAAAGTATTTTAATTTAGGTACAAATTTAGAGCGCATGTTTCCACGTTTAAATGACTTGATCGATTTGCACTTGAATTTGTTGTCGAGGCTGCGGCAGCGTCAGCGCGAGGCACCGGTTGTTTCCTCGATCGCCGACATACTTCTGGATGAGTTTTCCAACCCACGCGCCGCTCGATTAAAGTCAGCGTACGGCGAATTTTGCAGCCGGCATCGGGATGCCGTCGAACTGTACAAAGGCTACATGCAAAGTGATCCACGCTTCGGACAATTCGTTCGACATTGTCAGCAGAATCCGTTGCTCAAGAAGAAAGGCATACCGGAGTGTATTTTGTTCGTGACTCAAAGGCTGACCAAGTATCCTTTGCTCATCGAGCCGTTGATTAAAACTAGCAAAGAAAACAAACCGGAACAGGAGGCTTTACAGCGTGCGCTAGCACTAGTGAAGGAAATATTGGTTGAAGTGGACGCCCAAGTGGCCGAAAAGGAAAAGGAGGACAGAAAGTTGGAAATCTACAACAAAATTGACGCCAAATCGCATACAATACACCGAGAGAATAAGTTTAAAAAGTCAGATATATTACAAGGCAACCGCGCGTTGCGGTTTGAAGGTGTCGCAATGTTGATGCAGGGTCGTGGAAAGATGCAAGTTGTTCTAGTTATTGTGCTCTCCGACGTCTTGTTCTTCTTGCAGGAAAATAATAATAAATATACTTTTTTCACACCCGACAATAAGGTAATTTGAGTAGTAAATTTACGCATATCTGTGTTAACACACTTTTCATGTTTTTAACAGGCTGGTGTTGTATCGTTGCAAAAACTGTTAGTCCGTGAGAAAGCGGGTCAAGAGTCGAGAGGAATCTATCTCATTTCGTCGAATCCTGCCGATCCCGAAATGTTTGAACTTAAAGTTCACAAGCCAAAGGATAAACAAATATGGATCAATGCAATAAGGTATATTACTGCGAAATTTAGTTATTACGTGCTAAAATGTTTGTGATCTATAGAAACGCGGTTCAAAACTGTCCGGAAGATGAAGAGGAATCATCGGCAATGACGACGGAGGAGAAACAGAGTTTGCTTAACATCAAGCAAACACAAATTCGGCATTTATCAGGTCAGTACCTTGTTGAAATGATACATTCTGCATATGAAACGTAGCGAATTCGAAATTATTCGAGAGAATAAAATTACATCTGTTTTGACAGATTCTGATGTGGATATCGAAGGTAAACATCAGATTTATTACAAGTACAAAGATTTTAAGCATGTCCGCATCTCCATATGAATGTAATCTATTTAGAACGCAAACACATGAGTGACTCTTCAGCGCATTTCTCAACAATCTTGTGTTATTTGTGTTATTACGACTTTATAGTATATTTTTAGGCATGCCAATTATATTTCATCAAAGTTGTTTATTATCAAGTGCATGGCTGGCCCATTCATGTTGCATTTATATGTTTGTTTACATTTTCATTTCTCAGGTTTATTGAGGCAAAAGGACATCGAGCAAGCATTGCTTTTAGAAGAGAAGATGTCACTGCAATTGAGGCTTTTGGCAGCGGCGGGAATAGATCCACCTTCGCCACCTTCATATCGCCACTTGGTGAGCGAAAATGCTGATACGAATCAGATGTGGAAGGATGTGTTAACCGCCGTGCATGTAAGTGGTTCTAACGCGTTTCCACTTCAGCGTTTTCAATTTGTGAAACTTATAGGAGGTCAGTCAGCTTGCGAGCGTATTATTCAGGACGGGGACGAACTTATCACGCAGCGTTAGTTCGGCTGGTGAGCACCAAAGCGAGACTTACGTTTCGCCGATTTTGCCTAAACGTGCCGAAACTTTCGGCGGCTACGACAATTCGAACCAAGGTCCATTAAAACTATTGGGCAGAAAGTTGCAACCCTCCGGCGTTTCGACGCCAGCTAATCCCGATCTGGAAAACTTGAAGCCCGGTGATACACGACTTTTCGTAAGTTTTCTCGTCTCGCACTTTGCAATCGTGCAGCGAATCCTAACATGTTTTTTGACTTGTGAACTTTAGGAGAGATTGCCTTATCGGAATTGCGTACTCTCGGCGCCACCTCCGATGACAAACGGGAATACTCCGAGCGTGGGCGAGAACGTGCAACAGGAATCGCTTTTGATACTCGGACGAGAACAACAATACGCCGCAATACAATTATCTCACTACGTGTACACGTTGCTGTGCATTATTTCGCAATTGATGACTACGAATGAAAGTTTGCAGGCGCATATGATGACAATGAAAGGCGGTGATAAGCATTACAAACACAATCAGCAACTAGAGGAGCTACGTAATTTGCAAGATAAACTCAGTGGCGAGAAAGCCGCATGGGCTGCCAACAAGGAGCAAGAGGCGAAAGAATTGGATGAAAAGCGCGGAGAATTATTAAAACTCCAGGAGCAAATACGCGCTGATCAGAGCGATATTGCACAGCAACGTGAACAATTGTATAGAAAGATGGAGGTATTAACTAGTCAGGGTCTCTTGATTTCGCCCAACGTGGCACTGCCCGTTACGGCACAACTTGATGACTCCAGCACGCACAGTTCCGAGGAAAGTAGTCCTCAATCCGACAGTTCGGCTGCGATCACCGGCGCTGCCAGCAGTGGAGGCAGCACACATTCGACAACCGAACGACGTAAAGATCCCAAATGGATCAAAGGCATATTAAACTGCTGGGGATCCATTCAACTTGTACTTATATTTCGTAATTTCAGGTTCCTCTACAATAAAAGCCCATCTACCATTGAACCTCATTAGTACGACAAATCAGCAGAAAGTGTCTGTGCCAATCAAGCAGCAAATTCCTTTTAAACTTTCATCCAGGTTTAGTGTAGGCGGCAACTCGACTGTATCATCGCCGCCTGGTCACCAAATGCTACCCTTAAAGCTGTGCCAAGACGAGAAGGTGCGCCGTTCTAGCACCGGCTATCAAAGACTAGGAAGCGATAGCTTTAGTCCACCATCGGGAGAAACAGTAATTAAAGCGACATTTCTCTTTTTATTTGCACCGCTAATAATAATAAAATTGCAGACACCCACCACGACGCATTCACATATACGAACCGGTTCATCTCCAGCCATGATGCAAGCGTCGCCTCCTCATTCCTCCGGCACGACCGCGACCTCCTCTACCAACTACGCCGCGAGCGGACCCAAGGCGACACGTACCAACACGTATCCAAAGCTACCAGACAAATATAAGGTAAAAAACGATCAGCAGCAGCCTGTCGATGAAGAAGTTATATACTTTTGACGCATCACGTGTTAGTCGCCCTACTGCACGTGCAGAACTCAACCATGATATCAAACAGAAACAATCAAACATGCTGTTGACACTTTTTATTTGAAAGAGAATGATGATTTTTTTATATATCTATATTAATGACGTTAAACTTACTCAGTATTCATTCATAATTCTGATTTTTGCATTTATATATTCGGTCTTCCACATTCTGCATTGTACTTAATATGTTGCTAGGAAAGCACTGCTCAGACTTGGAAGCATTGCAACCAAAATGAGTGCCAAAAATCACTGCGCTTTGCATTTCCGAATCAAAAACACACACTCATTGCGCTAGCATTACTCGAAGATAATTTTAATTGATAAAACAAAGTATTTTTATGACTATTGGTTTGCAATGCTTCGCCTGTTCCTCTTACTTGTGACGTCAAAACTAGTTTTCCGGTTGTTTATCGACTTTTTTTAAGACGTAACATTGAGATATAACATTATTTAGTAATAAATGAAAAATAAATGTACTCAATCTTAAGACAATACACTAGTTAATTGTTGTAGTAATATCTCTTTGGAAACATGTATGTAGTTGCAAGTTATTAACGATTTACCTGATCACTGCAGAGCAGAGCGTAATTCTTCGAAAATTGTTAAAACAGAGTTGGCGACGGCGTAGGCTTAAAAGGAGATTATGTAACAGCAGCGTGTATGAGTTTTCGATTAAATGTGTAATGAATGCAAAGCAAATATATTAAAAGTATTGTAATTATGAAGAAGTACTTACTAAAAATACGGTTGTTAATTATTTATTGTTGATCAGATGTTTGAACATAATAAAAAAAAACATGCATTACATATATACACCGCGTCCCTTTTGCGTAATTTCATTGCAACAATGCAATTGTGTGTGATATTGGTTGTTGTTATAGGATGCAATTATTCGAAAGGGATCTAATAAAGGGCCTACTTAAATCTAGGTGTATTTTCATGTATCGACTACATATATAAAGAAAAGAAAAAGTGAAAAAAAATCAAGTATCATATTTTTATAAATAATTATCTCTATTTCCATTTCTCATATTAACGATGATAATATGCATAAACAATAATGTTTCCTCTTTAATGTGTTATGTTAATACAAAATTCGATAAATCATATTCATAATGAATACTAGTTAAATATTGATAGTAGAAGAAAATTCGACTGATACTTTAAACGCCTCACCAAGCTGCAATCACTCTAATTGATCATCGACTCACGTTGTTAAGTTGCATAAGATTTGCGAAATCCAGAGTATTTTCAACATGCAACTGATGCGCCTTGAATCTTACTAGCTTTACAATGTACGCTCACACACAGTGTAGGCATGCATAGCTAAGTTTTACTTTTTGTGACTTTTTTCGACGCAGTACTTACTTCATTTACTGTATACTGCACATACATTATTATCTAGCATGATATGTATCATGAATTAATTGATATGAATGTATATAGAATATTTTCATTGCACCTATTAATTGTATATAACAATGTAGCCCAAATTTCATTTGTATGTACCCGAAAGATATTCAAGTGAGTGTTGGCGATAAACGGTATTAGTTTGACCATTTAACAATTCGATCAAATGTTTAGTGTTTGGTTTTGAATCCAGTTCTTAATTACCTAATCAAAATGTAAACACAATTATGAATTGTAATTATTAAGGTATTTATTTATGTCGATATGAAAATTTAAAAATTTATGATGATAAGAAATGGCAAAAAAATAAAATATTCTAAAATCAGCTGTTGCCTTTTTATTTCTAAACCATTGTATCAATTATATTAGGTGCAGCATCTTCTAGTATCGCAGGTATCGTGCTTATTGTAATTCTCGCACAAGGTCACGTGCCATCGACGCGCCGGTTTCGCGCATCTCTTGCTTTCTTATCGTAAACTGCCGCGGCGTTGCTTGCTCGGCTACGGCATGCGCTATCGGTGGTTTGCAGCCAGTTTCGTGCAGGCCGCTGTTTGATCAGGACGTGTTTTGACTGACTGGTTTTGTGTGTTCGGGCTTTCTAAATTTACATTATATTCGATCATCAATTGCCTCTTTAATTGTAAATACTATAGGGGTATTCCATGCCAAATCGACCACTTTTGAACCCGACCCTTTTTGATTTAGCTAAAACTTTTCCATTCTTTTCTACCATTTAAAAAAACGTTTATTAGAATTTTTTGAAAATTTTTTTTCTAACCTCAAAAAAGTTATGAATCAATTGCCTCTTTAATTGTAAATACTATAGTAATGTTATTTATTATTTATTTTGTTAGCGAAATGCGTAACGTAGGCAACCAACAACACAACATACATTACATTATTTTTCCCGCGCAACACCGGCGCACTGCGTGCGCCAGGTGCAGTAGCTAGTACGAGCAGAGCGCAGCAGACGCAGATTAAGAGACGCCGTATTCAATAAACGCTATTCGACATTCTTTACAATTACCAGTGCTCATTGTTTCATGCTTATCTTTTATCACCTGCCCTCACAAGTGCCACACCTAACAATTTATTATTTTAATGTACATTATTGTACAAAAGTGATTGATATTTGATCGCGTTTCGTGTTTACACTTATGCAAGTTACAAGTTATTTTTGGTGTCGGTCGCAAAATGAATCGGATATAGGATGGCCCCATGTAGATTTATTCCCTCATTATCCTTGGGTAAGTAATTTTCAATTTAATAACACATATTGTATTTTTTCTAAGATGTATGAATAAATTATTCTTAAATCTTATGAAATATTTCAACTTCTTTTCTTTTAGTTACAGCACTTACGGTGCTTTGGTGACTGATGCGCACAACGATTCGTAGGTTTATGATTCAATCATATTGTTTATTCTAATTTACGCGACAAATATTTATTGCCTTATTACGTACCACAAAATGACCGCAAAAGTTTGCCCTTTTTCGAATATTTCGAGACTTTCCGTGGAAAACGGCTCATATTTCGTGAACCCTTCTTGATATTTTTATTTTTTCTTTGAAATCTAATAACGTAACAACGGTTTTTGGACGATACTTAAAAGGGCCGCTAAAGTTTGCCTTTTTTTATTTTTTAAAGTTTCTATCGAAAACGGGTGATATCCCACGAACCCTTAGTCATATATTTATTTTTTCTTCGGATTTTTGTAGCGTGAGAATGGTTTTGAACGATGTATCCTAACTGCATTAAAATGGCCGCAAAACTTGGCCTTCTTGTCGTTTTTTACAATTTTTGATGGCAAACAGATCATATCTTGCGAACCCTTAATCATATTTAATTACTTTTTTGCTTAAAATTTATCGGTCGAGTTTTTTTGTTAAAAGTTCTTTCGGTCGAAGAACAGGGTTGAACTTTTTTCTTCAATTTTTTTCGGTCGAAGAACAGGGTCAAACTTTTTTTGTTGAAATTTTTTGGTCGAAGAACAGGGTCGGATTATCGCAAGAACAAAAAGGGTTACGAAAAAAGGACTTCATATTCTTGATCATTAAAAAAAAACCCTATAAGATGACATATTTCCTGAAAAACGACACAAATTGCATAAAAAACTTTAAAGAAAAGATGATGTTATAAAAAAGGCAAAAAAATTTTCTTTTTTTATGTCGAATGCAGTTTTCACTAAAATTGTAAATAGAGTCTAAACGATTAATGTTAGCAAAATTTTTAAATTTTATTTTCAGGTTTTGAAAGATATTGTTGAAATATTGAGTTCGTCTACAAAATTCATTCTCTTTCAATATATTAAGTTTTCTGTTTGAGGGTAACATTTGGTAGACACATTGTCAACCATGTAAAAGGTTTATTTTATTATTTCAAGAAGTAGAGAAAAAGTACTCGAGCTAAGAGTCATAAATCTAGGTATAATTAAGGGCAGTCTAGAGTGCTTAAAACCAAATATTACAGGATGTTTAGTCTACAACTAGAGTAAAATAGTTGTATGTAGTCAGTTCGTTTCGAGCCTTGAAATCGATAAGACATACTTCCGAAAACTCTAATTTTGAATATACGGCAATCTTCCAGAATTAAACTTCGTTATTATTGAATAAAATCACCGCTACCTAAATCCATAATTCCAACAAATATTTTAAATCTTAATTGACTATTTGAGTGATTATTTTCTTTTCATTGACCGTTAAGGCTCTATTTGCAATTTTAATAATCTGTAATTGTGTTACTGGTTCCCGATTCAGAATTTAATCGAAATTAAAAGTTTCACGCATAGTACGAGAACAATTCTTTTCATGTTCTGCATTTCCAGACTGAAAGTATCAAACAATTTTTCTTATTTTGTGCAATTTTTGTGCGGTCGCCACGCTGTTGTCTTGCCTACCACGTTAGTCTCATTTTTGTCATCATTATTCTTGAATTCCTTAATTTTTCGTCTCGTTATTACGTAATATTTTTCAATACTCCTTCCTCTTGTGCGCGAGTGTTAAACGGCGTTCGTTAAACGCGGATTGTACGAGTACATACGTAGAGGTAAAGCCACATAGAGGTGATGTTCTGTCGACCGTCGGATACTCTTTTTGTATAATACGCATATTTCATCGTACCTACAATCTGCATAATTAAGATTCTTACAACTTGTTGCATATGCCAAAAGCGTAAAATTTATTTTGCATCAAGGTATGTTCTCGCATTTCTTCAGCCATATTAAAGTCAAATCCATTATTTACTTTACTTGTATTTACTTGAACCGCGTGGTCTTTACGCAGACAAATATTTTTTGTCTCTGTTTCAATACCCACCGTTAATTTGCATTTGCATTACGTATTCGATCCATTGTTTCGTTTTCGTTTAAAGTACGAATTAAAAAGATTAAGATTGCAGCGTGCCGTCAGCTGCGTTATTGATTCTCTGCCGGTTTTTTCCGGGAAAACCCACTACCCGCCACTATTCCAACTTTTAATTTCAAACATAAAAAAGAGAAATTTTTGCTTTTTATGACGAAATCTTTTTTCAGCAAATGCAGCGTTTGAAATAATTGCAATATTTAAATTCTGTTTTTGGATTTTGAAAGATAATTTAATTCTTAATTTATTATTTAGGTAATTATTTCCTTTTCATTAACCGTTTTGGTCCTATTTGCAATTGGAATGAAAAAATTGGTTTTTACATGCCAATAATTTAATCTGCCATTATGTTACATGTTTTCGATTTGGAATCTGTATTTGTTGAAATAAAAGATTTTGTCATAAAAAATGCAAAAGAGTTTTCTTTTTTATGCCAATGCGGTTTTCACTAAAATTTGAAAATAAAATATAGAATTAAATTATATATCACAATCCGAAAACTGAATTTAAAAGTTCCATCTTTTAATTTCGAGCATATAAAAGAGCAATCCTTTGCCTTTTTTATGACATTATGAAATAATTGGAATTTTTAATTTCAAAATTCAAGTTCAATATTAAAAGTTTCATGCATAGTACGAAAACGATTATTCTCATGTTAGGTATAACCACACTGAAAGTATCAATATAAAATTGCAAATCCGTTGTATACTCTACTTGTTTTTACTTCAACCGCGTGGTCTTTGCGCATGCAAATAATTTTTGTCTCGGCTTCAATACCTACCGTTGATTGGCATTACTTATTCGAAATATTGTTTCGCTTTTGTTTTATGTACGAATTACAATTTAAGATTGTCGCGTGCCGTCGGCTGCATTCTTGGTTTTCGTTGGAGGCTGCGGCGTTTCCGGTTCTGTCGCCTATTGTTTTACATTTTTGTCTGAAATCACATGTAACGTGAGTACCGTAATAACTCAAAATTGACGCGTGCCGTCGGATGCGTTTTCGGTTTCGCTGCAGACTTTGCTTTTTCCATGTCCATTATCGATTTAATAGCGCGAATTTTTCTTAGCTCACATTTTCTTTTGGTGTCATAATACTCCAATCGCGGAGGCGTGTTTTAATAGACAATTTAAATGCCTTGCTTGTGGCGTATCTGGAGAACCCGACGCAAACATAATTTTTGGATCGCAATAAAATTGATATTGATGTTTTATTTATCTATCACTACTCTAGTTTTCCTACCTTATCTTTTTTTAATTTTACATTTTTTAAATTTAATTTATTTAAATTTTTCTTCTAGCTCCCTATTCTTAATTCAAAATGTAGTTGTAGTTTTGTTGTGTCACCCTCTCGTGTATCTAATTCTCTGCATCGAAAACTTTGAATTTTCTAATTAAATGTACCTATTTTCTTCTTTTATCACTCTATGTATTACTTTTCCTTGCTCTCTAATGTAAAACTGACTAAATTTATCATTTCCGTGACGTTTTCTACTTAAAATTTGTATTTTATTTCTAAATTCAGGAATTTCCGATTTGTAACACCCTGTATGTTTGTTTTTCTTGATGTCGCGTTATAAGTTTTCTGAATTTGTTATTCCCGAGTGTTTTCTTTCTTGAACTTTTGATTTTCTTTTTGTAGCAGCCTGTATATTCGTTTTCTTTGTAGTCTGTGAAAATTTAGCTTTACCTGTTGTTTTTAGGTTTTTCTTCTTTGCACTTTAAATTTTCTTTTTGTAACACCCTGTATATTTGTTTCCATATTCAATCACGTAGAAAATGGGCTATTTCTTAATGGCATGTAATTTAACGAACTTTATTTTTTCGATTTTCAACTTGTAAATACATTAAATGCACTTATAATTAATGTTTGCACTTAAAAATACAGAACTGAACTTAAAAATAAATATTTGCACTTTGAAAAATGAATTCCACTTGAATAAAATGCTTTCCACTATGAAATTAATA